CAATATAATTTAAAAAGTAATATTACTGATATATTTGCTATAAATCACATAACAGTATTTATTAAAAGAAATGAAATATTAATGTATATTCTCAGTAGTTTTAATTTGCTAAACCAGGTAGTTTTTTAAGTAGTAATTGTCTCTTATGTGAACTGAGGAAAAATATAATTTCCAGCTTTATTTTTTCAATTGGTAATTTTTTTTCCCACTAAATGTTAAGTATCAATGTAATCATTTTTATAATAATAGATTAGTACACAATTGTATGTCAGCACATTATTTATTACCTTAAACTGTCTGGAATTTATTATTAAAGAGTTGCGCTTGCGTAAAATTTACTATCGTGGAAATTCAGCTTTTTTGCGTTTTGGCTAATCTCATCCCTGCTCTTAATATATCGCTTATAATATGTACAGGGAAAACACAGGGAATTTTTTTTTTTCAGATTTGAGTGGCAACCCTGCCTGAGGTTATCATGTCATGGTTGTTCCAACTAAGTGAGTCTGAATTTTGTTATGTAAATTAAATTTATATTTACATAGATATTTTTCCTAAAACTTTTTAAATGATTTATTAATTCTCTTAACTATATATTAAAAGTGTAAATGATGTATTTCCCTTTTCAATTGTTTTTTTTTTTTTTTTTTTGCAATATGAACAGCACTAAAATATATTTATGTTTAATACAGGGAATTAATTATGTTAATACAGAAGAATATTTTTGTTTAATACAGGGTCCGTAGTGTTTTTGAGAAGTGCTTAAAGGTGTTTTTTTCATTGGGTGTTTTTAAAAAGTGCTTAATTTTCCCTTTTTGAAAATGAGATATGTTGATTTTTGCTACGAATTATGTAAAAAGACACAGTTCACATTGTTCTATTCAACGTTTTTGCAATTAATTCAACCCCAGTCTATTTCGGCATATTGTCAGTCTGTAGCGTATGAAAACGTCATTCGTTTTGCATGAGTCAAAATTTCATAATTTTTGACTTAGCTGTCAAAATTGTCAAAAACTTTTCGACCCTGCCTAACTGATATTTTTTTAAAGTGCTTGAAAACTCCTTAAAAGGTGCTTATTTTTTGTTGAATAATTTGGCTACGCACTCTGTTATATATATTTTTTTAATTAATTGAAAAGATGCATTGAAATGTTATGTTCTCCTTTCATTTAATTGCTTAATTCCCTGCCTTTTTCCTTTTTTTTTATTTTAGAATTTTGCGAAAGATCTGTCTATAGTATTATCAAGCTTAGATTGGAGAGTGTTAATCATAGATATGAAAGAATTGAAGGAGCCAGAAGAGTATTTGATATCTCAGGTATTTAAATTTATCATTTCTTCACACATTTTTTGCATTATTTTTTGAAATACTTTCTTTTCTTTTATTACACTTAATAATAGTACATATATATAAATCATCAGTGATTCCACTGGTCTTTGGAAACTACAGGTCCTTAAATCTCAGAACTTTATTTCTGGGTCTCTATTTACTAAAAGTGGGTCCCTATACGATTGTCACATTATCTAAAAATTCTGCAATTCACAAGGTAACCATTTTAAAAAAATTTAAAACCATTTTATGTTATTTATGATCATATCCTCGAAAATAATTGCATAATATTTAATTTCTTAATTTTAAAAAAGTGTAATCAGGATAAGTATTGTAAAGTAATATAAATTTGGATTAATTTTAAATATATGTGGGTTTTAATTGTAAATAGTAAGTGTCATGTTAATTAAGTATTCGTCATAAAGAGTTGAACAAGAATCTTATTTTTTTATAGATATTACCTTCAAAATTAACTTTTTCTTTTCTTTTTTAAAATTTATGATACACTAAAATGTTTCACAAAAATGGATATTAAGTTAAAAATCCTGGATTAACCCCTGCTATATAAAATATGAATTATCTATCTCTTCATCCATATGCATATTCATAAATATTCTATATATTGATAGACAAAACAAAGAATTTCAAAACAAGAAGCTTTTAATTAGGACTAATAAAGCATGTACATCAAGTAAAAGCAAAGATATAATTTGATTATCAGAATAATTCTCTCACCTTCAGCTATTAATAAAAAAGGATAAAAAGTTTTAACTTATTTTCCACTTCCTCTTTATAATATTTGCTTATTTGATGTGTTACAGCACATAATCAGAATCACTGTGCTGGGATGCTTTTTTTTTTGTGTAGCAGATTACAAGAATTAAAAAGTACCATGTTAATAGTTAATAACGAACATTAGCTTGAAGCTAATCATAAAAATTAAAGGATGTTTTTAGATTTTATTTGAAAATAATATAACTTAATAGCTTGTAGTTAGTTTTCTTTTTTTGGTTGCAAATAATAAAAAATAAAAAAAAAACAATAAAAAAATTCATTTTTCAATGTAAATAAATTTTATTTACTTGAATATGGTTACAAGAAAAGAGAGTTACAAATTATTAGTTTGTAGATGTAGTTTCAAAAATGCAAAGTAAATTATAAAAATAACTTTATTGAAGAATAAATAATAAAAAAATTTGCATATTAACTAAAGAAATTTTTATTGTTATTTAAAAAACAGAATTTGTTACTTAAACCTAAATTAGTTAATGTTAGTGTGATTTTTTATTTTTGTTTCAGGCATCCAAAAAAAATATTTGTGTTTTTCTAGCATCAACTTTCGTTGAAGGCCAGCCACCTGATGGATGTAATTGGTTTTGCCAATGGCTTAAGGATGCTGCTTATGATTTTAGAGTTTCTCATTCCATGCTGAAAGGATTGAAATATGCCGTTTTTGGCTTAGGAAACTCATTATACGAAGGAAACTTCAATAAGGTATAATTAGTTTGAACTGCATTTTGTTATTTTAAGTTTTTTCATGCATAACACTAAAAAATTGAAGTTCGAAAAACTTTGCAAGTCTCGTATAGACAGAAAAAACTACCTTAATTTAAATTAATACAATAAATTCTTTTTTTTTTTTTTCATTGTTGATTTCATGTTACAATTGATAATCTTAATGCAATAATAGGACATTTAATACAATAAATAGGACATTTAAAAAAAATGAAATAAATAAATAAAGTTTAGAACCTGTAGAAACATTACAGTCATTAAGAAATCTTTTTGTTTTGAAAACTACCTTTTATGCAAGTGTAACTGCTTGAATGAATAAGCTATATTTAAAGCTACAAAATTTAATAGTTATAAACAATTTCATAATCAAGTTTTCATTAGGCAAGGTATGGTAAACCTGTACCATTTGTGCCAGGATTATTTCTCAAACAATTTGTCAAGAACATGAAAAAAATATTTAAAATACATTTTTGTGATTTTGAAAGATCTGCTTTCAGAATGAGTTTCCATTGATTTAATTTATCTGTTAGAAATAATTATCTATGTTGATTATTTTATCTTCTAAATATGTTTGTGAATTTTATTTTATTTTTTAAAGATAACACTCACTAACAATCTGTTTGCGTTAAGACAAGAATTTATCTATCTTTTATTTAATTTTTGATAAAAGAATTACTTTAAAATTATTGAAATCTGTGAAGTTTCTCAGAAAGCCGGCCTGGTGGCCGAGCGGTTAGCGTGCCTGACTGCGAAGCCATAGGCTGCGGGTTCGAATCCCGCTCTGGGCATGGATGTTTCTCTCTCTCTTTGTGCTGTCCTCTGTTGTTTGTGTGTATGATGTGTGAATGTGGCCCACCCTATAAACGGGTTTGTGGCAGTGTGGCGTGGGCAATGTTGCTCGCCTCCGTGACTTTGGTTCACAGGTGCCCACTGGGTAACGCGAAATGAGCAACAATTCTGGCATAGTATAGGCAAAGATTCAAATTCAGTGCCTGCCATTAGAAAAAAAAAAAAAAAAGTTTCTCAGAAAATTTAAATTTCTGTGGTTTTGTGCTTTATTTAATTTTAGGTAGCTACAGAAATAAATGGGGAACTGCAGAAGCTTGGAGCTTCTCCTATTCTTCCTTTGGTAAAAGCAGATGAAAATGATGTAAATTGTGGTATGTATACATTGATTACTAACTATACTGTAAATTGATCAGTTATTGGCATTCTTCTGCGACAGTCATTAATGAAGTAATAAAAACTGTACTGATTTAGTTATTTTGTGGATTTCTCAAAATCTCTACGTGTTGTGCCGAGCATGTTAGAAAGTATTGTGAATTATTAATAGAATAAAAAATTCTTATATTATCAACAAAGTCCAAATAAATAGCTGATTATTAACAGAGAAATAATACATATGTATAAAGCATTATCTAGTGTATGCCTTTCAACATGTTTTAAAATGTCACTCTAGCAATTTGCTTTCGCAAGGCAATTTCAACTTTTACAAAATAATTTTTTTTATGCCCAAGTTTTTTTTTTTTTTTTTTTTTTTTTTTTTTTTTTTTAAATAAGCACAGGCAGGTTTAAAAGAAAAAGCTAACTTTGTTTTATGAAATTTTATTTATATGATTTAATTCAATTATATATTTTATTTAATATAATCAATTTTGAGGCTATCAATTCATATAATTTAACATCTTAGCCAATGCTTGTAAAAATATCATACTAGGTGGCTAAAAATGTTTAAATTTTGATTCACCTTTCCACGATCACCATTTATGAGTTTAAATGTCTATTGGTATAGTTGTAAAAAGTTTGTTGCCGTTCATATGTTGTGTATGCCTTTTGTTTTCCTTTTTTGTGTACAAAAAAGGAAAAGAAAATTATTTTTGATGTCAGGTTAAAACTGTCATAATTTTTCTAGATTTTTCAGCTACAATATAATGTTTTGGTGCAGCGTCAAAAGGTAATTTAGGGTATCAAGTCTACTTGCAATAGTGATCGTAATTTTTTATCACTTTTTTTTATAAAGATAGAGAAGAAAAAAATATTTGTGACTATATGTCGGTAGGCAAATTCACCATTTTTTGTGAAAATAATTTTAATTCATTGATATATCATTTCATTGATATTGAAGAAGGTGGGTTTAAAAGTGTTTGATCTCATGTAGAATGACTGATATATAGCTTTTTGCAATTGCCTGCTTAATGAAAAAATAAATAGTTTCTTAAAGTAAAAAGTGACTTATCTCATAATAAATGTGATTTGCAATTGATGAACTTCATTTTTTAATCCATCTATTTTGTAACTTAGGTTTAGATAAGAATTTCTCCATGTGGAAAAGTAATTTGCTACGATTATTTGAAACACAGAATGTTAACATAGAAACACCTATCAAAGTGAGTTTACTTTCAAAGTTTTTTATATTTTTTATTTGTGTTGAGTTTTTCTTACTAAAAATGGTGTTACTTTATTTAAAGAATGATTCTGAAAGTGGTAGTGAAGATGAGGAAGTTATAATGGATGTGGAAGAACTTGGTACAGCATTTAAAAATGCAAACTCTAAGGTAATTTTTCACTCAGATAAAATTTATCCTTAATTATTATTTATTTGTTGACATAAAAAAAGCACTCTTTTTAAAATAAAAGTTTTTTTTTTTTAAATTCAATTTGAAGGGGCTAATAATTTTTATAAAGAATTGTGTGGGGGAGCTATAGATGACAGGATTTGACATGGAATTCAGAATGTAAGTCAAGTTTAGGGATGATATTAATTAATGTAAATTTTTCTAAAAATATTGCATCAAAGTTTTAAAAAAGGCAAGGATCAAAATCCTATATTTATTAACACTATGTGTCTTGTATTACTGAAATAGTCCTATAAATAGTGCTTATTCATACACAGTGATGCCATTGTGAAAAACTTAAATTTTACATCCCATAATGCATTAAGATTCTATAAAAACTATGCTGCCTGCCATAGAACAGCTTGGAACTATGATCCCTCAAGTAATAGTTGGAGATTCTGTTAATGAAGTTATAGATAAGGGAAATATCTATTTCTGAATTGGTTGGGTTATGAGTAAAACCTGAAAGGAGTTTTGTTAGAATAACACAAAAATATTCCAGTGAACCAGCGAGATAGGTAACGTTTAGTAGTAAACCCTTCTCACCATGTAGTCTTTATCCCTGTGTAATTATTCTAGGTCTGGGAATAAAAAAATAGCTTTTTGTGTTGTGTTTGAATCATCTGCATTTAAATTAATTCTTATGGATTGTTAAATTAATACTTATTAATTGTTGTTCTTATTTAAATATTATTCTCTCTTAAAATTAACTTTGTAATATATGATGAATAACACAATAGTTTCCCATTTTGGAAAATTTGCATAGCTGCTATCCTAATTATCTATAAATTGGTGTTAAAAAAATAATTAAAGTAGAAAAGACTTTCTTTGAACTATTTTGAGAGCAGGATTTAAAAGAAAACTAAGGTGAATTTTATTGGTTCAACAACATTTCGTAAATATTTACAACATTTTGTAAAATAAAAAAATTTTTAAAGAAAGAGAACAATTTTAGTTTAAATAGAACTTTCAAAGCAAAATATAATTTCAATAATTAATTAAAATAATAACTTTAATATTATAGACTTACCATCTTTTCCTGCAGTTATTAACAATTACAAAATTTCTATGATGAGAGATAAAATACATATTGGGATCCATGAAATATGCTCCTATTGTTATTGGTATTCATGAAATATTTTTTTTTAACCTTTTAAGACTATAAGTTATAGTTAAATTTTAATTAATAAAGTCAGTAAATAAAATTTAGCCTTTGCGGGCCAACTTACTACAGAACGACAATTTGTTATTAATAACCATGGTTATTTGATTTGCTCTGAAAGCTGTGTAGAGAAAGAACTAATTTAACTTAGAAAATGGCAGATATCAAAATATCTGATAACATTTTTAAAAAAAGGCCCATGAACAATCTGTATTGAGTTAGTTTTTTATTTTTCGTTTCACTTAGGTTTTAGAAAGTGGTATTATATATATTTAGAATCAAATAAGAATAAGTCGAATTTTTTTAAAACTAAAATAACCAAAACAGGTTGTTTTTTTTTATCAATGGGGGTTGGGAAGGATCAAAAACCCTGTTTGAGAGCATAAATGTCGAATAGATTTTATGTATGTGTGGATTATTTGTTTATCATAGTAAGTAAAACCATTTATTTTAAAACTATAAAAACCAATTTTTATGTTAAAACATATGTGTTACCATTCAGAAACATTTAATGCCCAAGCATGTAAGTTGGCACCTACAAGTTGGTGTAAAAATTTCTCCTAAATAAATAACTTATTAAATTACAATGCTAAGTTATTCTGTTCCCTCCCCCTTAAAGTTGGTATATTTTTCTTTATGAATAAAATACTTCAAAACGTTCCTTATTTTTTCCATAATTTTTGTATTTCTATCAAACATCCTTAATGTTTATAAACAGGGTATCCGCACACCTGGAAAGTCGTGAATTTCAGTATTGAACAAAATTTGTCATGAAATGTCATGATTTTAACTATTTTTTTAAAAAAATCATGGAAGGTCATGGATTTAGGTTGGTGGTGCTCGGAATATCTGAATTTGTAACAAAATCCCCACTCACAGTCATATTTTATTGAAACATAAAATGTTTTATCATGTTCTTTAAAAATTATGGTGTTCTTTCAAAAAATGAAAGAAAAAACATTTCTAGAATGAAGTAAGTATCTTTTAAACTTCTGTGATTTCAGAATTATTATTATTTATTTTTATTTTATCTATTTAAAATTCTAGCTGAAGCAAGCCAGTCATTGGCCAATTTTTTTTATTCTGAAATGAGGACAGAAAAATCAGGAGTATATCTTTCCTTTCTGATGAACAAGAAAAGTATCTTTAGAATATAATTCTGCAGAAAAAAATTATTTGCTCAGCTATTATTTTTTCATCTATTTTATAGCTTCAACTCTTTCTTTACTCTGTTTTCTAAGTTTAAAATCAATAAATATGAAGATGCTGAGTATAACAGTTTTGGTTATACCTATCCTTTCAATGAATGTTATTATAATCCTTTTTAAATTTATTATTCTGTTTTTGTCGGAGAAAATAGTAACTTCGTTAAGTCATGAAAAGTTCTTGGAATTAGTCATGAATTTGAAAATCTAAAATGTAGCAAATACCTTGTGCAAAGTGCTAAAAAAATTTTTAGGAAAGGGTAATTTTATAAAAATTATTTATTTTTTCAGACTTCTGAAGTGGAGGAAGAGAAAGAAATGATCACGCCTCTTCTCCGCAAATCCCTGACTAAACAAGGTTACAAGCTTCTAGGTAGCCACTCGGGTGTGAAAATGTGTCGATGGACAAAATCAATGTTGAGAGGGAGAGGGGGTTGTTACAAGCACACTTTTTACGGAATTGAGAGCCACAGGTGTATGGAAGCCACTCCAAGTCTTGCTTGTGCAAATAAATGTGTCTTTTGCTGGAGGTTTGTTTAATTAAATAATGTAAATTTATTCCTGTGATTTACCTATTTTTTATTATCTGCGTTAGAGTCTTATTATTAAATAGATATTAGGTGTTTTATTAAAAGATTAAACATAGATAATCTCATAATATATGACTTACTCTGTAATATTAAAATTACTTTGATGATGACTGCATTGTTAGATCTTACAGTAAGGGGTATATGTATTCAGGGTTGCCAAAAATCCGGGTTTTTTCTAGAAAAATCCAACCCGGGTGGGTTTTTCATGTTTTAATGGGCGTTTTTCAAAAGAGAGGGCAAGTATAAGTACCTTATTTTAAAAAGGCTTATTTTAATATTAATAAATAAGTTTAATTTTAAAAATTGACTTAGCATATAGGTAATTAATACAAATAAATTGGTGCAAAAGTCTGAAAAAAGTTTCCTCTGACACCACAATACAAAATGTTATATGTACTCACATACATCACACATTTGAAACTTATTTTAACACATGATTACTTTTTATTTATATTTTAATCTTAAAAAAATATTTGATTAAAATTTTTTATTCGCATAGAAAGCGAATCCAAGGCAATGATGGCCATACAGTCAAATCTAGCTAGCAAGGTGACTCTCCAGTCTCCAACACAGTTTTTTCACCATAGGTAAATTTTTTTTAGGCTAGACTACATATATATTTCAATAGAATAGCTTTTTAATATAACAGAGGATTAAAAAGAATTTTTCAGAGTGGGTTTCACCCAGTAAAACCCACCCGGGTTTTACTGGGTAGGTGGGTTTTTTGCAACCCTGTATGCATTACTAAATTTTTTTTTAAAAATTTAGCAAAATGCAATACTTAATTAAGTGAGTTATGTATTTAATTTAGTTAAATAATATAAATTAAATATTTACAGTAAGGCCTCAATTATTTGTATTAAATGAGCACTGACCTAATACAGAAAGTGCTTCGGTGTCACAGTTGATTAATGCATTGCTCACCTCACTAATTGAGTAGCTGAGGAAACAGTATAAGAAGTTTTGAGAGGGGGCGGTACCCATATGTCAGGTTTCCAAATTGCGTCGTCATTGGAAAAGATAAAGCTCTGAAAAACGGATGTTAACGTTAGGTGTTGTGGCCCAATACAAATAATCAGTTATGTAAGTAATTTTTCAGAAAAAAATATTGAATTCAGCAGTTTGTAAAGTTTACTTACATTTAGGTGATGTTCCTTTCTGCTTTTAGCTCAACTTTTTTTGCTGGTGTATGTATTTTTGTTGCTTTCCATGATTATTTGTATTTAAATATGCATATTTTCTGATTATTTTTGGAGGTGATGATTTATGATGTGTGTGAAGGGTAACCAAGTACTTCGATCAATGCTGCCTAAGGACACAAATTATAAATATGAATTTTAAATCATCTTTAGAAAACATAAAAGCAATGAGCTGCTTACTAAGCACATTTTCCCATTAAAACAGTTTGACAGTTTAATGACCTAGTGTGAGTTGCTTACTTCTTGCAGCATTTTAAACCAAGATTGTTGTGCTTTTTCAGAATGTTGCTTGTTACTTCCTTTCATTAAGCTCTTCAGTGTTTGTCACATGTTAATGAATCACTTCTATGAATTTATCATGAATATTTTTGTCACTCTGCAGGCATCACACTAATCCTGTTGGAACTGAATGGAAATGGAAGATGGATGATGCTCAAAGTATTGTGGATCAAGCTCTTAAAAATCATTACAGTATGATTAAAGAATTCAAAGGTTTATATGGTTGTTTCTTGTTATGGCTTTTGAAAAGAACATTTAATATGGATGTGACTGTTAGATGGGAATGAGCCATTTTTATTAACTTTCTGTGATCAAAGTACAAACGAAATTTCAGTCAATATATATACTAGCTTTTAAGTGAAACATCTGTAGAGAAAGGATAATAGTAGAATCAAAAGGATTTTATCATATAAAATGAATTAGTTTGCATGGTATAAAAGTAAAAATTAAACTACATTTATTGTGCTTAGCTTTTTCTTCCTCGTGATAAAAGCTTAATACAGTTTAAAGATGCCTCGACAAGTCATCTCAGTTAGTTTTTGTTGACTTAAGCTTTTCCATCTATTGATACCCATGTTTTTAAGATCTTTTTATTTGTTACAAATTACATTGTCCATAATTTGAATTAAACAAAGAAAATATTTTTGTAAGTATTTTATTAATTCTTAAAGTTAGGTTTTATATAGATAGATATAAATAGTAAAATATTGTTTTATAATATTTTCATAGATTAGCAAAGTAGTTTCTTTATGAAAATATGATCACCCAAGCAACTTTTTATGCATTTTTACTCAATGCAAAATAGCTAAGTTTAGAAAATTTATTAATTAAAATTATGTTTATATAAGTACTTTTGTTACCAAACATAATGACACTCACCACTTTCTGTCCATTGTTGTTTAGTGTAAAAAAACTAAGATTAAAAGAATTTACCAATTAAATAATATTTTTATGAGTAGTTACTTTAAGAAACATATAATCCAACAAACCACTTTTTGTCCATTGTTACTTGGTGCAGTATCTTATGTAAATTAAGAACATAATGTTTAGTTTTGACTTTCTTTTTTTCTTTGCAGGTGTACCTGGTGTCCAACCTGACAAATTTGCTGAAGGACTCCAAGCAAAACATTGTGCTTTATCATTAGTTGGAGAACCTATAATGTATCCAGAAATCAATAAACTTATTGATCTTCTGCATGAAAAGACAATTTCGACATTTCTAGTCACCAACGCTCAATTCCCAGAGGCCATAAAGAATCTAGAGCCTGTCACCCAATTGTATGTCTCTGTTGATGCTAGCAATGAACAAAGTCTAAAGAAAATAGACCGCCCATTATTTAAAGACTTTTGGCAACGTTTCATTGATAGTTTAAAAGAATTATCAAGCAAAGTATATAAATTCTTTCTCAAACTAATTAACCAGAAATCCAATCTTCATTATTTTAGCTTATCTGTTTAAAATGAGGAATTATTTATTTATTTGCGATATCATGGAAATTAATTTTTTTTTCTTAATAAATTTTTTGATTTCTTTTTTTCATATATAGACTAAGTCTAAGAGTAAAAAGAAAATTTTTTATTTGTAAAGCAAAGCCTTGTTCTGAATTTTTAAAATAAATAAATTAGGTAACTTAATATGAAACGATAGACAAATTCTAGTTAAATCTATAAACATTTCACATATATATATAATAAAATCTGCATCCAAAGAAACTGATGTATATCAGTGATTTTTTAAACAGTTGGTTAAAACCCTTTCAATTTCTTCGAGGCTCTATTCTTGTATTCTATTGTGCCACCTAGCTAATGTAGTGGATTTAGTCTTTCCCTACCACTACTTGGGACATAGTCCCACTCCTTATGCTAATGGATATTCAGAAATGTTTCCAATATTATCCACACAAAAAAAATTACTGTTAATTTTGGTGGAGTGAAATGTAGAATAGAGGAATGTATTTCAAAACAAAAACTACATTTATTTGTTACTGCCATTTTTTACGCAAATTATATTTAACAGATATATCATACATAGTTAACACACTAGTATTATAGCTTTAATATTAAATTAAAAATATTATTTCGTCAAAAGTTAAAAAAAAAAACACTTTACTTACTAACGAATGCTCTTGTTTCCTGATTATTTTGGAACTTTATTAACTGTTCTCAAGAACTACAAATGAGAAAGTTCTACGAGAAAAGCTCTAAGCAAAGATAAAAAAACTTATAAAAACTGCCTTTGTCATGATTGATAACAAATATATCGTCCCAGTTTAAAAGAATTAAAGCGCTGGAAAGATAGCCTAGAAAAAAGCAACTAAAAATAAATTTTTTTTAAAAAACCCAGAAATGAAATGATGATGCAAAATAATATACAAGGTTTAGTTAGAAGTTTTTGAAAAAGCACTTTTCATGTTTCATGCTCTTGTGTGAGGTTTAAAAAATATTTTTTAACGAGTAAATTTAAAAAAAAAAAAAAAATCTGAAATTATCTGAAAAAATGATGAAATAGTAATTTTTGTGAATATTTTAAACTTGCAGAAGATTAACATCCTCACAGAGTATTGCTAATTTATCCATAACTTATGATACATAGTATTACAGGAGATATTTGCCAATAATCCAGTGTAGCTCTAGTGCAACAAAACAAAAACTATTTCATTATATTACTTATTTTTGTAGAAAAAATAGAGGTATTACTAATTTGTTATTAAAAAAAATATCGTCTTTCTATAGATAACATATTTTAATTATTTTATTAAATGTTTCTAGGGTCAACGAACTGTTTACAGATTAACATTAGTTAAGGCATGGAACACTGATGAAATGGAAGGTTATGCAAACTTAGTAGAAATAGGGCGACCAGATTTTATTGAGATAAAGGTATAAAAAAGAAATTGTTTAATTTCTTATACACTATTTATGATTATTCAAATCATATTAACATTAACTTTTTGCAGGGAGTCACCTATTGTGGAACATCTAATGCTAGTTCTCTGACAATGGAAAATATCCCATGGCATGAAGAGATATATTCATTTGGTATGAAACTAGCAGATTATTTAGCTGATTATGAATTGGCATCTGAACATGAACACTCTAACTGCATTCTGCTTGCTCATAAAAAAGTAAGTTTAGCAATTTGATTAATATATTTAAATAGGACTAATAATGGAATAAATTATGTTGCGAAACACAAGGGGAAAGATATGTTTAAAAATGAAAAAACTGCATTTGCTTCAAAAAATTTTCGTGCTTTGAGTATTAAAAAGAAGCTCCTACGGTTGCTCTTATTAAAATTGCAGTAAAAGAAGGTCATTGTATTTTATAAAGGAAATGATATATATATATTGTTTTTTCATCAGTTTCGACCAAATAATTAACAAGTCGATTTTAAAAAATAAAGGATAAATTTTTTTCATGTCTTTTCTCTGAAGGGAAATTGTAGAAAAATCTAATGTGATTTACATTAAAACTCAATTAGACTTTCCCTTTTAGTTTGATTTAAAAAAAATTAGAACATTGATTATTATTTTCTCATGTAGATATTATTAAATTTCTGACTTTTCCCCTCCACTTGAATACATTATGTGAAGAAAACATGTCTGCTATTCATCAAAATTCAATTTTAAATTTATTTTCTAATATAATTCAGTGATTTTCTTTTCGCATTTAATTTTTTTAAAATCATGTCTCATATTCTTCAATATTCAATTTATTTTCTAGTAATTTTATTTTCTCTACATTTCATCTACATTCCTGACTTTTCCTGCAAATTAGGCACAATTGAACTTCAAAAAAGAAAATTATGTATATTTTTCAATACTAAAGGAAAACACAAATATTTTTAATTCTAAGTAGAAAAAACTTCTTTGAAAAAAATGCGCTAAAAAGCAGCAGAAATTTCAGAAAAAAGTAGCAATAAAGAAAAAGAAAATGAAGGAAATAAAAATGAAAATATGACCACCGAAGCCATAAAAACAAAACCATTTCTAATTGAGGGAGAAGCAAATGCTTAAATTAACTCCCTCAGTACCCCGATGGTTTTGCATAGGAAGGTTTTGCATAGGTCCAGGGAAAAAAACATGCAATATAAATAACAAATTAAGAAAAGAAACTCAAGCAAAATCATCAGAAAAATAAAAACTCACATATTCACAGATCAGACATCAATTTCTCAAGCAAGCCGAATGAAAAGAAGAAACTAAAACCTAAAGAAAACAACGCCCTCTATTACAATGCGCAAATGAAGAAAAAAATGTCAAGAGAAAGAAATACTTAATAAATTAAAAGAATGCTTAACTGGGGCTGCTCAGTTAAGACTTGAATTGTGCCCTGTTAAAAGAAAAAAAGAAAAAATCCTAGAATTCTTCAATCATTTTTTTAATTAAAAAATTAACATTATAAAAATTAAAAGGAAAATCATTATTACTTAAATTATTTAAAAAACTATTCACAGCTTCCTGAAAACTTTCAACATTATTGCAAATACTTTTGATTCTAACCAATTGTGAAAAAACTAAATTTTTAAATATTTTATTACACAAATTAGTATTAAAGTTGCAGAAAAAAATTACTTTAAATTTAAAAGCTTTTCTTTTATCAAAGACACCAATTTTAATAAAGCTGTTTACAATATCAATTTTAATGTCTTCAAGTCTTTTCTCTGAATAAAAATTGTAGATAAATTAAATCTGATTCTTATTCATTTAACTATGCTTTCTTTTCCTTTTTTGTTTGATTTCAAAATATTTATTTGCATTGAATTTTATTTTCATTTTTATACAGATATTATTATTGTGTTCACTTTTCCCCTCCAATTGAATACATTATGTAAAGAAATGATGTCTGATATCCATCAAAGTTCAATTTTAAACTAAATTTTCTAGTATAATTCAGTAATTTTATTAGTTTTGCTTTTAATTTCTTTCTGGTTTTTCATAGGAATAATCACAATTGAACTTAAAGAAAATTGTTTTTTTTATTTTTCATCTCTTTTTTTTTCTGAATGAAAGTTTAGATTGCGAAGATTTTATTTTTTCATTGACATTTTCTTTTGTTGATATTATTATTGTGATGACTTTCCCCTCCAATTGAATAAATTATGTAAGGAAATCATGTCTGATATTCATCAAAATTCAATCTTAAATTTCTTTTCTATTGTTTGTTCTTCAGTAATTTTTTTTTTTTTTTTTTTTTTTTGTTTTTCATAGGAATAATCACAATTGAACTTCAAATTAGGGAATGATGTATATTTTTCATGTCTTTTCTCTGAATGAAAATTGTAGATAAATTAAATCTGATTCTAATACATTTAACTATGCTTTCTTTTCCGTTTCTGTTTGATTTGAAAATATTTATTAGCTTTGGGTTAACATTTTCAATTGTAAACTGCTGTTTGTAGAAAATGCAACACCATGAAGGAATCATCAGAATCAAATGAAATATTATTTTAATNATACATTATGTAAAGAAATCATGTCTGATATTCATCAAAATTCAATTTTAATTTTCTTATCTATTGTTCTTGGTCTTTTCAGTTATTATTTTTTCTAACTATTTCTTCCTGGCTGTTACCCCAGATAGAAGTAATTTGATTTTTTTTTTTTCGTAAAAAAATTTATGTATATATTTCATGTCTTTTCTCCGAATAAGAATTGTAGATATATTAAATCTGATTTGCATTAATATTCAACCAAACTTTTTTTTTTTAATTTTAAAGATTTTATTCCTTTGTTTATATTATTGTGATGACTTTTCCCCTCCAATTGAGTACATTATGTAAGGAAATCTTGTCTGATATCAATCAAAATTCAATCTTAAATTTCTTTTCTATTCTTCTTGGTCTTATCTGTAATTATTTTTTCTAGCTATTTTTTCCTGGCTGTTACCCCAATTAGAAGTAATTTGATTTTTTTTAAAAGCTTAATGATGTATATATTTCATGTCTGTTCTCTTAATAAGAATTGTAGAAACTTTAAATCTGATTTGCATTAGTATTCAACCATAATTTTCTTCTTTTTTTTTAAACTTCTTTTTTTCGTTTTAATTTCAGAGATTTTATTACTTTATTGACATTTTCTTTTATTGATTATTGTTATTGTGATGACTTTTATCCCTCCAATTGAATAAATTATGTAAGGAAATCATGTCTGATATTCATCAAAATTCAATATTTAATTTATTTTCTGGTATAATTCAGAAATTTTATTTTCGCTACATTTCATTTCTTCCTGAAGCAAATAAGGCACAATTGAACTTCAGAAGAAAAAAAATGATGTATCTTTTTCATGTCTTTTCTCTGAATGAGAATTGTAAATAAATTAAATCTGATTCTCATTCATTTAACTATGCTTCCTTTTTTTTTTTTTTTTTTTTTTTTTTCTGGTCTTTACAGTTATTTTTTTGACTTATTTCTTTCTGGCTGTTATGCCAAATAGGAGTAATTTGATTTCTTAAAACAAAAGAGAAAATTTTCTTGTCTTTTCTCTGAATAAGAATTGTAGATAAATTAAATCTGATTTGCATTAATATTAAACCATACTTTCCTCTTCTTTTTAATTTTAAAGATTTTATTCCTTCACCGACATCTTTTGTTGATATTATTATTCTGATTACTTTTCCCCTCCAATTGAATACATGTAAGGAAATCATGTCTGATATTTCATATAATCTTTTATGCATGTGTGTATGTAAATTTGTTTTGATTATTTTTGATTTGCTATTGTATTTTAAAGCATTATTTTTTTGAGTCATTATTTTAATATTTCATTTTTTATCAAGTTGTTCACAATTTCTTGAATGAATAAATTGCGTAGAATTTTAATTTCTGGAGGAAAAAACTTGCTTTTTCTTTAGAATTATAAATAGCATTGTATGTATATGAGTTATCTCGAAAACACTGCGGTTTTTGCAATAATTTTATTAGCTTATTTTACTTCATAATTCTATAAATTGTTTGAACATTCATATTAAATAATTGAAAAGCATGAATTCTTGATTTAAAAAACTGTGAATAAGAACTGAGTGCTAATATTACATTTGTGTCTAGTTCTTGTATTAATCATAATGCTTTAATATTCATCGTCAAAAATGCAATAAAGGGAAATTTTCGAAAATTAAATCTTGTCCATTTTTTTGTTGAAGTGTGGGATTGTATATGCTAGGGGTGGCCAAGTTCCTTGATAGTCAAGCCATTTTTTAAATTTTTCGCGAGCCGTGATTAAATAGTTATGTAAAAGGTATGCGAAAAAGGTACTAAAAGTTTTGGCCGAAATTAGATTTATTGAAAACATATAAATAAAAGTACAATATATGTGTATTGAATTTAAAAATTGAACACATTTATTTTACTTTCCCGATAATACTTTAAAATTTGGTAAATAATTTGTGACAGTTCTTCTCAGTAATTCTTTAAGATGCTGGTTAGTTAATACTGATCGGTGTTTAGATTTCACAGACTTCTTGCATCTCTATTAATTATAATTTTCCAGATGCTTTTTGGCTCATTTATATTTGAAATGGAAAATTCACCTTGAATTTATGTTAATTTCAAATCGATTCAGAAAAAAATAAAGAGACCATTTAAATTATTTCAAGTCTTGAAATCTATTTTGGAATTCCGTCAATATTCCTACTAGCTTTTTAATATACTCGTTGAGTTTTCCTTGTTTAATATTGGAACAATTTTATTTTAATTCAAGGAAAATTACAAAATGTTTTATTTTTAAAGTCCTTTTGAAAAAATTGTAATTTAGTTTGAAAATTAAATATACACTGTGAGACGTCAGATATTATTTTATCTTTCCCCTGCAATTGTAAATTCAGTGTTTGCCAATAATATCTGTTGTCAGTAATTAAAATTTTTAAAATATAATAGCACAAAAATGAAAAAGGAACTCGGGTACATTTATCGAGAGCCACAAATAATCCTTCAAAGAGCCGCAGGTTAGCCACCCTTTGTATATGCCAAGCTCCTTAATTAATAACTAATAATATAGTTACTGGAGAGTGCAAAAAAAATATATAATTAAAAGAAAAAAAACATGTGTTATCATAAAAGTTCAAAATGATATTTTAAATTCATTTCAATGTAAACGTTTGTGAAAATAATTAAATTGTGAAAATTTATTCTTTCCTTTAAAATTCTCCTAAATGAATTACAATGAAATATTTAAATCTTATTTACCTATACCTTCAATATTTAAATATAATTTTGTACAACATAAAATATTTTCCCTAAGCCAAGTATTTACAAAATAAAAAATTCTCTAATCAAATACTGCTCGTTATGTTGTAACCGGTTTAAATTTTTAGAGCATTCTAGCTGTTCATCATAGCCTGGGACTATTGTCCCCTTCCGTTGGTCACTGGACTTTTTTTTTACGACAAGCCTCTCAATTTTAAAATTAATGTATAATGAATATGTAATTAAATGTTGCCTTTTTTTTTACATAGTTTCTGATTAATGGAAGGTGGAATACATGGATTGACTATGATAAATTTCATGAACTCATAAAAAATTACAATGACTCTGGGAAGACTAAAGCATTTTCGAGCTTAGACTATGTGTATCCGACTCCTGAATGGGCCATTATTGGTGCAAAGGAAAGAGGATTTGATCCTAAAGAAATTCGTTTTCACAGAAAAAGCAAAAAAGATATATCTGGTTGCTGATATTTATTTTTTCACTGAATCATCAACTTCATGAACATCTCATCAATGTAATGTTATGCATTGTAAACTCATTAAAAAACTTTAAGTGATACTTAATAGCCATTTTCTGCTACATTTCGCTATCTTTTTATTCACACCTTGAAGAAGATTTTTGTTTGTACTTTGTAATGATTGGCTACTTCTTGATGCCAAGAAATTTTAATTACTTTCAAAATAAGTTATAATTTTGAGAAATAAAATAAACCATATAATTTGGTACCTGTCTTATTTAATGCTGTTTACATCCATAAGAAAGAAATTTGTAGGCTGTCACCAAATGTATGGGAAAATAATTTAATATTTGAATTTTAAAGAAAATGGGAAACAATTTTTGGAATGCTTTGATTGTGCAAATATTTTACATTTAGCTTTTAATATGGGTTTAATTTTGAAATTATGAACCCTTATTAAGTTTTGAGGATATCTGACACCCAATTTATATATGTATATGCAAACACATACAAATATATATATATATATATATATATAAGAAGGAGAAAAAAAAGAAACTATTATATAAAAAAAGTGACAGTACATAATCTTGTCATCAGCTCAAACCATTATAAGCAAAAATACTGCTTTTTAATGTATAACTATAGCCCAAACAAATATATATATATATATATTCAAAAATATCAATATAATACAATTATTTAAAAATTAAATATAATTAATAAATATTTATATTTAATTTTTAAATGTGATAAAAATAAACGATGACAATGCATTTGAAACTTGAATAATATATTCAAAAAAAGTTTTATAGTAATATGAAAGTGAGATTCAAATTTTCTGAAAATGAAATAGAAATGTATCAACTATTTAAAAGCAGGCTAAAATAAACCAATCGAAAATTTTACTTGACAAATCTAATGACAAAATAGATTTGGTAGCTAAGCAGACTCTAACTTTAATTGTATTTTGTTTCATATTTTTATGCTAAATAAATTACCCAATAATTAAAAAACAAACCTACATATTAAGAGATATCTTTTTTGCATTGAAAACAAAAAACTGAAATATCAAGCAAGTTAACAGTCATAAGGATCACAAATTTCCTGATGAAAATTCTTTTCTCATTTGGATAATAAAAAGCTAAAACAAATTTTTATTTTATTGTACAAAAAAAAAGGAAAAATCAAAAGATCTTTTAAAGAAAGTTACGAGCTTAAGCAAAATATGTCTAAAGTATAATCAACTGAATAGAAAGAACTGAGAATATTTAATTGAAGAAAAATCGACAACATACTTATTTTTCATATTCAAGCTTTTTGAAAAATAAAAATTTGTTTTGATTGAGGCATAAAGTATAAATAATTTCCCTCACATAATATCCTGAAATCCTTTTTGGTGACAACTAAAAAGTTTTAACAAGGTATTTATGCTTATTGTCACCATTTAAAAAGAATTTGATTCTTTGTTTTCATAGTGTTGAATGGAAAATACAAGATATTCATTTGGGATCTGTATTTTTATTTAATTTTCCCATGTTTTTATTTTATCATAAAAGATCCAAATAATATTTTTTGAATTGGATCTATCCTTGGGCATTCATATTGAAATTAAGAACCACCTTTGATTTGCCTATTAGCTTGGTTCGGCCCAAAAACTGGACTTGTGCAAGGTAATACCTGATAATTTAAAATTAATTAAAGGTTTAAACTTAAATCAGTGGTGATCGTGCACTGGAAAAAATACGGATTTCCGGATTTTTTCCTAACTGCGCTCCGGAAATCTTAGGTCCAGAAGTTTTAAGAAATCCTCAATCATATTTATGTATAAAAATTCTTGACTATTTTATTTAAAAATATTAGAACAAGGCCATGGCACAGAATAGATCAAGATGGCAAAAACTTATTGTCTTGACCTGTCATAGGCTGTTGTGCCCAAGAAGAATTAGAATTTATACTTGGCATCTTTCATTTGTAAAAAATTTTTCTGGTAGAATAATAAATATGATGAGAGATAAAAATAAACTTATACATAATCATTCATTTAAATTATGCTGTATATAATTTATTTAGAATTCAATGTTTTGTAAATATCAATGATTTAAATTTATAAAGACATTATGCGTCTTTAATGATTTTACTCAAGAAATTTTCCGGATTTTTGAGTTGGACTCACAATCACCCCTGCTTAAATACAAATTATGAAGCAATATTAATTCCACAGGGTAAATATTCAACAAAATTATAAAATTTTCTCGTGACATGATTGGACTGTAGCTAAATGGAACCAGGTTGTCTTCCGTGATGAATCAAGATAGCTTGAGCAGAACTACAGTATAAACATTAAAATAACTTCTAGTGTGTATAATTTATTAATGATTTTTTTTTTAAAGTAAAACTTTTTTTTCTATTTAAAAAAATATAAAAAAGTCTTAATATGTTATCTATATACAGTAAAAAATTCTTTTTTCATGAAGAAAAATTAAATATTGAGGTAATTTAATTTTTTGAAAGACAACATGCAGAATTTTTTTTTTTTACTTTAAAAACACTAATTATATAGTTGATTAGACTCATTTAGCCTTATGTTGCCCATATAAAATCCTGTTATTGGGACCATATTTCAGAAGGAATTTTTTCCTTCTCTAAAATTTTTCATTAAAAAATATATACAGTCAAACCCCGCTATAGTGAACCTTCAAGGGACCGGGAGTTCACTATATCCGTTCCGCAGGCAATTTAACTAATGGTTCCCAAACTTCTCCCTTTTATTATTTAAATAAACTCCACATTATTTAAATAAATGACTGAAAAATATTTTTTAGTAGCGAAAAATGTGTTATTTTTCATTACTCTTCGTCTTGCTTACAAAAGGAAAAAAAAATTTAGTAATTCTTAGCTGATGAGCAATCCTGACAGAAAATTCATATTGATCCCACTGACACCTTACAGGTGCACTATCTACCAGGGTTGGAAATATCTGCTTGGTTTGTTTAGGGATGGGAAAGTGAGATAAAAGAAGCTTATCGCTAAATTCCCCTCTATAGATGGTTTTAAAAATCGGTATACGTATTTATTTTAAAGTAAAAATTTCAAAATTATAACAAAAAAAATTAAGAAAGAAATCAGTTAAAGACAGAAAAAAGTTCATTATATCCAACTTCCTCACTTTTTTGGTTCACTATATCCACAAAAAATAACATTATATGTGTATAGCAAGGCACGGGACCTAACATTTCGTTCACTATATCCGGGAGTTCACTATAGCGGGGTTTGACTGTATATATTTTGCTGTAAGAAGGAATTCATTTCCTTTAAAAAGGTTAAACATTTTTATTTTAATTTGTTCAAATTTAATGCCAAAAAACAATAAATACAAGCGACCTTACAGGTCTCATAATAGAATAGATCGTATAATACTTTGTCTTTCAAGATTAACATTTTTGAAAAACACACAAATCCACATCCAATTAGTTTATGGAGAAAACGCTAACTTTTCTGGAAACGTGTTAGTCAAAATACATTCTGTATCATACATGTTGGTTGCATGAAGAAAAGATACCCTGAATACTCTTTCTTCCATTGTATAAATTTTGCCAATAATAAATAAAGCAACCCAAAGTATTAAAAGAAACAAGTAGATTTTATTAAACAAAACAATAATTCTTATGTACAGAGATTATTTTTTCTTCTTCATCTTTCTTTGTTGCTTCTGATTTCTTTGTTTTTTTGCCTCCCTTTTATTTGTTTTGAACAGCATTTTTTCTTTTCTCTGATCTTTTTTCATTCTTGGATCCACAACTCTAAACTTTCCTTTCAGACCTTGAGGACGGCTGACCCTACGTCCGACACCTTTCTTAGCCACTATGTATGTCACATTACGATCTTCTTTGGGTAGAGCCCTCTTGTATATACTGTGAAGGAAAAATTTTAATATAACATGTTTAAAAATTGGATTAACTTAAACATATTAGTAGTAATTAATATAACCAGATGTATGCAACAAAAAAAAAGACTTTTTAAAAGTAATGTTCCCAAGTATTGTTCCCTATTTGTAAAATTACGATGACAATCTGATTAAAAAAAACTTTAATAAATTGTAGATATAAACCAAATCAAATTTTTTAAATATAAATCATAGAAAATTTTATATGTTCTAAAAAAAGGTAATAAGTATATAGCCCTCAATTAAGCCTAACAAATTTCACAATAGGAAAATTTAGTTACTCAAGATTGTTTTATCTTATAACATTAAATCATATTGTAATATTAAACATAACATGAGTCCTAAAACAATAAATTAAGTAGAACAATACAAAACAAATGAAATAAAATAAAATAAAAATATGACCACCGAAGCCGACGTCTTCAGGGGGTACCGGCCCCGGTAGCCATTAAAAACAAAACCATTTCTATTTGAGGGAGGAGCAAAAGCTTAAAATATCTCCCTCAGTACCCCGATGGTTTTGTATAGAGGTCCAGGNTTGTTTATACTGTGAAGGAAAAATTTTAATATAACATGTTTAAAAATTGGATTAACTTAAACATATTAGTAGTAATTAATATAACCAGATGTATGCAACAAAAAAAAAGACTTTTTAAAAGTAATGTTCCCAAGTATTGTTCCCTATTTGTAAAATTACGATGACAATCTGATTAAAAAAAACTTTAATAAATTGTAGATATAAACCAAATCAAATTTTTAAAATATAAATCATAGAAAATTTTATATATTCTAAAAAAAGTTAATAAGTATATAGCCCCCAATTAAGCCAAACAAATTTCACAATAGGAAAATTTAGTTACTCAAGATTGTTTTCTCTTATAACATTAAGTCATATTGTAACATTAAACATAACATGAGTCCTAAAACAATAAATTAAGTAGAACAAGTGATTTTGCATTTACTTTTGCACCATTTTTTATCAATTTTTTTTAATTTAAAATAATTAAGTCTTGCAATCAAAAGTGGCACATCTGTTCTCTATCAACTGAATAACTATAATAAAAAAAAAAATCGCTTTTTTTAAAATTCTCAATTTTGGAGGCATGACATGTGATAAATGAAAACTCTACTACCAGTTTAAAATTCAGATCAATACAAACACCAATCTATACTCACGCTTTTAGTTGCTCGGCCTTTTCTTGAGAACTCATGTCTGGATGTTCAGTAATTTTTTCAGCTTTCTTTCTAGCCTTTTCCATTCTACGAAGTGCCTATTTGCAAGGAAAAAAATCATTAAAAAACCAGAAACGTTTGTACTACTTATTATATAAAATAAAAAACAATGTTGCCAATTTAAAAGTCAGAATGATTCAACTCAAGGTATGAAATAAAAATAATGCAAAACATAGATATGTTTTACAAGATTAAAAATGAAACCATGGTAAAGAAATTTTAATAACTTTGTTAAAAACATACTAACCTTCCTCTTCTTTCTAGCCCTGGCTTCTACAACTTTTTTTATTGGACGAGCATTTATTTCTCTTAGTCTAGCTTTGTATTCCTTAACCATTTCCTGTAAATATAATATTAGAGTATAGGTAAAAAATATGAGGAAAATTTTGAACAACTGTCAATTACAGCAATGTCTTTTACTAAGATTCAGGATAAGAACAAAACAGGAGTGACCACAATCATTGCCTAAGGCAATCTCCTATATGACAATATCTGGCACTTTTGGAGTTGTCACCAAGAAAGTGTCTTACACAGGGTTGGGGTTTTGGACGTCCTAAACTGATTTTGGACAGTACACGTGGGTTTTACTGTCTTAAACTGTGTAAAACTGTCCAAAACTGGGTAAAACTGTCCTAAACTGGATAAAACTGTCCTAAACTGGGTAAAACTGTCCAAAACCTTGAACTTTGGTAAAAGGTAAAAAATTCTATAGGTGTAACCATTGTACACATAATAATTACAGGCATCAATAAATATTTGATATTTTTTATACAATTTACTTTAACTTATCAAAAGAAAATAATATAATATAATAGGAAAAGGTTTGTAATTTTTAAAGCTCCATAATTCATTGTACAACAAAAGTGAATACCTAATCCTTTAAATATAAATATGCTTTTAATACTGATAAATAATGTTTTTGCATTTTTAATATTGCAATATTAAAGAATAATGGTTTTTAAAAAAAAAAATACTTAATTTGTTTAAAAATTAACCTTTTATTTTTCACAATATTTTTTTAAAAAATTTTTATAATTTTTGCATTACAGAATGATAAAAAAGACATCTATTTTTTTAAAAAAATTGTTTTTAAATATAAATATATTAGTTTAAATTGAAAATGCAAAATAACTGAAAAATGTATTAGCAGTTTTGAAGGGCATAACATCAGTTTCAGTTACTGACACTGGTGATGTATCACCACTATGCTAAAAGAATTGAACATGAATGAAATAAAAGTATTCTTGAATAGTACTATAGATAAATAAACCTGTTTATGACGAACCAAGCACTTAGTCCCTAATATTTTAACCTGTATGGCAAGGCCAAACTTCAGTTATGTACTATTGAATGAGAGGACCAATTGAACTTGATTACTGATTAATCTTCCTTTGTTTAAATTGAAGAGTCAAACAATATTAATAAAACATTATACTTTTAAAAACAAATATTCTCTAGTATATTTAATTATCAATATGTTATTAGTTCTATGTTTATTTTACCTCTTAAATATTGTTCAGATAAAATTGTGACATAATTTGAGTAAAAGGGTTTTGGACAGGACGGTTTAAACCGTGGATTAATCCATTCTGTCCTAAACCTTGCCAACCCTGGTCTTACAGCAATGAAAATGGGCTCTGTTCATGAGAGACATACTGGTGGTATAGACCATTTTGCCATCAAAAAATGGATATTAAATAAAATTGAATTTACTTTTTATGAAATTGCACAGAGCCTTGTTTTTCACTGGAGAGATTCTAGTGCAGATTTATTAGTAATTATTTCTTTAATAAAAAAGTGAAAGAAGACTATATCAAGGACAATGTTAAATTGAAATAAATAAATGTTAACCATTGCATTTGGAGATGCGACTACTTAAAGAGACTTTCAAAACTTAACTTAACTCAAAATTTGCATGCTTACCATATAATAGTTGAATCCCACTAAATAAAAGGGTTTTTAAGCACCGAATTGTTAAAAATTTCAACATTTAGAGGGGTTAAGGTATTTTAAAGGTGGTACAGTGGTGAATGAAGTTTGAAGAGCTGAAACCATTTTTTTTCTCTTTTCATTAATAATGTTTTTTTTACTACATTTTATATTTGTTTCAAAAAATAAAATTTTATTATTAAGCATTGTTGATTCCTAATTTTGCAAATAGAAATAATTCAGAGCTCACTTCCCTGGTATTCTTAATAAGCCATAACCTCATTATTAGAATAAGCATTTGTTCGCCGGGCGCAAGGAAATTCAACTATTTCTTTCCATTTTTATTTTATTTAATCCTTGTGTGTTTAAAAAAATCCAAAAGTTAGAGGAGATCTAAATTTTTTTGGCAACTTTTTGCTTGAGCCTTGCTAACTGAAAAGTAATTAAGCTTTCACTACCCTCGACTTATTATTATGCTAATTGAGCAATAGATGATATATTTTCTCATTACCTAAAAGTGGACTCATTGCGATAATCCAAAAAATATCAAGCTGATTGAAAAATACAGGACACATTTTCAATTAACCTATGGCAAGTATAAAGAGAACTTTACTTACAGCAGTTACAGGTAACTGTTTCTTATAATGTTTCTTTTCATCACTCACAAACCAAGCAGGCAAATTTTCATCATTTGATGCATACCTGTGAATAAGCAAATAATTACATAAGAAAAGAATCAATGCATTTACTTGAAAACAATTTCTTTTAAGCATAAAGCCTACCTGTTGTATGCACTTTCGATTATATCTCTCTTTAATTTCTTAGACTGCACTATTAAAGACCCTAGAGCTAATCCTTCAGGGTCCAACCGCACTTTTTTTCTTTTTTCTTTCTTACCTATAAAATTGACAATTAAACTGTATGATAAATAAAACTCTAAACTGAAAGTTCAAAATTTTGCATAGTCATTTTACAAAATATTTTTTTAAGTAACATCTTATAAAAAAAAAGGAAAAAACTATTCCCAAGAAACTGGAAAAGAATCCAATTTTATCCATTAACTTAAAAGAGATATGCAGAAAAGAAATAATTTCTTTTTAAAGAATCAAGTAAAATATACACTACTAAATCAGCTAGCAATTGGAGAACGACTAAAAATACAAGGATAGTTTTGGTCTTTACTTAAGCCAATCATTTAAGGATACTATGGCTATCTTTATTTATAGTTTTGGTAGTAAACAAAATAAAAACATAAGTTTAAACATATACCAACCTAAAATGATTAAACTCTAGGAGATTTTACAAACTGACAAACATACTATGCAAATAACAACACAAAATTGAAACAATCCACACAAATTTAGCTTATTTTTACATTGAAAAATGGGAGTAAAAGAAGAAAAAAAATACTACTGTAATAAATGATTTTATACCATCTAGAATAGTAATTAAAAATCAAGTTAAAATTAATGCAATAAAAATAATTCATACAAATAGCGCTAGAAATGCTAAAAAAAAGCTACTGAATCTTCAGACTAGTAAACTTACAGTGGGTGACAGGCATGCGCCTGAAGTTTAATACTAAAATATATTTCTATAAATCTAAAAGTTTCACTCACCTTTTTCTTCCTTTTTTTGGACAAAATAGTTAATAATTTAATTTGAATGATATAACTTTCTTTTTGGAAAATCAATCAAATTCTTTTTAGTACACTTAACTAATTAGCTTTGTTTAAGAATTGAAATAAAATTTAAAGGAGTAAACTACTGCTTAAAAAAGTAACAGAACTAAAAGAGGTGAGCAAAAAGTGAAGTAGAATCTACAGAAAATTTCTTTTAGTTTTTACAGGTTATTTATTAAAGAGTTAAATATTCTAGTGGACCACACACATTAAATGCTTACAAAAAAATTTTCACTCATTGAATTCTTCCACACTAAAGAAAAATTAATTCCTTTTTACTTTGAGAAATACATGATTTGACTGTATTTTACAAGATTTGAAGAAGAGAGTTGAGTGTTTCTTACGAAATTTGAAAAACACAGTTTTCTAGAAGATTTGCAGACAGTATTTCACAAGATTAATTTTAAATTATTGTACATTATTGATATTCATTTTTAAGAGCAGATGAAACAGCAAAGGCTGAATAGAACATTAATCACAACACCAAATTTAAAATCTTAACTATTAAAATCACAGAAATAGAAACACTTACCAGAAGCAGATTCCTTATCACTGGGTGTTTTCAAAATTCCTTTTAATTCCTTATCATTTTTTTGGTCAGCTGAAAACATTTAATTCAAAACACTTACTATACAGATAAAATTTTTAACTTAAAGTTACACAGGGGCCAGAAATAAAATTGCAATTAAAACATTTCATACCCATAAATCTAAAAACAGGTCAGTTAAAAAAATATGGCATTTCTAGTTCAAAAAAGAAATTTAAAATAAAGTATGCCAAAATCATATGCTGTCATTCATATTAAATTAAAACTAAATTTTTTTAAGCTCATAATATTAAATTTTCATCCAAGTCACAACATTAAATTTATACTATAAATTCATATAAATTTAACGTCATGACATTTTCATTACATTTTATAAATTTTCAAAGTTCATAAAATATAATGTTAGTTAACAGATCACAGGATGCAAAAATTCTACTTAAATGTGCTATAAAATATAAAAGTTTCTACAGGAAATTTAAAATAAGAATAACACATCACAGAACGAAAAGTCTTAAAATATCTATCAAAAGAAAGCATATGAAAAAATGTATAAAATAAGGGCATTTAAAGTATTTATATACTTTTTTCTTCTTTTTGTACTCAAGGTGTACTCAAGAGTCAACAAACTGTCTAGCTTTCTTATATAAATCATGATGAAAGAGAATAAAATAAGTCAAAAGAATCCCATGCCTGACATTAAAACGCCGAAATGTAATTGCGCACAGATTTTGGGTGTGTTTTGATTGATTAAGACACCTCTGTTCAAATTGAACCACAAAACGATTACAGCTTTGGATAGTTCTACATATGAATTTTTCCCATGTCACCAATCTTGTCTGATATCATTATGACTATTTACATAAAGTAAATTACAATTTTCTTTTTCGAAAAAAAATTTTTTTTTAAATATTAAATTAAATAAAATGAAAAATAAAATTCATAGCATTCAAAGCAAGATCAATACCTGAAATAGATTCTTTATCAGTAGATTGCACGCCATCCTTTGATTCAGCATCTGAAAATATATAATAGAAATAAATTTAAAAAAAAAATAAATATTCATCTAATGAAACATTTGTTTAATAACTATATTAACTTACAAATTTAATTATTGGAGCAATGAATTTTAAAAGAAATGAGGAATAAACTAATAAATTATGCAGTTAATATTTTTTTGCATGAGAATCTTTCGTTGCATTTATACAATCCGTAATTATAAATGTTTAAATCACCCAATCACCATGCTTCTACAACTCATTTATGCCTGTATAGCTGCTAAAAACATTAATTCTTAAAATAAAATTGCTAAAATTAGATTTAAAAATATATTATGAAGTATTTCTTTGCATAACTTCTTTAATAAGTGATAATAAAACAAAATAGTACCAAGAAGTCTTAATTTTATCTCTTTTTTATGAAATGCAACAAAGGCAACGATCAGAAAATTTTGAACCTGTTTTAAGAGACTCAAGTTAATACCTTTTTTCTTCTTCTTTGCTTCCATGGTTTCTGCGAGTAGATCCAGCTCTAAATCACTTTCTTCTTCAGCATCAGCAAAATCGTCTTTATCGAACCACCTGTTAATAGTATCCTTTACTCTGTCAGGCCTTTCCACTAAGTCAACCATCAAGGGATTCCTTTTACCTTCCAATATAGCCTCTGTCACTTCAGCCTCTTCATCACTGTGTGCCTCAGAGTCACTGAAAGAAAGCCAAAACACTGGTTATCAATAATACTATGCAGCACAACAGTAGGTACTACAGATTACTACAGCATCTGCATATTATTATTTATCTCAGATTAAAGTTGGGGTAGAAGTGACTAAACTATTGAAAGAAAATAAGAAAAAATTAAAGAGCAAAGAAATTATATCCTGAGTCATGAAAAATGAGGAACAATTTTTTCCTAATTTAAAATCCAACACTAAAAAGTCATTCCAGTCAGTGCAAGAGATGTTAATTTATTTTAAAACCGACAAATAGTCGACTCAATTCTGAGTTTATGACTACCTAAGTTCAACTTCGTATCCTTGAAGTTTTAAACCCAATCCAGAAGAAATAGGAATTCCTGGATCAGGTACTGGGAAAATTTGCCTTCATGGAGGATTTTTTGAACGAACAAATTCACATTTGAGTTACATAGAGAGGAAAACCTCCCATGGTTAGCCTAACGCCAAGGGGATTCTAACTCATGATACATTTACCACTGAAGATATTTTACGCCAGCACTTTGTTCGGTGTGAACTGGGTGCGGAATTTGAATCGACCAGCTATGGCTGGGATCGAACCCGGGTTACCTCATTGGGAGGCGAGCATTCATCTCCTGGGCCACCACTGCTCAGTGCAAGAGATTGGAAATATTCCTCTGACATAAGCAAAGGTTTTCTAAATTGCCAAAAACATTCAATAAAAATAATGATTATCTCTAAAAATAGTTAAAAAAAAATTTTTTTTTTAATTATTTGTGTATCCAGATGAATTTAATTTTTAAAAAAATAATGTAATATTCTATAAAGTCTGAATAGAAATAGCATAAATTTTTAAAAAATAATTTTTTTTTTTGAGTGAAGAGATCACTGGGAGATTTTGTTTCAATAAAGCAAAACGCTAGTTGTAATTTTTTATCTAACTGATACCTCACAAGTCATATTTCTTATAAATAATAAAAGAAACAGGAATATATATGATATTTATTTGAATATGCATATTTAAATACATTTAATTTAATTACCTAAACAGAAATTAAGTTCTTTCATGCAGGAAATATTTTTGAGTTTTCTATATTTCTTATCTTACCCTAAATTATTTTGAATTGAAAATTATGTATCAACAAGAAAGAAAGCAATGATTTTAAAAAAAAAAAATTAACCTTTTCATTTCAAGACTTTCTTTTTCTTTTAAAAAGTCCTTTTGTAATTGTTACACAAAATCTGTATTAGTAAATATGCATGCACTGTTCACAAACTAATAATAAAAACATGTGATTCTTAAGAATGTCAACAACAAAAAATACCTCTCAAATTCTAATTCACTGCCTTCGTTTTCATCACTTGAATAAAAATAGTCTTCTTTTTCAGCAGCCTCTGCTTCAGTTCGATGATCATCTTCCACATGTCGATCGTAGGGCATGAAAGATTTTTTGTATTCTAAGATGTTATCTGCATCCATTTCAGGAGGTTCAAAATTAAATTCTAAATTATCTTCATCTTCTACCTGTAACAACTCCTGCATAGAGAATAATAAAAACAGTAAATAAGAGATATAAGTAACATATAAGTGTAATAATGTGCAAAAGTATTTACATCAAATTATCAAAATCATGATAAAAATATATTCCAAAAATATATATATTAGTCTGAAGTTTGAGCTAGTTTAAGAAGACAACCTTCCATAGACAATGTGATTGGATTACTGAGCATTTAACTTTAAAATATGAGTCTACGAACAGAAACGTTTTTCTTACTGGAATTTACTTAGCTATCTTTTATTTTAAGATTAAAACAAACTTAAATTAAGATTTTAAAACGCATGACTATAAACAATAAGCTAGAAAAATTAACATCAAATATTAATGAGAAATAAATTATAAAATAAAAAAGCTGATTTAAGAAGAAAAAAATTTTTTTAGCCAACTATTGCAAAATGTATAAAAGCTATTCATTGGAGGAGGATTTTTTAAAATAAATAAAGAGGAATTTTTAAAAATTGATAAAAAGAGACAAAAAAAAACTTAGTAATCTAATTATTTAAAATGACTGCAATGCTTTTACATCTAAGATTATTAAAATTTACTTGAATAAAAAAAGTTACTGTGTATCATAACGTCATACTTATAAATAAAATAGACATTATATTCAAGTCAAATAGTTAAACTAAATGTCTGAATGACACATATGTGAAAAATTTTAATGATAGCAGAAAAATAAATTTGTTTCAATTGATTTAAAAATCATAAGATTAGAAGAAATAACTGCAACAAATATAATATTAGACAGTTTGGATAACAAAATAATACAAACAATCTAACAAGATGTGAATAACTAAAATAATAATTTAAAAAAAAAATCTTTTTATTTGCATCCTACATTAGTCTCACTTCATTATTTAGTAATAGATCAGGTAGGGTTATGTTTGCATAAAATCAGGCTTATTTTAAAGAAAGTTCTGAAACTGAACTATTAAATTAATTTTATGGAAAAATTTTATACTTTTCATATTGGATCCATATAAATTAACTATAAAGCATAACTTATTTATTTTGTTTAATTGTTTCTTTACAGTAATGCATTCAAAATATAAGAAATGCTTTAAAATATTTTTCTTCATATTATTAAATAAAAAATTAATGTTCATGGCCATCAAATTTAGGTTTCATTTAATATGCAGTCCATTTTGCAGAACTCAACAAAATTTCATCAAAAAGGAAGAAGAGTGTAAGATTATTTGAATATTAGGAATATTAAGGATAGTAAAAATTCATATCTATAGTGGTCAGTTAAAGTATTTTTATTCAATTTAACTATCTAATGAAAATAGCTTTGTTCACCATTAAAAAACTTTAATATGAAGAAAGAAATTTGTGTGAAAACCCATCTATGTCTTTAAATAGTTGTACCATTATGATATTCTGGTAATTTACTTTTATTGTATAATATATTCTTTATATTGTTATCTCTCTATCATTCTTCTCTTAAATAATTTTTTTTTTAAAATTTGCCTTTAATTATAAAATCCTGGTAAATTTCTCTAAAAACAAATTATTTCAGTTTAAGAGGAAAAAGTAAATATTTGTTAATATATACCCACTTTATGCCCCAAATTCTCCATTCTTCAATTTATCAAATTCATTTCATTTAAAAAAAGAAAATAATAAATAATTCATAAGCAAATAGTCAAATGAAAAAGTATAATTTTAATAGTGGTTATTGATAAAGGAATTATTTAAAATATGCAACACAAAGGAGCCAGGTGTAAACCTAAAAAATAAATCGAATAATCCAGTCTTATTTTCGAATTTAAATTCATATTAAAGTGAAAGAATGAATTTGATATAGGAAATATGAAATAATGCATTGTACAACAAAACTAACAAGAAAATAAATTATTAACAGGAAGCTGCTAACAGAATATTTTTTTCATTAAGAACAAATTATTGGCACTTGGATAGGGGAAAAAAAATCATAGTCTATCAGCTGTTGAAAACATTCTTAAACGTAGGAAATTTGAGAATATATTTTAAAAATATGACATACTATTTCACTAAACTCATTAATTTACATAATTGCTTTACAATTTAATTCAAAATGTTAAAAAGCTAATCAATTTGAAATCTAAATTTTTTATATGATAATTGACTTCTTACACTTTTATTCTTAATTTGAGACAGCTTAAACAAATCTCTGTCTTCCTCAATAATGGGATCATCATCTTTAATAATCATCTTCAAGTTGATGCGATCATGCAATTTCTTCCTCTCTTTCAAAGCTTTTTTCTTCTTTCTTTTTGCATCTTGGAGTTTAGATAATTCCAGGTCTTCGGCTTCTTTGACAGCAGATTCAATTAATTTCTCTTCTTTTAACTCTTCTTGATCAATATCATCACTGAAAATTTTAAAATATAAGCAATCAAGACAAAAGAAAGCAAACTCATCTATAATAAAAAATATTCATTAATAAAGAAATAATTCTCTATTCCTTTTTCATTCTTAAAAGACCGCTTTTTTTCTCTAGCTAAAGAATAAAGATGCGTGGCAGTAACAGTAATTTTGTATTTATATATAACAAATAGAATAAAGATTTATGAAGGAAAAAAAATTATAAATATAAAATATTCTAAAAAATATTTAAGAATTTAATTTTTTTAAAAATTGAAAAGTCAGAAAACAAAATAATTAAAAGATATAATCTTGTCATCAGCTCACATGATTATATCCGCAAAAAAAAAAAACTTTCTAATATTGTATATAATTTTTTTTTAATTAAATTCTTAAATATTTTATTTTTATAATTTTTCTTCTTCTCTATTCATAAATCTTTATTATATTTTTTTCCATGTTTTCTCGATATTATTAACTAATTTTGAGTTCTGTAAACTTGCAGTGTATAAGCAGTAAAAAAAACTTATTATTTTCTTAATTTTCATTGTTATTCTCTTTTCTTTTTTCCTTTTCGTCTTTATTATGTTACATATACATAATTCATAAACTTGCATATATTTCACTTTTCATTAACTGTATACACGCTACTGTTTAACCCCTTAACGATCGGTTAGTTTTCCATAATTTGGTCATAAAAGTGCCTATTTTTTTGGCTTTTGTATTTGTATTACGTATTTATTAGTGCTGACATTGTGCGCGTTAACTACTGAACACTCCAGCCCGGAAATACCACAGGAGCGAGAAATAGAGGGAGGACCTCACCCCGTCATTTTCAAGGGAGTGAGAAGGAAGGAGGTAAAAAAATGGAACATGGACTTAAATTTTGAATTTAATTAACCAATTAAGTCCAAAAATTTTTCATTAATTTAAAATTTATAAGGTATTTTTTGAATATAATTCAGCTCTGTTACCTTAATTATTAAATTTTTATAAATTTTACCAATTTGGTTTAATTTGTAAATTTTTATCTTGCTTGTACCAATTAATTTATCAAAAATTAAATTTTAATAATACCACTAAACTACTTGGAAGATGTAACCCTCTGTTAGATATGAAATTCAAAATTTTATTTAAAAATTTTAAAGTCAAAATATAAGTTTGAAACCAAATATTCTATTTCTGGAACAGTGGCATTTCAAGAGTTTTATTTTAAAGTTTTCAGTGATTCATTGACTTATGTTGTATACATTTCCTATTCAATATAAATAAGGATGCTTGCTTGTAAATAGGAGGATGAATGTGTTAAGGTTCAATTATTTTTTTTTTTGGCAAGAATTTGCAAGTGGCTGATAATAGAGTAATAGTGATAGAATACTTAGTATTGCAAGATATGCACTTTTTCATACTCAGTGCTTATCTTTTTGATGAATTTCTAACTATTGAAAGGAAATTTTTTCTTATAAGGTGATGGTTTTCAGAGGGTGATACTCTTTTTCTTGTGTTATTTGGCAATGACCGAGAAATCAAATTTTAAATGAAACGGTTTTATTAATATGATCTCCTAAAATATTGGTATTGAAGAGATTCGTGCTATTAATAGTTTCTTCTTTCAGATTTTTAAAATTTATTTTACTTCAGTGATAAATGTTTCAACTGAATAATTTTTCCCTTTTGTGAGTAACATTTTTTATTTGTCTCATCTCATTTACAAATTTTAAATGCTCTTAATACTATGTCTAAGAGATGCATAACTATACAACAAACAATAATCTTGTTAGAAAAACAGGCTATTAAGATTTGGAAGATTTAGATATTTGTCATCTAAAGCCTGGTGAACCAAGCATTTTAAAAGATAAAGAAAATAACATAGAGCCTGTTATACCATTATAAGTATTTTTTTTTTTAAGTATTATTAGAGAAGATGAAAAGTGAAAGTTCAATTACAAAATTGAATAAGAAAGTGAAATTTGATGATTCAACAGAATTAAAAATTTGGAAACTACTTCGTAAAAATGTCATGAACAAATGAATTGTGCTCCTTTTAATGTATTTTACAAACTATTACTGGAGACTACATAGAATATCTCAACAATATATAATCATTTTATGATTTAAAAAAGTTTAAACTATTAACAAACTGATACTTTACATTTTTATGGACTTCTAAGAGGATACCATTTCGCTCTGGCTGATGATATATACTTAACACAACTGAAGTTATCTGGATAACCGTCAGTAAAAAATGCTTCAGGCAAATGATGTTCCAAAAATGGAAATTCTTTCAAAATGCACTTAAAAAAATTTCTTTCACTCAGTATTTTTATTTTATTGTTTTCAGAAACTCTTTAGTATTGAATTTTCCTAATTTTAATTTACGTAGTTTAACCTTTCTTAATAAGGTTAAACATTTAAATTATAGTGAGAATAATAAAATTTCCATCCTTAAAATTCTGATTATAAAAGAGAAAAAATTAAATTTATCTTTATAATAAAAGAGATTGTAAGAGAAACACAAAACACATTGGATACATGAACTTCCAAAGTACTTCTTTCTTGTTGCCACATGAGGAAAATGTTACAAATAGAGTAAATGTAGACAATAACAGAACATCCAATAAAATGAAGTCTTTACAGTAAAAAAAAAAATTATAATACCTTAAGATTTAAATTTATCTATATTAAACTGACCAAATTACAAGACAAGAAGAATCTACCAGGTTAGGAGAATCTAAAATATGGATGATTTTTAATAATCCTGTAATTTCTAAAAAAGATACAGGGTTACCAAAAATGCATACTTTTACAAACTTTAAACTGGGAGAATAATCAGTTATCATGTTCAATTTTTAATATAATCTTGACTAAAACTTTTAAAAAAATTAACACAACGAATGAGAAATAGAAAGTGAAAAAAAATGAATAAATAATTACAGGGAAGAAAATTACAATGAATCTGGACAGATTTAAAATTACCGATAGATAAAAAATTTCAAATTTTAATTGAATAAATAATGTTGATTACCTTTTCTCCTCAGGTTTTTCACTTCCTTTAACAATTGATGCCATCTGTTTCTTCCAACCTAATAGTAGCCTAAAATAATAAAATGCATACAAAAATTAAATACAACATTTCAATATGATATAGACAGTGATATAGACAGTTTCAATATGATATAGCTACTAAGTGGTATTAAAATATTAATGAACAAATATTTTTTCCCTTTTTTGCACTTTAAACTATTATGACAAGATAATGAAGTCTTTAATAAAAACATCAATTTGAATTATTCATATTTCGTAGTATCAAAATCAAATCAATTAAACAAATAATCAAACAATAAAACATAAATATAGCTATGACATTTAAAAAAAATCTCCGTATGAAAGGCGATAAGATTTTATGAATAAAGTTATAATATTATTAAAAAAATAGCTATACGTATAGGATAAATAATCAGTTTTGAATGATTAGTAATTCAAATAGACTAACTTTAGATCAGCTTTTCCCAAAACTTTAATATCTTTACAACACTCTTTCACTTCATCTGTAGTTAACTTGTGATCTCTTATGTCATCATCATCAAAAATAATCTAAAAGTGAGCAAATTTCTAAATAATGAACTAAATTACACGGCTAAATAAAACAACAACAAAAAGTTACATATCAGTATGATAGTATAAAGTTCCTCAAGAAAATTAATGGGCTACATCTCAATATAATACAGCAAAGCATGATAATTTTTATATTGACTTGTTTTGAGAAAATTTAACATTTTAATCATGTAACCCATTAGAATAAAAAATGCTGAAATGGCATGGCAATGACATTCGCCAATATATTTTTGTGCTATAATTGAATTAGCACATACAAGTCAACATACTTTGAGCATTTAAATATTAGACTAGCATGACGAATTTCATAAGGAAATGTAGTATTCTGGAAATGCATGCAGCAAGACAATCACGAATGAAGTTAAATGTACATAAACAGGTAAAAACAAAGAAATAAGCAGCTCAAAAAAAATAATAATAAATAAATAAATAAAATAGAATAGCACAATAAATCATGCAATATATTTAAAATTACATTTATATGATTCGAGCACTAAAAATATAAATTTCTTTATCATTAAAATTAGAACCAGTGTAATATTAAATTTGACACTTATTTTGTTATTTAAAAAGTAATTATTTTACAGTTAAATTTATTTAATTTGTTTAAAAGAAGCTTTGATTTTTTATGCTTATATTTTTTATTTACTGAATAAAATATTAAGAAAAAGATGTGATTTTATTAGTTTAGCTTATTAATCAATATATTTTGACATAATTTTATGGTGCAATATGTTGCATGTTTATATGGTGCTCCTATTAAAGCCAACAAATAATAGCACAAATATAATTTTTAAAAAATTCTACAAACATTTTTTGTCTTATTTTATTCTTTATGAAGATTACCTGAGTGCATTTACTGAGTTTTTCAAGATGATTTTCACAAAAGATGAATTCTGAAGCTTGGAGTGTGCTGTAGACAGACGATTCATCTTCATAGCCTTCAGCTTTCTGTTTCTTATTGGTGACTGCCAGAAGATTTGATTTTGTCTCAACATTTTTCTGATTGACATCTTTAAACAAATGAGAGCCGTCCAAAAATTTAGGATCGATCCGATCGGGAGCTCGATACCCTTGGCAAACCACAAATATTTCAGATGATTCATTTCGAGAGGCTTGTGGCTTTGTTACATGTACCTAAAAGAAACATATGCAGTCATTATGATATAAATAGGAAAGGTTTTATTAATTAAATAAATGTAGAAATAAAAAAACTTACAAGTTTAAACAACTTTTTGAATACCCAAACAAGTGATAAATAATCTTTGGATCGAAAAACCTTTGTTATGAACCAGCCACCTTTCACAAGAAATTCTGTTGCCAACTTCAATGCACTTAAAGTAAGTTGATCTAATGAAAATAAAACAAAATACAATGATAGTAGATTTTATAATATGACTTGTGATTAAATAAGAAATGGTTTGATTATGAATTCCTTACTTTGAGTGAATGCATCCTGTATCCAGTTTTGACCAACATTAGGAGCACCATCATTGAGAACAACATCTGCTTTCCAAGTGCTCAATTGCTTTTTCAATACCTAACCAATAGAAATCACTAAGTTAACAGTCAACCAATCAATAAAAAATTAATTTTTGCATTACATATAATTATGAGTGTGACAAAATATAATATAAGTGACATTATTCTGTATATAAACAGCATACCTGGCGACAGCGATCTGTTGTTATATCTTCTTGAAATGTAATTACATTTGGTAAGGACTTTATAGGTACAAGATCAATACCTATATAAAAATTAATTAGAAAAACAGCTTTCAATACAGCACAAAAACATTATGAAGAGAGTTAGCATCAAAAAAAGAATCAAAATTAACAAATCAATAACAAATAAAAATATTTCACGTTCTGATTTTACACTTTTCTTTACATATCACATTATTTAATGACTTTTTCAAACTGATCTTTATTTACATTTGTAGATAATTTTCGTTTAAAAAAAGTAATTAAACAAATAAATAAAAAAAAATAAACAGTTATAATGTGGCAAAAATACACACTTATCATGTGGCACTTATAAAGTCAGTGTCATATTTTGTCAAGATAAAGTGTTGGATTAGAAGATGGCATGTTAGTATAAACATGTTTTATCATAAATAAGATTTTTATATTAAGTTTAGGTTAATTCAAAATCTTACACATACCTCAAAAACATAAAGTCAGTGAAGTGAAGAAGTCAAGACAAAAATAATCAATTGATTTGCTTTATTACATGTTTAATACTAATGTTAGTCCGGGGAGAGAGGAGATAGATTAAAGCAGAATATTCTAATGTGCATCTAAACACATATTTCACACACTGGATTTGAGTTTTACTCCTCAATTTTTCCAGGAGTGAAATCAGTTCTATAAAATTTTTGATGAAATTGCTAGATATTTTTTGCCATTGAATAAAGATATCTTAATGAAAAAGAAGAAAAAAAATCAGTGTAGAATTACCCTTTCCTGTATTCTGAATTTAGAAAAGTAATTATAATTGCTTTAACAGCGCCAATAACTACAGCTGCTTTAAAAGAGGCATTGTAACTCAAACTAGAATAAAATTTAAAAAGCTAGCTTTATAGCAATTGGATAAGGCTTCCAGATTATTTTGTGAAGAACACTTTTTTCATGCTACAAATGTATGTGTCAATTGTAACACGAATTTTGAACATGCTGTTAAATGGTAGGGAGAAAGAAAAAAAAGTTAAATTCCATAGATTTTACTATTATTTCTTTTAAACCTTCCTCTATTTAACCTGTAAATAGAGAAAAAAATTGCAAATAATGAGGAATAATTTTTTTAAGTTAAATATTTAATCAATAATTCTAGTGTGATTACTTTCTCTAATATATTTTAATCAGTTAATCTTTACTAGCATGAACCTGGGATATGGTGTAAACACTTGGTTATAGTAAATAGTTTTAGTGATATCCCTCGAACACACATTTAACTGATATTATACGCTTAAAGTTAGACAGCTGAAAATTTGGTAGTTTACTTATAATAAACAAAAATTTCCTTTCCTTTTTTTGCCAGGAGATATGATTGCAAATTGTCACAATGTTTACGTTTTGTATTTAGATAATATTTACGATTTTATTTATAATTTGTTAGTCTTACACTTATTATTTCAGCGTTTAATTGCATGAGATGGAATGAGTGGGGCCATGCAGAGTTGACAGCAGTGTGATAGCTTTTGGAACATAGTCAGTAGGTGCTTCTTGTTCACTTATTCTAATGTTGGGTGTGTGTCAGTTTTTTGATAGGAGATATGTGTTACTTACAACTATGTGTTGTTTAACTAGAAGCAGTCTTCTATTTTATAATACTTGATATAATCATTTTATGTTGAAATAAAGAAAGAATTTTAGTTAGAAGTTTGTTGTTTTCATTAAAATAACTCACACAAATTAAGGCATTTCTTTACATTTTATCAAATCTTACTCATGCATGCTTTTTGCTCTGAAACTAGGTAAGAAAAAATTTTACATGGAAAAAAATTTCGGCAACTTTTTTCTGACAAATAAAATTGTAATTGACATTAAATATTCAGAATTCTCCTTTGCAGAAAAAGAGGACTAAAGAAAATAGATTTTTGATCATAGTAATTTACAAGGTATTATCTGCAGTGGCAAATAATTCATAATCAAAACTTTTAGCCTTGTGAGTAAAAATTGCTGCAGATTATCTGCTAAGATGCTACGAACTGTCATAAAATCCACAGATATCACGGTTAGTTCAGCGCAGCAATCTACATTTATCTATTATAAACATAACATAATACATAATATAACTTTAATATATACTTAAAAAATTAATAAAAATATAATATGCATGAATCTTTCTAATGAAAATTTTAAAAGGTGCAAATCAAATACGCAAAAAATGCTTGCTGCCAGATCCAAAAGAGAAATAATGACTTTCAAATTCCTTTCATCCAGCAGAATCTATGACACATAAGAGCTAATGGGCAGCAGTATGTTTTCGTACAAGCAGATAGGCAGTCACACTGGAGATTCAACACTGTTAGATTTGCAGATGCAAATAAGAACCAGAATGACAAGTTTTCCATGGATTAATATATTTTATTAATAGGATTAATATATTTTATTAATACCTAGGTTCATGAGTTTCCAACTCGCATCCATGAATTACACAAAAAATTTACACATGCTAGTTGGAAATATAGTGAAATCCACTCTTTTTTTAAATTATTTATGGTAACTATTGGCAGGGTAAAGATAAATCTATTTACTTTTTAATAATGCTAAAAAAATAGAATTGTGCTTGGGAGTAATTACTGGTTATATTCCAGGAGTTGGTCCCTTTATGTGATTTTTTTTTCAAAATTTGTTGCACATCACAGCTTGGTTATTGCAGAACCTGATCTTTTTTCTGTGTGAATAACAAATAATAAGAGAACAATATATTTCTCCTTAAATATATTTCTAAATTAGATTAGATTTTTATAAACTCAGGAATAGAAATCATGCAATCTGCAGAACTTACATACCTATAATAACACTAGAAACTGGCATAGCTTGTTGTGCTACTTGCAGCCATCCTCCTGGTGCAGCACACAGATCAATTAATACTCGAGATTTTGGAAGAAATTCAAATTTCCTATTCAGCTGAATCAGTTTAAAAGATGCTCTTGAACGATAACCTATGTCACAAGATGAAAAAAATAACTAAATTTTTGGTTTCTATAAATAAATTAATACAATTATAATATCTACTGTTTGACGGTAAACGACTTATATATTTGTCAAAAAATTTTGATGTTCCAAAAGGTCTAGAAATTTAATGAATACAAATTAATTTCACAAAACCTACCTGTTTCTTTAGCTAATTTATAAAATTTATCTTTTCTTTGTTTTCCAACTTTTCCTTTTTTCCCCATTATGAGAATAAAAATGTACAAATATCCTGTACGGAAAATTTATAATCCTCGTGGATTAATTTTGTTTATTTGCGACTGTGAACGCTTCCGGGTGGTCTATTTCTACCCAGTCTGGAAACTTTAGATTTTAGCGCACCTTTATTGTAAATTCTCTATCAATACGCAATTACAAAAACTACATAGTTTTATCTCCTTTTATTGTGTTTCACGTTAGCTGTTGTAATATGCTATTGGCGATGATAAGAAAACGCTCCAAAAATTTATTTTTACCTTTTTTAATTTTATGGCATTGCTATTTTAATATTGCATCATTTGTTTGTATAATTATGACGTACACAAACAAAAATATTTTCTACTTTTTAAATGCTTTAGTCTGGCACGAGGGTATAATAAGTTCAGCATATTTGATGAACTGAAAGAACTGTCTGAACCCGTTTATTCTCCACTCATCTTTCATTCCCTATTTATCAAATACACTTAGTACTTTGAGGTCATATATTTTGAAAGTCATATCTGTTGTGAATATCTAAATTGATACTTTGCACAAATTCGATATTGATAGAGAAGTATTGTTAATTTATTCCCTCTCTCAATTATTACTCACAATTTTTTTTTGTGTGTAATAAAATACAATAATTTTACGTATTTAAATGCTCTGCTATTTTCCACCAATTAACATGTTATAAAGTCATTCCTGTTTTCTATTGTATGTTCACAAATTAAAAAAACATTTTGCCCATAGATAAAATTATCCGGGATATTTTCGTATCGGTATCTGTTCTGCGTCTCCTCGTTCCCCTTCTGTGATGTTTTAGTTTTTTAAGAGTCGTTACCAGGATGTTACCAAAGTTTGACAACTATTTTGACTTGGATACCGATACAGAAATTTTTCTAAGCTATAAAAAGTTAATATGAAAACCAGTGTAGATTTTTTTTATTCTTCTAAATTCACGCTCTTAACTGAAATCATAAGCCAGATTGCATACAATGTAAATATTTTATCCATGTGAATTAAAGCTAAGATGAATTCAATTTAGTTTCCTCCCCTTTTAGTTACAGTTATAATGTATTTCAGTGTTATAAGTTTTCCACTTCACGTTACACAAATATTAGATTGTTCTAGCTTTTTGAAATTAATAAGGAAGGCAAGATTTCTTTCATGTCTTCAGATGTTTTTTTTTTTTTTTTTTACCATCAAGAAACGATGTTATCTCTGTTAATATTTTTTAATAATGGTGGACAAAGCTGTAGTAAATCTAACAATTCATAAGCTGTTGCTGTCTGATATTTTTTCTGTCTTACTAGCAAATTGAAATAGAACTTATTAGTTTAACCTTTTGCATCTCGCTGTATTCGAGTCATAAAAAATAGTGTTTAGCTTGCTTAGAGCTCTATCTATACTTGGTGGAGTAAATGAAAACAATATCTGGAAAAGGAGATTTAACTTTGAACTGTACAAGATTTATAAACAACATTATAGATATTATTAAATACATAAAAATAAATAGAATGAATTGGATGGCCCACGTGATTCAAATAAGTGATGACAATACAATAAAAAAGATACTGCTTTTTTGATTTATGGAACAAGAAAGCGGGGGAGGCCGCGGTTGAGATGAGCTGTCTCAGTGGAGTCTGATTTCATCGCAATTAATGAAAGGAATTGGAGATCAAAGGTAAATCGGAAGTCGGCATGGAGAAATCTTCAGAGGAAATCATTGGTTCACATTGGGCTGTCTGGCCAACTATGATGATGATGATGAGAGCTCTATTTAAAATGTTGATGCAATTATATGAATGAATTAATAACCTAATTTTTTACTGTGCACATTAGAATCTAATTTACTGTGTTAATTATGTTATACAATAAAAAAATTCACTAAATATGAATTAAAAATAAATAAAATATATTTTTTTAATCTTTATTTTTCTATACACAACTGATTGGTTATACTTGCTTTAAAAATTAAGCAATCTATGTTATTAAAGAATGTTAGCTTTTTTGTTATACTGACTTTTTGCTTTTTCAGAATGCCTCTTTGCGTATTTTATACCAATGTACCAGGCACAAATGTACCTAAAGACTTTGAAGTTGAACTTTGTAAAGTTCTTGCTGAAGTGCTATCAAAGCCTATTGAGGTAATATTTCTTTTAAGAAATTTTAGATGCTATAAAAATGAATGCATGTTAATTTTATACGGATATTTTTAATAATCTTTTTCTAAATAATCTTCATGTACCTTGAATCAAGATAAAAAGTTTTTTACAATCATTGGTAATAAAATTAATTTTTAAAATCTTGTGGAAAATTTACTTACTAAAGTTTATCAAAAATCAATATACATCCTTATTTAATTGAACTAGAGCTCTTATATCCTTTCAAGATGCACCAATTTTATTAAAACCGAAGCAAGCTGCATTATTTATTACTTGAACTTGAATTATATTTGTGTGTAATTTTATTTGTACTGATTGATTTTTTATTTTATTTTCATACTGTAAAGATATACTTTGACTAAAATTTTGTATTTTATTTCACTTTTTGTTGATCTATAAAGAATATTGTCTAAATTTGTTTGACAAGTACTCCTGCTTGAGCTAGAAGTACTCCTACTTGCTTGAAAAGTAGAATATCTATCTTGAACGTACATGTGTGTTCTTTATAATCAAAGGTTAAGAGAGAACTGAATTTAATAATTTAAAATAAATTCTAAATAAATTTTTTTTTCATATTTAATTTGAGTTTTTATTTATTTAAATTTAGAAAGTTACTGTCAATGTTTTCACCGATCAAAGGATGGTGCGTGGAGGATCCTCTGAACCTACATGTTGGATGAATCTGTGGTCTATAAATGTCTTTAGTGCTGAAAATAACCCATTATATGCTTCAAAATTATATCCTTTTATATCTGAAGCTTTAGGAATTAAAAATGACAAGTAAGATAATCTCATGCCATTATAAGCATTACATATTTCCTAAATTTTATTTTCATTTATGTCTTAACTTTATATTCATATTCAGTAAATATAACAGCTAATTCTTTATTCAATGCAACACCTCTCAGATATGAAATTCTATTTTTAATCTTTAAGGGCCTTACATTAAGCTAACTTAGATTACTGCCTTATAGTGCCAGAAAAAAATTAAATAAAATTCATGTTTATGATTAAAATATTTAAATATAAATATATAGAAATATTAATGTTTGACATCTGTCCATATTAATGAAGATAAGTTTTCAAAATATGGAAATAGAAGTTTAAAATGTACGCTTCTATTTTCATATATCTGGAAATCTTGTTATAAAAACATTTTAAAAAATTTTTGAAAACTGCCTTTAATTATGACTACATTTGAATTCGCTAGTCACTTTATATATTATATTTTGAATTTTATTCTCTATTTTCTTGAATTTTTTTTTTGTTTAATTGTTTTATTTTGCATTTTTTGCTTAATAAGCTCAATTTTCATTAAAAAAATTTTGTTGCTCCTCACACTTTTGTATTGATATATTTTGCTTTGGTTATATAAATACAATATAAGAAAGTACTATTTTTTGCGCATATGATCGCGTGAGCTGATGACTAGATAATATCGTTTCTTATTTTATTTTTCAATTTTTTAAAAAAATTTTAATTTTTTCACAGTAAATAAAATTTATTATTTTTTTTTTCATTTTCTTAGTCAAATCTCTTTTTTTCTTTTATCTTTTATTTTTGTCTTCATTATATTATTAAATATATATATATACATATTAGTTTTACCTAGGGATCAATGAGGTGGTTGAGGCGGCCTTGCTACCTTTAACTACTTCGATAGCATAAAAAAAAAATCTTATTATATGTTTGCTATTATATGTATACTTCTTTTTGTGTCTGTTTGTTTGATTTCATTTTTTTTCCTCTTTTAGAATTGTACTTCTATTCCATGATATCAAAGCAGAACAATTAGGAAAGCCTTCCTAATGTAATTTATTCATATATTTACTACTGATGTATATCCAGCTTCTGTTTTTACTATATAATGACAGATTATCCTATTATACTTCTACACTTTTTAAAGGTTTCACTTCGTTAAATTTTTATTTTTTGTAACATTTGAATCTTAAATGTGAATGTTTTATCGATTAAAAACAGCCTCTTTTTAATACGCTTTAACTGTTGTAATTCAACAGTAGATTAGAAAACACTTTGTAGGAGAATAATTCAAGTTACTATTGTTAAACTGATCTGCCTTAAGACATTTTTATATTCTGTGTGACAACTTGCAGAAAACTTAGCAACATAATCTCATTTCTTATCTTTCCAGTGTTGAATATTACAGAGAGAATTTTATCTATTAATTTGTTAAAAATAGAAAATTTAATTGATGTTTATAAAATTTAGAAATTAAATAATCGAATGTAACTGAGTTATTAAACATTTTATAAATTTAATAGAAATGTATTGCTTACTGTAATTGTTCAAATTGTTATATACATTTAGAATCTGATAAACATTTTCAGATACTTTAAATCTTAAGAATACTATATATTTTTACACTGTTAAATAAACTTTGGTTTCTTTTTATATCATATGTTACTTTTTTCATCACAATTTTTGATGTTTAGAGTAAAATCTGCTTTTTTAGTTATTTCAAAATGTCTTAGCATTTTCTTTTACACACACTGGATTTAATATTTTAACGCTACAATCAGAGTTAGTTTGCCTTTCAACATTGCAAGATGCAAGTTATTCATTCCTGTAACCTTTTTATTTATTGCAGACACTTATACTTTTTTTGCGCCATTTATTTTGATATAATAACATGTCAGAGATAGATTTTTAAATTTATATTAAGTTAATATCTATCATTTATAATTTATTTGTGAACAAATATTTAATTTATGATATGAATGCCTTATTCTCATGCTTAATCTGCCATATATGTAATGAAACAAGTGTAAGTTTTGTTTTAAAACTTATGTAGAAACTTTTATAATATATTCATACTATGCAATAATATTCTGGTCAATGTGAAATATGATCTACTTATTGGTTATTTTGTTTCTTTTCTAATTTTTCTTGATTAATATGTAGGTTATACTAGATTATTTTGTAGACTACATTATTTTGATTAAAAAAAATAGCTGAACACTTAACTTTAATTGTTTTTGTTAATCATTTTGCCTACCATTTAAATTCAGAAATTAAAAATGGTGCTATCTCTACCAGTTTTACCTATTAGGCTCCTATTTTTTCTTTTTAAAAAGTTTTAAAAAAGGCATCATAAGCTGTATAGATTTATTTTGTTTTTGTTTTAAAATTTTCAAAAATGGTAGCCTATATCAAGCCTCGGGTTGTTAATAAAGCCTTATTTATTTTCAAATCCAACCTGGAAGTAATTTTTTGCAGTGTCTAGTTAAAAAGTTTTAAGTAATTTACATCATATAGTGCAATATTTTCTCATTCACATACATAAATTGTTATTTCCATAATGTTATATCACTGCTATAATAACCTTCTTTAGCCATGATATATAATTTTAATATGCAATTATACTAATTATCATGAGTAACATGTTATTTTTGGAACAGTTTGGAAAATGTCTCAAAAATCAATTAATTTCATCTAGTCATGATTTATTTTGACTGCCATCATAAAACATTTTTTCATAGGTAAAATTAATTTTTGAACAGTGCTAATTTTTGAACTATAGCTGTTATGTTTAATGATAATCCTTTCTATCCATAATATATTAATATAGTTACTTTGTTGCCTTCACTTTATAAGTTGGAAGTTAAGCTGAAACTATTTATATTTAATGTGAATTTGTTATTTTGTTTTATCTAATTTGTATCTAGTCATTTAAGAAACTGTTTCATACTAATAAATGTCAAGTAAAGTTTAACTATAATTATTTGTTTATCTGACAAACGTATTTTGTACTTTAACAAAATGAGAAAAATTAGCTTTCAAATGAACAAAATAATTTTAGTATAATTTTATCCAATTAGATTTATAATACCCTCCATATGTGTTGTGGCAATATTATATAATTTTATTGTATGTTTAAATATTTCAAATGCTGCCATTTGAATGTTCCTTATGTACAGCGATGTTTTACTGCTAATAAATTTTATATTCATATTATATAAATCTTTCATATTTTTTTCTTTAATTTAATTCATCACTAACTCATTAAAATTAAAAAATTTATTTAAAAATGTATTACAATTTGAATCATTTTATAATAATATCATTTTATAACCTAATAAATATTAAGTTTATTAGTTTTTATTTATTTTCATAAAACAGAGATGATTTTGCTCCGGAAAAAATCCGGATTTTTCACTTACCGCAATCCGGAAATCCAAGGCCTAGAAGTTTCAATAAATCATCGATCACATTTATGTCAAAAAATTCTTGTTATTTTATTTAGAAGTATTAGAGCTAGAATTTATACTTGGCATATCTTTCATTTGTAAATATTTTTTCTTTTAGAATAATAAATGTGATTAGACATAAAAGTAAACTTATACATAATTATTCATTTAAATTATGCAGCATATAATTTTTTTAGAATTTCATGTTTTTAAAATATAAATAGTTTAAATTTATGAAGACATAAATTTTTTAAAATGCGTCATTATTGATTTTACTCGAGAAATTTTCAGGATTTTTTAGTTGGGCTCGCATTCACCCCTAATAAAAGTAAACTTTGTTTGAATAAGAATTTTAAAATTTAATAATGTGCATCATTTTTTCGTAGAACTATTCAAAATACTTTGGTCAGAAATGAACTGGTTACCATTACTGGTCATCAATGTACTGATAACACTCTCAATTTTCACCTGTAGTCACAGATCGTGGTGCATATAAATAAAAAATTTTTGAAAGATCAAAATTCAAAGAAACTGTTCCTTGATTTTCAAAGTTATATCCTTAAAATTAATCTTTAAGTTGCTAATAAAACAGACAGTGGAATTTGTATAATAATTTTTCTAAATCTAGAAGAACTATTTTTCTAGACCAAATTAAAACTCAGCAAAGAATTATTTAAAGAACAAATATTTTTAACATGTTCTACGATCGGGGTCATCAAAGCTTTTTGGAATATAAAAATTTGAATATTTTTTTGTTTGAGATTTTAATATTACAATTTGAATACTTTGTTATAAATACTCTAATTTCTTTAAGTTTTAGACATCAGTGCAATATAAATCATCACTATTATCTTTGTAGTACTTTTTATCGTTTTTGTAAAAATTATTTTGATTCTTTCTTATCCATATGGAGTGCTCTATATTAACTACCTAAATATTTCCAAACCCTGAATCTAAACAACCATTGTTGAGATCTAAAAACCAAGTCAGGTATTAAAATCATCAAGGACAAGCCACTACGATCTCCATGATATGGAAACACCAGCAATCTTGAATCCACAAGTTGTGTGAGCTCCAAAAAAGTTTCTGGAACTGAAGCCAGCAAAACTCAACTCTCCTTATAAGCCGACTTTATATATAAAAAAAATTCTTTTTCTACAGTCCTGCGTTCTGAGTTACTTGGTTTTCAAAAAATTTCTGGTCGTTTTTTAAATCCCACTGGATTTAAGAGCATCCCAAACTCCATAGTTCTTGGATTATCATAAATCTCAATAGATCTCGAAGCATCACAAATGATTCTAGAGCATCTAACTTGATTTCAGAGCAACGTTATTCCAATGGTTTTCAGAACAACACTTTCCCTGTGCATTTTGGAACAAACCAAAGAAGTAGCGCAATACAAATATTGTTCAGACCAGCCCCATATGTTGTAAGCATACTCAGCTGCTCGCAAACAAATAATTGTGCTCACACTACACGTGAGTCACGAACCATGTGTAGAATTTGAAAGGCACATAATCGTAAATTGAGTTGGAGAATATATTTATATTAACAAATTTTTTTTGACAGTGCTCTGTTGGTGAATAACTTCAGACTCCAGAAAATTTTTCTAAGCACCAACCAAAAATTCTTGCTGGTCCATTCCCTGGGTATCATTCACATTCAAAGCATTCTCAGAAACCAGAGTATCACCATCCCAATGGATATCAGAGTAACACTACCTCAAAGTCGCACCATCCCAATAAATTTCGAAGCATCACAATTCCCATGGACCATCACAAACTTCATGTATCTTGGAGCATCCCAATTGATATCAGAGCAACGCTATTTCAAAGTATAACCACCCCAATGGATTTCGAAGCATCACAAATTCCATAGAGCAGTTCAATGGATTTTAGAGCAACGCTATACCGATAGATTGCAGAGCAATGCTACACGAGTTGATGTCTGAATATAACGTCATGGAGCATTCTAATGAATTTTACAGCAATGCCATGGAGCATTCCAATGGATTGCAGAGCACCGTTAAACCAAAAAATTTTGAAATAACGCCAATACTTTTTAAAGCTATTGAATATCACATGGATTCAGGAGCAGTCCAAAGAAGCATTTCAATATGAATGTTGTTCATAGAAATCCAGTGCATCTGCAAATGTTTCTCCGACCAACCCAATTGGGTAGCGACGCTGCATTAACGCAGCGTCACTATGATGTTGGAAATATGCTCAGCTGACCGCAATCAAGTTCTTGAGCCAACACTACTCGTGAGTTGTGAACCATGGGTAGAATTTGAAAAGCACTGCATCATGAATCGGGTTGGGAAAAGTATTCTGGAATCTGAGTCAATTAACAATTTAAATTTTTTACTGTATTGTGTTGATAAATAACTTTTTAGGCTACAGAAAAATTTTCTGAGTTCTAACCAAAGTTTTTTTTGACCCTGCTTTTGTGTGTCATTCACATTCCAAGTACTCTCAGAAACCTTCAGAGTTCACCATCCCAAAGAGTCTCCGAGCATCCCAAGGTATATCAAAGCAACGCTACTTCAAAGTCGCTCCATCCCAATAAATTTCTAAGCATCGCAAATCCCATTAAGCAGTCCAATGGATGTCGGAGCAATGCTATACCAACGGATTTCGGAGAAGGCTATACCAATAGTTTTCAGAGCAGCGTCATGGAGCATCCCAATGAATTTCAGAGCAACGCTGTCCCAATGGATTTTGTAGAAATGTCAATAGTTTTCAGAGTAACACTATCATTATGGACCTTGACAAAACTTATAGATTTTGGAACAGTCCGAATAAGCATTGCAATACGAATGTTGTTCACAGCAACCCAATACAGCGTCGCTATGATTGTGTAAACATTTTCAGCGCTCAGATAAAACGTTTTTCCTTGACCATAATCAAACGTTTGAGTTAACACAACCCGTGAGTTGAATCTTGTGAACCATTTGCAGATTTTGAGAAATACATAATCATGAATCGGGTTTTGAAAAATATTCTGAAGTCTTTGACAAAAAATTTTCATCAACTAACGATTTTCAAAAAAAAATTTTTTTTTTACAGTGTTGATTGATGGAGATCTTTTGTCTCAGGCTCCAAAAAATTTTCTGAGCACCAACCAAAGTTATTTTCTGAGCTCCAACCAAAGTTATTTTCTGGTCCTGGCCTTGAGTGTTTTTCACGTTTAATTGAATTCCCAGATACATTCAAAGTATCTCCATCCAGATGGAGTTTGGAGTAACACAAAGGATCTTCGAGCATCACAAACCCCATGAATCTCGGATCATCACAAATCTCAGTAGATTTCAGAGCAACGTTATTTTAGTGGTTTTATAGTATGTCCTTGATTCCTTGATGTCCTTGATAGTCAATCGATTTTGGAGTATCATCATCACACAGTTGATTTTGAAGTATCATCATCCCAATGGATTTTGAGCAACACCAATAGTTTACAGAGCAACATATGCTTATGGAGATCACAAAACACATGGATCTCGGAGCAGTGGTAAGAAGAATTGTTATACGAATGTTGTTCAGAGCAACCCAATGCAGTTCGGAGCATTGCTGTGATTGTATAACGTTCTCAGTTGAAACGATTTTACTCGACCACACATATAACCCGTACATACACATAATTACACAACACATATAATTAATGCACATATAACCCGTGAGAACCCGGGGGATGGGGAATATATTCTGGAGACTGAAGATTTTCATGTTTATAATAATACAAATTACAGTGTTAGATGAGGAAAATATTTTGTCTCAGGCACTTGGAAATTTTCTGAGCTTCAACCAGCATTTTTTTCTGTTCCTGTCACTATGTCACTGAAAAATTCAAAGCATCACCATCCCAATGGATTTCTGAGCATCCCAATAAAATTTTTGAGCATTCCAATAGGATCCTAATGTATTACAGAGCATCACATTTCGTGATATTGCCTCTTTAAAGGTTAGAAGAAGGTTGACTGTACCTGCATGAAGGAGGTGGATATATAACATCAAGTGGGCTGAGCTAACATTGTTGGTTGATGAAGAGCTTTTGTCTCAGGATCCAGGAAATTCTTCTGAGCAAAATTATTTTCTGGTCCTGTCTTTGTGTCCCTGGAAGATTCAAAGCATTCCGATGGATCTCCAAGCATCCCAATGGATTCAAGTCCCAATGGGTTTCAGGGATCCTAATGGATTTCGAAGCATCACAAATCCCATGGAGCAGTCAAATGGATTTCGGAGGTACCCGATGAATTTTAGAGAAACTTCATTTGATTGCGGTCGAGTGAAAACGTTTCAACTGAGCACCGAAAATGTTTACACAATCATACGAACTCATCACATGCTTCGAACTGTATTTATTAGGTTGCTCTGAACAACATTCGTATTGCAATGCTTCTTTGGAATGCTCCTGAATCTATGGGATGCTCTGAAAACTTGGGATGCTCCAAAATTAATTCGATAGCTCCATGAGATATGTGATGTTCCAAGATCCATTTCGATATTCTGAAAATCTTCGGGGTTCGGAATGCTCTTGAATCCTTTTGGGATGCTCCGAGATCCACGGGGTTTGTAAAGCTCCAAATCCATTGGAATGTTCCAAGATTCATCAGGATGATTTGAATGTTTCTGAGAATGCTTTGAATGTTTCAGTAATGCAACGATAGGGCTAGAAAAAAGTCTGGTTCAGAAAACATTTTGGAGTCTGAGACAAAAGATATTCCTCATCTAAATTTGTATTATTATGAATATGAAAATCTTCAGACTCGAGAATATATACCCCGCCACCGGATTCTCACGGGTTGTGTGAGTATTTGATTGTGGTCGAGTGAAAACGTTTCAGCTGAGTACGTTACACAATCATAGCACTGCTCCAAACTGCATTGGGTTGCTCTGAACAACATTCGTATAACAAATCTTCTTACCACTGCTCCGAGATCCATGGGTTTTGTGATGCTTCATAAGGATAGCCAAAACCCATTGGGATGGGGATACTCCAAAATCCATTGGTATGGTGATACTCCAGAATCGATTGGCATGACGATACTTCAAAACCCATTTGGATACTTTGGAACCATAGGAACCCCTGCTTCGGTAGCATAACGACCTGCACGCGAAGTTGAGCCCTTTACGGTAGAACAATTTAAAGAGGACCAACACTGCGCATCCTCGGTCCCTACGCAAACTAATCTAAGTGGTCACCCACCAGCACACTGACCGCAACCTGTGATACTTAACTTCCGTGATCTGCTGGACTAAATGAGAAATGACATCACAGATTTTGAGATCATTCCTAATAGAGGACTATTTTCACTGTATGCATCTTTTACGAACGAGATTTTGATTGGTTTCAATTCCAGTACTTTGGCTCACATGCGAAAAAATTGCAAGTAGTGAGAATAGCTAATATAAAACTCAAAAGCAAAATAAATACTTTTACTTCACTTATTAAACTTCAAATTGTAAACAAACAACAAAGTTCTGTTTGTAGCCGCACATGTTCAGTTTATAAATTGTCGATATTTTTATTACTCGTTGATTATAATTTTTAAATCAACTTTTGAGTTGGTTTTAAAACTATTTCTAAAATGGTAACAGTTTTTTCTTTTTAAAAATGTCTTTTTATATAACCTATATATCTAATTATTTATTTGCCATCTTAGCTTTATGTATCTTAAAACTATATAGAGGTATTTATAACAACTACCTATGTAAATTATCTGAGTTATTGTTATAAATATATTGTTTATGCGAAATTAAATGAAAATTAGTTGGTGATTTGAGATTGAGATACTATGTGTGCGCTATAAGTATTTTTAATTTGCTCTCACAATTTGTCTGCATGTAAAGGCATGGAATAAAAATTGAAAAAAACTGTATGATGTGGAACTATTTCGTTTGCAAATAGTTTGAACTTATTTCTTGTTCTTCGTTAGAGTGTGGCCATTGGAATAGGCTCTGTATTTTGGAGTGTTTATTGTTAATACACTCTTCCATTTTCCTATTTCTATCTCAAATTCTTATTGTTGGAAAAATTTTACTTTTAAGTCAACATAAAAAATTGCCAAAATAAGAAGCACACCTAACAATAAATTTTATGCCTGAAATCTCCATTACTGACACTTTTATTCATATGATTTATGTATGAATTTATATTTCTCCTGAAAGTTTTCAATTTAGTTTTTGTAATGTCACATGCTATTTTAAGTTTCCAATTTCTTTTTTAGCATCAACTATATGTTTTATATGAAGATGCAACTGGCTACGCGTTATTTCGGACAACAGAGTTTGAAGAAATAGCAACTTTTTTACCTCAAGTTCAGGATAGTGTCATTGACATAAGTAAATTTCGCAGTGTCGTTTTCCTTGTCGCCTTTCAAAAATTTGAAACATGGAGGGAAGGATTGGAGAACCTAAAGTGTGTTTCTACAGGTAAATTAAACTGCTGCTGTAAACTTTTATTAAAACAAGATGTTTTTATATATGTATTATCTTTTTATTATCTAAGGTTTTTGGTCTTAATTTTCCATATTTTCATAGCCCCTGTGGCAGAATGGCGACGACATTGTCGCAGAGCGTTAGAGTTCTTGCAGAAAGGTTTTTCTTTTGGGAAGAAAAAACAATTTTTTTTCCTGCAGAAATTTACGCGTAAAATTGGAATTGCACATTTAAATAATTACTTTTTATCGCATTAAAATTTACACTGTTAGTATTATTATAAATCAGTGTAGTGTTTTGATTGTATTTTCGGCAATTATTGATTTTTACAAGGTTTTTAATTAACTCGATATATTTCAGACGATAGGACAAATTCAAAACGTGCATTCGAGTATTTACTTTTTTAGGCAACAATTCAATTATTTTTTTCTTTCTTTCTTTTTTGTGTGGCAATTATTGCTTTTGATTGCCATATAGTTTTTAAAATCTAATATTATTTAATTATCAAATCTTGGAACGAGACACGCATTTGAGTTACCCCTTTTTGAAGAGCATGATTTCGTCATTTGTTTTTTGGTAATTACTGTTACAGATTTCATGATTTTTATTGATGACAATTTACAAAATGCGATAAAGAAATATTTGTTGCGTTTTTCTCCCCTACAAAATGCGAGAATATTGCCCATAATATTGGAATAAAAAAATATTACATATTCAATAAAAATAATTATATATATTTTTTGTTGTTGGAAATACAGAATTTTTGTACTTTAAATTAGTAATATACATCTTTGTTATTATTATAAGTACCTTAGTCGCAGAAAGTCCGAAGAAATTCTGCCACAGGGTTCGTATCCATATACTTATTAACGCAGCTACTTTCAAACTATTAACATTCTTTCCTAATTCTTCTGTTCTTCTATTAAAAAACTCTAAACATGTATACCACAATCAGGGGTCTGTCCATGCAGGATTTACTACCGTTTAGCGGTACCTTCACAAATTGAACTTTAGGAAAAACGGTAGTTTCACAAATTCAATTTTAGGAAGAACGGTAGTTTCAAAAATTTCTTTATCTTAAAATTTTATTTTTGTATCCTTTAAGAAACGATAAATCCATATTTTTACAATATTTCTGTGCGATTTTTAAATACAATTTTTTATTTTTCACAAATTATGTCTAAATTTTCACAAAGTAGGTACCTTTCAGAAAAACCTAGACAGACCCCTGACAATAATTATTTAGATGATTTCTTACGAGTTTAAAAATTAAATAACAAAAGCTTAGAAAATTTCGATACACTAATGTTTTCATAATATTTTTTTATATTAACAAGCTAATTATTTAGGTAATATACCAATAAATTTATAATACTTTAATTGTAAGAAACAAAACCTGAGTGTTACTTGTATTTGATAGGATACCTATGATTGCTTTTTCTTCATTTGTTCTTAGATACGCAGAGTAGTATGTCCAACAAAAGCAAAATGCTAGTTGCTTTGAACTTTCAATTTGCTCCATGAACTATTTGTAATGTAATAAAAAAGCACAAAAATAAGTTGACGCAAATGGAATCAATGCCTTATTCTTTCTGCCACTTGACCAAAAGTTTGTAATTTTTCTACAACCATTGTTTTTTGCTTGGGATCATTATTCAGTCATAAAGCCTGCTTAGGTTTTTGCTGATCTTCATGGGCATATGCATTTAGATTAGATTATGATCTGCATTTAGATTATTCTGAGGACATAAATAATTAATAACTAATGGGTGCAAACTTTACCAAATTGAACATCATAGAAAAAATTGTTTTGATATTAAGTAAAATATTAAACTGCCCCTCTGACACTTTCAAAAATTGGAAAATTTTAGACGAATATTTTTCTCTGATACATAATGTTTTTATCTAATAACATGGAGGAAACTGGTGTGCTATGTAGAGGGGTGGAAAGTTTGGGAAAATAAACAAGAAAATAATGGTTGACTCCTATATAGTTTATTTTAGCGTATGATACGATTCTATATTTTTTAATTATATAAACTTTGTAATAATTTTACAAATTATTTAATTGCTTTAGTTTATTTTCCTTACATTTTTGTGATATATTTAAGAAAGTCCTTATTTATTTGAATCATGCTTTTTTAAAGCTATTTATTATTTACATTTATTGCTTGATTAACTGTAATAAGAAAGCCTTTTTAAAATATTTTATCACTTTTTTTTCTTTTTAGAAAGCTATTGTGAGAATTCTAAATATCGTCTAGATATAAATTTGATCTATATTTCTCTTCATTTTAACAAAATATGTACTGGAATTGGTAAAGTAGTTCATCTTAGATGTCAAAGATTTCTATAAATGTATTAAGCTTATTCAATTTTCTTGAAAGGTATTTAAAAGATATTTTTACACAGGCATCTAAATGTTATTAAAAATAAATACTCAGTGGCTTCATTTGTTACAGGGTCAAAATCAATGCAGTCAGACATAGTATATACACTAAATATTACACATATCTAGCCCTAGTGCATACTATATTTATTTTTAGTTGATAATGTATGTTTTGATGTTTTATTTATTGTTTTTTACGAAATATTTGTTGTTATTATAGGTTCTCTGCACAAAGATCTGCAACTTTTTTTAGAGAACAATGTGCCTAAGTCCAAAAAATCTACACAGCGTGTAATGCTGGGTGTGCAAGATCCAGCATTAGCCACTGAAATAAAAGACACTCTGGGTCTTAATTGTTCTTCTTCTGGAGCTGTTACTGAAATTATTAGAGGTAAATGAAGATTAATAAAATTCTAGTTTATTTTGACGCTTGGATATTAAACATTTGTTTCAGCCCCATTGTTTCTTTCATATTGCAGCTTTTGATTATTGTCTTCCTATGATCAGGAGTGTAGTGATTGAAATCAGTTGAATTTAATTGTAGATATTAACCAATTTAGTTTTAAAAAAAGTCTTTGATTTTAATCACTTGATAATTTAAATGAATGAAAATGTTTTTAAAATTTGTAATGTAAATTTTAAATATATATATAGGAAACATATTTATTCAACTAAATTTATGTTTGCTTACTATATTTTTTTTATATTTGAGAATAAATTGAAAACCTTTTAAATTAATACCTCTTAAGCAATAGAGATTTCATTAATAAAACTGTGAACTGAGAGTCTAACCTCTTTTATTTGAAAAAGAAAAAATAATGGAAAAGACTGTGTAATCATAAGTTTTAATAGTGTTTTAAAATTTAATAGACAGGATATGATATGCTCTATACATGAGCATATTTTCGTTAAAAATTCTTTTTTATACCTACCAACAAACGATATTATAGAAGTTTTTTTATACTTTCATTTGTTTCTGAAGAAGTAAAAATATTCCTTTTCTTATTTTGCAAGCAGGAGTTTAATGCTTTTAAAGGATGAGAGAACTAACTTCATTCAAAAATCAAATAGTGTTATATACTATCTACTAATAAGTATTTGTACACTTGTGATTGAAAAGAAAAACAAACTTGATTCATAATAGAATAGTTGGTAGATCCTCCAGGAGAGGCAATTACTGTGTGAACCCTCCGGGGCATACTTTCCACAAGTCCTTGTGTAACTGCTAATGGTATTTTCTTCCACTCGGTTTGGAGAAGACATGCAAGTTCCTTCACTGATTTTGACAGGTAGTGCACCCCTTAATTTGGCGATCCAGCTCGTCCCAAAGGTTCTTGTGGCGCAGCATGTCCTCCTTTGGACTTTGTGCCACTAAACCCTACATTCAATCAATCAATCAACCCAAAGGTTCTTGATAGGGTTCAGGTCTGGGCTGGCTAGTCCATTCCATTAAACCCCATTGGCACCATGCCAATCCTTGGTGACCTCGCAACATGATAGCTGGCATTGTTGTCCTGGAAGTAACAAGGGTCCACCCCGTAAAACTGCCGCAACGTAGGAAGCACATTGTCATCCAGTAGGCATCTTGCATTGGACTAATCTCGATGTTGTTTCCTACAGGATATATACCAGCAGAGGGCATGACGAATCTCAGGACCGCAGATATAGTCATTTGCATAGGTGTCCAAATACTTATTGGTAGATAGTGTATAATTAAATGCTAAGCGGATAAGCAAAAGAATAATTATCTGAACAAATATTTTATTGAAAAAAGTGATCAATTATTGAAAATGAAATTTGTTAATTAAGTTTTTTTTTATTACATATTTTTTATAAGATACATAGCTTAGTTACTAGCTTATAAAATATAATTTTTAAAAAAAAAATTTCATTTGTATATGAGTATGAATATTTGCCTTATATGTTAAAAAAAAAGTAACATCATTATCTTATTTGATGTTATAGGTATACGGATGCATTTTCGAAAGCTGATGAAGTCATTTCATGATGAAAATACAATTATGAAATCAAAACTTGCCATGGGTCATCATTTTGCTCGAGTTAAAGTAAATTTGACAATAAACAAAGTTGATAACATGATTACTCACGGCTTGAACGTTGTCGATCAATTGAAAAGGGATGTAAACACTCTTGCTCTTAGAGTTCGGTAAGTGTAGATTTTGTTTTCGAAATAGATGTTTCACTTTAGAATCATGTTGAGAAAATTACATATTTTATTCATACATATTTGCATATTTTATATTGCATATTTGTTGAGAAAATTGCATATTAGATATTATTTATGTTATTTTGTTGGATAGTAATATAATAGTAAAATAGTAGTAATAATAAAAGGGATAAAAATATTTTGCAAACCTTATCAATCAGAGCATAGATGATATTGTGCAGTTTTATTAATAAAACTTCATTAGTTTGCTATTTTTTTAATTTTATTTACTATACCGGCATTTTAAGAGAATTTTAAATTTTTTGTTAAAATTGTATTTATTGGTCATTAAAGCATTTTGTTAAGCTCCATTTATTAAATATATTATGTAATATGTATCTTTTAATTTATTAGTTATAATTTTTTGTTCATTTGGCATGCATTATCAGGGTGGCCACCCACCTGGAAAACCTGGAATTATCAGAGAATTTTTTTATACTGGAAATATCAGGGAAATTTGGATAAAAACCTGGAAAAATCAGGGAATTTTAAAGAAAAGCTGGAAATTTCTTTGATAATTTTAATTTCACTAATTTAAATTATTTACTAATTTTCTTAATTTAAATTATTTCATCCATTATACCCACTTTTTTAGACGGAAATGTATCGCTAAACAGTTGAAATATCATTAACTTAACAATACTTTGTCTGCATCAAAATTTGCTCCATTACAGCTCTGTCAAACTAGAATACCACATAAAATTCTCCAACGGTTTGCTGAACGAATGCAGAAACCTTTGACCGCTATGGGACTGTGTAATTTAGGAAAGATTCTGGTGGAGATGGAAAAGGGGATTAGGATATTAACTTCTGTTTTTTTTAAGTCTGTCCTTGGGCTGAATTCATTTATGGCTCAAGTTTGTTCCGATACTTTGGTGGTAATTTTTTTTTCTGTTTTGACAAAATGTTTTTGTATTTTTAACTTTATTAAATTCTCCAAAAATTGTTGGTTATAATTTAATAATAATAGATTTTATATTGCACTCTTTTTCTGAAAGCTTTTCTACTCCCATTCAAAGAAATCTGTAAATTATTTTTTCTCAGCTAACTAACCAATCACACATTTTTTTACAATCGCTAACAGCAATGTTTGTCGATAAATCGTTACAATTGTTGCATTAAGCTAATTTTTTTCTATTTCATTTTAACCTTTTATAAAATATTTTGAAAAAATGTTTCTTTTAAAGAACCAACTATATATTAATATTTAATTTTACTCTTTTGTTGGTCAATATATGATTTTTGATTCAAAATTTTCCACCAATACATTTGAAAAATAAATGAAAAATCTTGCCAAATTGCCAAAATAAATTATTTTTCTCAAGATGATATGTTAAAAAAATAACATTTTGAAAAAAATATTTTATAATATAGACACTTTTCTTGTACACATCCACTTTGTAAGAAAAAAGAAACAAAAACCTGGAAATTTTAAGATTTTTATCTGGAAAAATCAGGGAAATTTGAAATCTGATTTGAGTGGCCACCCTGAATATTCAAGTTGCTTTGAAAATACCACATTTTACAAATATCAAGCATCAAGTATCTTCATTTGCTTGAAAAAGCAAAGTTTTTTTATTTTTTACTATGTTATATTAAAATATGATTAGTAATATATTGAGCATAAGTTTGTCATTTGGCAGTCTTATTGAATGGTTTCGTTTGGCATTTTAGAATTTTTTAAAATTTATTTCCATAATATTTTTTAATTTTAAAATTTATTTCCATAATTTTTTTTAATGCTCCTCAGATTATTAAATTTTCTGTTTTTGTTTTGCGTCACACCTAAATGAAATTTTGGTAAGGCAACTGGTTTGGTTTGGCAACTAGTACGTTAGAAACTTAATATTGTACTTGTGTATTAAGAGCATTCTGCACTTTTTTTTTATTATTGTAGATTCGTTTGAAAATAAACTTATAAATTATAGATTCAAACAATTCAAAAAGATAAGTGTATAATAGATGCTAGTCTTGTATTCTTTATAATAATAATAATAAATGTGAAGAAAACTTTTATAACTTCTTGCCTTTTTCAAAGTTATATTTAATTGTAGCTGTTTTTTTGTGAGAATATTTTAAAATTTTATCGTTTTAAAATTTTTATTATTTTAAAAATAAATTTTACATTTGTAACTTTAATTTCCAATTTAATTTAATTGAAATTAATTTAACTTAGTTTAATGTTAAACTTTTAAAAAAAACTGCCTTATCATTTTATGGTTTTGAAAAAAGATAGTCTCTGTGTTTTAAAATTAACACCTCCTTTATAGTGAATTTTTCATTATAACATCTAATGTCATTTCCATTATATTGTCTAATTATTTCAATGTTGTGTTATTCTGTGCACAATCCATTATTTTAAAGTCTATTATAATATCTAATCTCAGTAATTTGTTATGATATAGTGACCAAAAGTAGATTAAAGTTTTTCTTTCTAAGAGATTTTAAGAATTTAAAAAAAATGTTTTGCATTTTTACATTTTCAAAACAGGTAATGATTTTATTGACAAGAACTCAAATTAATGAAATATTTGTTTCTTTAATAGAACATAAAATTAATCTATGTATGTTTTGGCTGATATAAATTTTTCATAGTTAAAATCAATTCTTCAATCCTTATCTTTCATAGTGTCAAATATTGGGAAAATAATAGTTTTGCACTCTGTTTTTTAAAATTGTCATTTAAAATTTGTCAACTTTTTTGATTAGTAAATTTCTTTGAGCCTGTAGATAAGAGATAAATTGGTTAAACAGAGTTACTTCATGTTTTTTGCTGAAGCCTTGTCAGTTTTCAGTTGTACAATTTTCATGTGTAAAATGTAATTTTAATTATAATCAGAATTTTTAATTTTGGCTAGTTCAGTTTTCGAGTTTTGTCAGTTTTTAAGTGGGAATTGCAGTTCATAAATTTCTAAATTATTCTAGAACTTGATTTATCATATAAAATTTTGGATGGTCCATTTTACATATCTTAAGAAATTAGTTAAAAAGGAGATTGAAACATTTTCTTTTTTTATAACAGAGCATATGCATGAATTTTACAAATTAGTTTTTTTGCATAAAAGTTATTGTCACGAGGTTTTTGAAGGTTGCCTCAAACACAGGATTTGGGTCTCTAGATTAGTTTTTCACTTTAAGTACATAATATCTTTTTAATATTTTAGTTATTCTAGGATAAATTATCTATTTTTTAAATTTTTGTTGTGCTTTTTCATTGCAGAAGACTTTATGATTGCCATTTTCCGGAGCTTTTTAAGCTTGTTCCTGATCCCCAGCAGTATATTATGTGCGTGAAGGTAATAAAAGATAGAAAAAATATGCCTGAAAATATTGAAGAACTTCTGCAATGTGTTTTGAAAGATGAGAATAAAGTTGAAAACGTTCTTAAAAATGCACAAAAGTCAATGGGTAAGTGTTTAATAATCTGTTTAGTAGTGTTACTGAACGTTATTAAGAAGTTGCTTTATTTAGGCTCTAATATGTTAAAGAAAATATTGTTTTCTTATTCAGATAATTTTTAGTAATTGTTAAAAAAGTTCATTGCTCTAAAGCTGCATTATTAATTCATGAACTTTTAAGTTTTTTTTTTGTTAATTTACAAGTATGTGATGATATAAAAATAAAACAATTTTCTCTACTATTGTCAACCACTAAGGATAGAATACATTTACTGTATAAAATTATTTAAATTGAAAAAAATATTTAAGTTTTGCACGATTTAATTTCAGTTAAATGAAAAAAACAAGTAACTAACAATTGTTGTTACATTTTGCATCAGTGAATAAAAATATTTTAATATCTTATATTTAAAAGCTAAGTATAACATTTTTATGTTAGTTTTTTATAAAATTCTCGCTAAACTCTCATCTCATTTAACTCTCATCCAGAAACTAATTGCTTTTTTAAAAGGTTTTTTGAAATAGTAATACAATTGTAGAAATATTATGTGTAGATAATATAGTGTATAAAATAATATAGTGGTGTGAAGTTATAGGAGTTTTCTAATTTATTAAGTATTATTTAAAACCCTGAGAACTTGTATATAATTTTTTAATAAAGAATCTTCATTCGAGGAAAATCTAGTTTTATTTATTTATTTTAGTAATTTTATCGGACTTTTTCTTATTTTAGGAATGGAAATTGCTGTGGAAGATATGGATAATATAATTAACATTGTTGAACAAATACTTTCACTTATGAAACAACAAAATACACAGACTGACTATGTAAAATCTAAAATGCATCTCATTGCTCCTAGTCTTGGAAATCTCATGGGTGAAATGGTGAGCATTTATTTTAGAACCTATTAAAAACATTGAATTGTTAAAGTATTTTTAATATATATATGTTTTAAAATCTGCATTACACTTTTTTATTTAGGCTGGTGCTCGATTGATAAATCAAGCTGGTAGTTTGACACATTTATCTAAATTGCCTGCATCAACAGTACAGATATTAGGAGCTAAAAAATCTTTATTTAGGTATTTTTTCATTAAATTTTGTTTTTTTTAATACTTTAAATATTTGAGATGGATGTCTTAACATCTTATTTATGTATTCTGTATTTGAAAGAGTTAACTTTTTATTCCTGCACTATTATTGTAAACTGTTGAATTTTGTATTAATATTTCAATGCAATATAAACGTGTCTATTGTACGCTTGCTACATAAAACGGAAGCCAATGTTTACTTGCTTTAGCAAGTAGTCGCTGAAGTTGCACACTAGCTTTGCATACTTGATTTTTTACGTTTGGTGAAATCTGAAGGAACTATATTTTACCTATAAGGTTAAATTTTTAAAAAAATGTTTAATCAAAATTTAAAAAAATAAAATATTTAGTACCAGAAAGTCCTAAATATTGGTATGAATATTAGGTTGTGTTAAAGTTTCAATTCCAGTTTAAGACATTACATATTCCCATACATTGTTCAATTGGAAACTGTGGAGGAAAACTCCTTATATGTTTTTAATAATGTTGTTTTAAGTTTTGAAGCATTATTTATAATTGTTGTATGTTTTTTTTTTGTTGGTATTTGATTTTTTTTAATAATGTTGATTGGTTACATAATAGCAATTAACTGAAATTTTTCATTAATGATTTATATCTCTTATTAGTATTGTCATTTGATTTTTATTTTGTTTGCATTTTCTTTTATTCGTTGTTAAGAAATTATTGGCACTTGAAAAAATAACTATTTGTTAAAGAGGTTCAATGAAATACCAATGAGTTGAAAATGTTGATTAATGTGTTTTCATCTGTCCATATATTATTCCAGAGTGATGTAGATATTAAACAATAGAAACTGCTTTAATGAAGAATCAAATTCGATAAATAATAAAAATATTTTATATCAAAAATATAGAATCATATTGAGCACCAAAGTTTAAAAAAAAGTTCGTGTACATATAAATTAATAAATTTAGAAAATGGTCTGGTAGGTGTGGCTACAGGGCTTTGCCCAACAAGACACCTCAGTTCACCAAAAAATCCAAAATGTGAGTCTCATGTGCACGTTAGCACAGTTTTTGGGAATGAAAGTTTAGGAATTCATGTATTGGCTATTAATGGATTAAATTTAATGTTAAATTAATAATAGTTTGTCTTAGCCTTTCACATTCAAATGTGTTGACAGAAAAGAAAACATGAGAAATAATTTTAATGAATCCAAAACATCAGCAACCATATAACGGTTTTCGAATTCTATGCTAATGTGTCAGGCAGATGTAGAGGGAATGTGAACATTAAATAGGTATAAATAAGTAAAGCATTCCTAGGGGGTTATAGGAGCTAAGATAAAAAAGTACTTCAAAATATAAAACAGGACATTCATTATAAGAAGATAATTGGTACCTGAAATCGTTCATATCGTATGTTCAGTTCTGTAATATATTTTTTATATATAAATGGGACAGAACTGAAAATTAATAATAAAATGTATGCCACAAGTTACAATAACCTAGCCTAAAAATTTTCTTTATCTGTTTGCAGTTACTCTGTTACTATTAATATTTTAAATTTTTAATCTACAGTTGACTGCAGTTAACCACTTCCCAAGGAACCATTATTAGTATTAGGCTATTATTAATATTTACAAGTAATATCATACATAATAACAAGTACTATATATAATAAGTATACATAATTAAAAGTATGCAAAAAAAGTACAAGGTTATTACTAATATTTTTGTCTAAAACTGATCAAGGTGAAAAGGTTAATAAAAAGAAGGTTGATGATAAAAATATAATTTTCATAATTCAAAATTGATATTTTTGATCAAGATATACACTTTTTTTAAAGAATTCATTAAAATAGTAAAGATTTATTCATTAAGAAATTTAGTTGCATTGAGATATTTTTCTCTTTATCTTAATAAATACTTTTTTATGGGTATTTTTTTGCAAATTTATTATTGTAGTTATTTTTTATAACAGATAGTTTTTATAATTATTCATAAACTACAATTTATATTGATCTTATTATCAAAATTTTCAATTATTAATTGCATTTGTGTAAGTTGGTTCTTCTTGTATTTTTTTTATACAGGGCCTTAAAATCTAAGGAAGCCAGTTCAAAATTTTCATCAATTAGCAAATCATCTCTAATTGGACAAGATGGACGAATAACAAAAGGGCGCATGTCAAGATTTTTGGCTAACAAGTGCTCTCTGGCAGCACGTAGTGATTGCTTTAGTGGTAATTTTTTTTATATATATCCTTGACAATAACAATTCTCTCATGATAAATGTGTTAAGATTATTGTATTATTATTTTTTTCTTTCAGTTGATCCATCTGGAATTCACGGGGAGCAACTAAAAATTGAAGTTGAAAACAGAGTCAAGTTTTATGTACGAAAAAATCCCGAAAAGAAGCATGTAAGTTATGCATGTTCAGTACACAGAAAAATGAATATATATATTTGAATAACTTTTTATGTAATAAATATTATTACTTAGTGAGGAATGGAATTAAGTCATACATTTATATTTCGATTTCTCAAGAACCATTTGATGGTCAATTGAGAACTATTCACACTTTGTATTTTGCCTTATAAGTTACATTCTTTAAAATGATTTAAAAATTTGTATGCTTTACAATTCAAAATCTCTTGACTATTAAAAATTAATTTTTTAATGGAAATATTTATGGATAAGTAAATTTCATAAATAAGTGCAGAAAATTTTCAAATTGTTTAAAAATTCTTGAAATATGCAAAAATAAATTTAATATTAAAAATAAAAGATAGCGAAATATGCAAAAAGTAAAATTAATTTTAAGGGGACCAAATTTTCAGCCGCTCTCTTGACCAAACTATTGGGACCAGATTTCTGCTACTCATTATTTATATTTTGAGGATAAGTAATCCAAATCCTTAAAAAAAGGTATGATTCTTCAGTGACAATAAATTCTTGTGTCAGATTCCATATCTTAAAACATGGTCTGAGCTAATTTATTTAGCATATTTGAAATCACCCTTTTGAACCAAGATTGAGTTCTAGTACTTAAAAATTCAATCAAAAGCTATATGGGGTGATTCTTTTTTTTTATTGTACATAGTTTAATATATCTACATCCTTATGAAATATTTATATTGACTTTTTTTTTATAGAAGAAAGGGAGGAAGAAATCGAAGAAAGTGAAAATTCCTATGGAAATAGAACGGTGATTTTAAGGTAAAAATTTTTTCGACTTTCAAATGATTTGCAATTTTATTAAAATTTTTAATTATTTTCCTGTTGTTTATTTAGTTTCTTTTGTTGCTAGCAGTATTCATTTATTTCATTAAAATGTTGATTATCCATTTTTGTTATACTTCTAGGCATTACTTTAATTTTACAGTATGTATATGTTCTATTAATTACAATTATATAGTTTTTGAACCCATGAATATTTAAATTAATGATGTGAGAAGATTGATTTTTTTAAAGAAGGTTGTATATTATTAGAAAATTGAAATTTGCTTGTATTTTATTAATATTTTATGATAGATTACTGAAAATTATTACCCTCTTAAAAATAATTCTGAATTTAGTAAAAACATCATTGGTGGGTAAAGAAACATTAAACTTATGTAAATTTACCAATAAATAATTTAATGTAAATAATACTGAGTCCAAAATATGTAATCAGTCAGCCTTAATTAATATGCATTCTTTTTTATTCCTAATCTAAAGGATACCTATACATTATTAAGGAAACAAATGTTAAAGCCCAACTGTGTTAAATTAAAATATTTTACAATAAATATAACTTTTTAACTTGTTATAATTCTTATTTTTCAACTTAAAATTTTTTTAATTCTGTATAATTTTACCTTTATTGTTAATATAGTTTTAAAAAGTGTTGCCACATCTTTTATTTTTTAACTGCAATTGTATAAAAATCTTACTTAAAAAATGCTTGAAATTTACATAAAAACAACTATATGGAAATTGTCTTCTGTATTATTCCATTACAACAATTAGCTTACCTTTTATCTCACTTTTAAAATTAAACCTAAGCTATCATGAAAATTTTTAAATTTCTCCTGATTTCAAAATAGCCAAAGATAAAAAAAAAATAGAAAAAGTTCAAAAAATTTTTTTTACATTGCTAACAGCTGTAATTATTAAGGGTCAGGGTTTTATCTCAGGTGTCAGCTTGAAGTCCATCCAGCTTTAGATCGATGAGCAATTGTATTTAATCATAGCTTTGTTTGTATTCATTAAAGTAAAAAAAAATTTAGATATTGAATTTATGACTTTCTGTAAAATAAATTAATGCGCTAGAAAAATCATGCTATAAAATTAGCAAATTTTACTAAACAGAAAAAAAGATTTAAAAAAATCAAATAGTCTCAATAGTCATCAAATAGTTACTAATTAAATAATTATTTAATGTAAACTTATCAAGATTCATTTATTCAAACTTATATTGGGAAAATAAAATTTTTTGTAGCGACTTCTTTTTGGAAAAAAGGCATTTTTTTTATGCTTTAAAAAATTATTAATTATTGCTGCTGGTGGCATGTTATTTATTACTAAATTGGTGAGAACTTAGTAATTTATTTACAAATTGTTCTTCAAATTTAATCATTTGCGAACAAAAATATATTTAAATGAAGGTTGTTTAAAATTTTATTTTGCTAATTAATAAAATGCTGAATTCTATGTACTGATCATATAAGTTATCAATATACTTATTTTATCAATAATAAAGAAGTGTATACATATATATATCTTTTTTATTTTATATTTTTAGATTGAATTGCATATACTCAAAAGACAGTTTTCACTCAAAGTATTGACTCTTTCGATTTCAAAAAATTGGCTGCTGCTCATACTTCATGACTTTAATTAGTCTACTTGAAATCTATCACTGTTAATACATATTTATACTTTTGTATATTAAAATATTTTACCTTATTTTCATTAGTGTTTTTATCTTTATTATTGATATTTTCTAGTAAAATTAATTTTTTTCCATTTTACTTAAATCAATAGGTGGACATTTTTTTCTTCAAACAGTATTTAAATACCATGTATCTGCCTATAATTCGCATATGAGATTTTCTAATAAAAGAATTTTTTTAAAAAAAGCTTAAAAAATGAAATTATATAAGGATAAGTTATACTTTTCTCTTAGCTGTGTGCGAGTAAATTCAACTGTTCTTTTTATTAAATTATTGAGAGGAAAAATGAAAATTCTTAATACTAAAACTAAACAACATTCAGCAAATTATACAACACACTCGTAAGACAACAAAAAGCAGAGAAAATATCCATTTCTTTTAAGCTGCATTCATTCTGGAAGTGACACAGTAGAGGAGAAAACACAGCCCACTTTTTCTTTATTTTTAAGCTGAAATCTCCAACAAACATATGGCGTTTTGCTAGTTATATGTAGCAATTTTTGCTAAATAGCATCTCTTCAAAGAAGTCTAAACAAAACTTAAATAAAGAACAATGCAATACCGTTTGTTTTAATCCAATTATTACGCCGCTTCATAAGTGAATACAGTTTTCAATCAAAAATATGATTGATGATGAATCAAAATGATTTTTAAAAAAAAATATATATTTATTAAATACATCAACGAAGGTCAAGTCTGCGTTAACCATTACAGTAGACTCAGATTTTCTCAGGAGGATACAATAAACACTCTCCTTTTGTTTTCAGAGAATTCAATGTGTTCCATGTTTATTGAGTGACAACATCAAAAGAAATATAGGTTTAGATAATTTTCTTGGAATTATAAACAAAATGTTGCTGTCTATATTAGAATGAATAGTTTTGCTCAGTTTTTCTAATGGACATTAAAATAACAAGTCTATAATAAGGGCACATAACCTGTTAGAATGTAGGATTGCAAGCCCAAGTATTTAGGTATGTTAATGTCTAATCTATAATAAAAATAACATCATTGGTCTTTATATTGAAAAGGTTGTAATTAAGTGTGTGTTACTTTTTTTGCGTCTGATTTCGTTACTTACAATATCTTCTGCAGTAATTAATTATCATATTTGAGGTCACCCCTACGAACCATTAAGATTGAGTCCTAGACTGTGAAGATCCAAACATTAGATCAAAAGTTATTTAGGGTGGTCCATTTATTTTTTTGCACACTGGAATTCTATTTAAAGAGGATATGTTACTGAATATCTATTTGCTAGAAATTGAATCATAAAAATCTTTTTAAAAAAAAATAATGCAATTACACTGATACAATAGCAATAAAGTGTTATTTTTAAAAATATACTAGATAAGATTCTGTTAAATTTAAAGTACAGACCATATCAAATTTATTGTTAAGCCTTTTAATGTTTTGTCTTATATTTGGTAATCTAATCTTAAAAATAAAGAAATGTATTCTCATACAACAACATAAATCTGTTAGAGAAACATCAGTATTTACTTCAAGTTTTCGTAACAATCTTGTAATAGCTCCCTCCTAGTGAGAAATAATAAAAAAATCATAACATCGAGCAATTTATTTCCCACTTCCACGGAAAACACTATATATATATGTGTGTGTATATAGTTTAATTTGTAGCAAGTGCAAAAACTAGGCTTTAACACTGTGATTTTAGTGTATATAAACAAGTGGTGATAAGAAATTATTCTCCTCTGTCATTTTTCTTTACATCAATACCAATATGATGTTATGGTAGGTGTGCACAACCTGTGTCTTGCTGACTGTTGATGTGCGGCTCGCAAAAACTATTGAACACAATAATTTATATTGTTTGAAAATTAAAAAAATATTGAAAGTTTTTAATCTCATATTTCAATTATCACTTTTTGATGCATTCAATTTGCACAGACTCTATTGTAAATCTATAATGTTTCTCGATCACACTTTTCAGTTATTGCAATGAAATTCCACATGTTTTTAAAAAACCCAGTATTTTTAGTATATTATGATGCGCAAATTTCAAATTTAAGTAATCACTTTTCAACTTAGTTTATTTTTACCAGCTTCATCCTAAATCTAAGTAACATTTCGATAATTTATTATTATTTTTTTTTGGGGGGGGGGCATTTTTAACTGCCATGCGGTTTTTAAAATCCTCGATACATTATGATATTACTACTCGTGAGTTATAAATCATGCATTTCACTTTTTGACGTACTTTATTTGTGCCGGTTTCATCGTAAACCTGATTTTTACTTCTTTTAAAAGCAGTTATTGCTATGCTTTTCCATGATTTTATATTTTTACTACGATATTATTACAACATGCGAGTTTCTTATCACACATTAAAATAATAACTTTTTTATGCTGTTTCTTTGTGCACATTTCATCGTAAATATAAGTTAATAAAGAAAATATAAAGCAAAATACACATTTTTAAATTGTTCACTGCTTGTAATTTATTTTGTTTTAGATATTTTGTAGCTCAGATACTTTTTAGGAGAAAATGTTTCTTATTTAAAATTCACAAACCCTCTAATAAATAAAGAAATATAAATAATACCTGAAGCATACCAAATAAAAATATAATCTTATTTTTTACTAAAATGGTTTTGTTTTCATTTCTGTTTAATCCCAAATATTTTTCTTTAATATATGTATTTTTTTACACTTTTATTTTGTGAGCATTACAGTTTTTTTTTGTTAGAATTTATATTATTTCCCCCAATATACACATATATATATGACATACCTACATTACATGCATATTTTTTTATTCGATAAAATTTTTTTTTAAAAATTGTTCTTAAAATTTTCATTTTTGAATGAATTCTAATAATTAAAAGTATTTAATTTTCAACAAATATATTGCCAATTTTTTTGATAAAAGAAATTTAGTACTTAGAACACTAAAGTTAATATTAAAAAAAATTATATTTGTCTTAATATGATTATATATATGTATGGCCCTTCGTTAGTCAACCAACTGTGCAAGGTGACCCTTCACTCAAAAAGGTTGTACACTCCTAATATGGTATTAAGTTCGTACTATAGGAAGAAATTGTGGAATAATACATAATTAGTGAGGAACAACAATCAAGGAATTAATATCTAATTTATTTTAGAAACTTCATAAAAATACTTCATCCAATTGGTGTAGAGCTTCATTTTCGAATGCAGACAAAAGCATTAAGATATCCAATATAAAATAACAGAGAAAAAACTATCTCAATTGCTTTAAGATAAATTTTTGGAGGTTGCTGGAAATAAACTATAGAAATTGTCATATTCTTCTGAAGACAATTGGAGACTTATCTGTGCTTCTGGTTGTAATTTTTTGAGTTTTAAAGAGAATTTTTATCAAAAGTGAAAAGCTTAAAATATAACAGGTTTGAAATAATCGTGAAGTACTAGTTAAATAAATTAAAGTATAAAAGGAAATGGGCAACATCTCATTTTAACTTAATTGTAGAACGTTACTTTAATTGATTAAAAGTAGAATAACTTAAGGGTGAAAGTGAATGAAATGAATAAATGTTAGAATATTATTTAAATACAACATATATATATTCATGAGTGCTCAAATGTGAAATACTTTAATCTTTATTATTAATTATGCTTCCAATATGGTTATAAAAAAAAGGATGATTTTAATTTCTTGTGAAAGTTCAACCTCAAATATTATTCTACATAAATATGACAAATAAAATCATTAAAATATTTTGCTACTTGAATAAGACTTTATCTAGGTGCATGAACATGGAGAATGTGGATAGTTAAATTATTCCTTTGATTAAAAGCTTTATCACAAACATTACATGAATAAGGCTTATCTCCAGTGTGAACAAAAGAATGTCTATTTAAGCTACTCTTAGTAGAAAACGTTTTATCACATTCACTACATGAATAAGGTTTTTCTCCAGTATGAATATGAGAATGTTGATCTAAGTGATTTTTTCGAGAGAAATTTTTATTACACACTTCACACGAATAAAGTTTATCTCCTGTATGTGTATGAAAATGTTGAGCTAAATTACTTTTAAATGTGAATTTTTCACCACATGCAGTACATGAATAAGGCTTTTCTCCTGTATGAAGATGCAAATGTTGATTTAAGTTACATTTTTGCTTAAAAGTTTTACCACAGACACTACAAGAGTAGGCTGTTTCACCAGTATGAACAAGAGAATGTCTTACTAAATTACTTTTAGATGCAAATGTTTCATAACATATACTGCATGAATAAGGCTTTTCTCCCGTATGAATACGCAAATGTTGATTTAAATTAGATTTCTGCTTGAAAGATTTATCACAAATATTGCAAGGATAAGCCCTTACTCCAGTATGAACTTGAGAATGTTTATATAACGTATTTTTCAATGAAAAAGTTTTACCACACACACTACACGAATATATTTTCTCTCTAGTATGAATATGAGAGAGTAAACTACTTTTTCTTACGAATGTTTTATCACACATGCTGCACGAAAATAGAAAAAAAAGGATAGTTTATTTTCTAGGCAGCTTTCAAATTGATGCTCTATTCTTTATCATGAGTATTATTATTATAATAAAGAGTTTTCTATAATATTCATCACAATTAAGTTTTTTGCTCAAACATTTTATAATTAACTAAAAACAATGGTAAAAGAATAAACTGTAAAACCAAATTATTATTAAAATAAAATTAAGATATTTATTTTGACACGTTTCCAGTTGCCTACTTCTGTTTAGTTAGTGCCTGCCAGACAGAAAAAAATATTACAAGTCTATCTGAAAAAATACTACATATTTTAAAGCGCCACCTACAGAGGTAATTTGGAAGTCTAAATATTAAAAGGATAAAAATATTATTAAATGGATAATACTATTAAAAGGAATAAAATGATTTTAAAATAGAAAAACTATTAGCTTTTCCCTTTTGCGCACTTATACACCAGGTAAACGAGTAGGAACAAAAATTTAAATCAGCAACTTTGTCTAATAAGAATTGTGTGTACCATAAATTATTTATCATCAAAAATCGAACTTAAATGGAAAAAAAAAAGTAAAATCTATTTTAACAATGTTTTGGTTGCACAAAAAGCAAATTACAGAATAGTCTACAAATAAGGAATAAATTAACTTTTATTTCTTACAATCATAACTAGATAGAAGGACTAGTATTAAACACGTTCGTTCCACTACGAACGCTAATTAAATATACGCCAAGCTAGTATAATTCGTATATGGATTTTGGTAGTTTATTGCGGTCGCTGTAAAAATCAAGATGTAGACAGTTGGCTTATTTCAAAAGTATCTTTTTACTTTGAAAGATATTTTCATGCGAAAACCTCACCTATTAGGCTCTACATTATTCTGGGGTAACCAGAAGTGCGTGAACTGTATGCTACAAAAAAGTCCTTGACTTTCGTATAAAAAAATTGCTCCATCCTGGACCTTTGAATCTATTTACTAAATCACCAATCAACTCGAATTGTTGGTGCAGCCTAGTCGATTCAAGTCTCGTGTTACTAAACCACGTCTGGATAAAAGGTGAACCTGGCTAGGTGTTCCCACTATTGTACTTAAAACTATATTAAAGCCAAGGACTCAAAGCTTCTGAAGGTAGCATTCGATAGGCCACGAAGAATCGAATTGATGCAGTTGAAGGATAATTGAGTTCAAGCCAGTTTACTATACTTCATTTGAGCAATGCATTTCTATAATAGAAGTAGATTTGTCAACCAAGACATGCTTTTAAACTGAGGATGTCTTTTTAAGATATCAGTAAATTTTTAAAATCAGGCCATTTTTTCTCTCCTACTAAAAAAAATTAGACTAGGACAACAATGCTAACAAGCTTAGGCTGAGGGCAGGTTGCTTTTCTCAGTGAAATAGATATCCCACAATTACAAATTGATAATGGTTTGTACAATTGATAAGATAAGGCGAGAGGACCACTCGTCTGGTCAGCAGAAGGGGAGATAAGGAGTGATAGATTTATGAGGAATTAGAATGCAGAACGCCTTATCTTAACAATTTGTTCTTGTGGAATATAACATTTCTTTCAATTTGTTTTTGTGGTATATCTATTTCATTGAGTGACGAAAAAGTTTCTAGTTGGGAGCCTGCTCTCAGCTTTAGAAACAACCACAAGACATGCAGTGCTATAGATGGAAAAAATATTTGGGGGAACTAATCTCTACAGGGCTCATAGCTAACTGATGTCTGTTAACATTTTATCTCTGGAACATATGTTATAAAAGCCATTGATAAAATAATAGTATAATACATTAAACTAGATAAATTTCTAAAGAATATTAGTACAAAATTTTTTTTGCAGATGATTTGTCAAGTGGCACTTTTGTCAGACTGAAATTTTCTCACCAAGAACAGAAAAGAAATATGTTTCATCTTGAACAAAAAAAAAAAATAGCATGCTAAGATAAAGGGTTTATTTGATGCCTTTTTGAAAAATCTTTTAAGAAATAGAAATTAAAGAGGACAAAAGCTAACAAGAACACTAGACTATGCTGGAGCACAATTTGCTTTATCAAATCACACCTGTAACAAATTTTAATTCAATTGTAGACAACAGTAGACTATTCATAATATTTTTTTTCCCATTAGAATCAAGAGGTTTACTTAAAAACTTTCAAGAAGTCACAGAAAGAACACTGAGAAATGTATTTAAAGAAAAACTAAACACAAAATTTGCAACTGCAAGTTTATTTCATGAAATAATTATCTTTGCAAATAAATCATTACAAATAAGAGTCTTCAAGTACAGCTGCAAATTCTGAAAAAGAAAATATAAACATATAATAATCAAGAGGTCACATAAATAGTTTACACATATATCAGTAATGTCATATGTCGATGTATAAGCAGAGAAAGACAAAAGTTTTTTAATAATGGCTCGGTAAAAGTATGAAGTTAGGCTCCATATGAGTTCATTCCGGCCTTTTAGCAAAGCCCCGCAGTAAAACCCAAAATTTACATTCACAAAAAAATATGTAGGGAATTTTTTTAAAACAATTATCTGCCAGAACAATGAATTTAAATGATACAAAAATGTCTTCAAATGCTTTTTAACAGTAGAATGAGCTGATTGATTCATAGATTGGATCCTAAAAAAGCATGAATATAAATGGCAAAATTGGATTTTTCACTCATCCTTTATTATAGAGATACAGCTGGTGTGTGTGTTTGATGGGGGGGGGGGTGTCTTACATAAAATAAAAACAGGGCCTCTTAATTTATTCAGAAAGATAAGACGTCTACTTTCAAATGTTGACAGGCCATTACAACTTCCAGCTAAGCCTTGATAGTATTGTCATAAGAGTGTTTCTTGCTCTTAATGGAGGTAGTTTCACAAAAGGGCAACAAACTCTTAATGTACACCAAATTATAAAAATATTGGTGATAACTCCTTTACTGGTCTTTTTTGCACCTTTTCAGGGGTCTGTGCAGGTCAAATTTACTATCATTTAGGCATACTTTCACAAACTCAACATATTGAAACCAGTTTTTTTTATGTACAAAAAGCAACAAATTAGTGACATGCCGTCCAGTTAACTAAAAATCTAGACCTTTAAGAGGTTGAGAATTTTTTGATTTAAAAATAATTCCGCAGAGAATTTGAAGTTACAAACATTAAGTGAAAAAATTAATTTGATTTTATTTTCATTTGATTTTAGTCGAAAGGCAGAACTAAAAAATAACTGACACTAAATTTTACTATTTTTATAAAATTTAATCACAATAAAAAAAAAAAAAAATTGTAAGCAAGAAATGCCTTGGTGATGGTAGTTGGCAACAGCAGTTAAATGCACAGAAATATCCCAAAACCAGTGTAGGACTAACTTGCAACTTAGAGAAGGAAAATTAAGCAGAGGTTTGCCAGAATGTGGTAACATGCTTTAATCCCTTCACCGTTCCCCTTCTTAATTTATCGTGGGTTGCTGCCAAATGATAGTTAACATATGAAATTGGGGAACAAATATAACTAATACATTGAATACCAATTACAAAAGTACAATTTTCCAAACAAAAGTATAAATTACTTTAAAAGGTTATACCAGTTAAATTATCACTTTACCAGCATAACTTTATAAATTTTAAAAAAATAACAGTGATCTTACTTTTACTTATTTTTTTTTTTTATTTAAAGAAATTTTCATCTTAATCTCCTGGCTTCTCTTTCAGATTCAAGAAGTGTCAGAATATCTCCTTCTCTTACAGGCCCCTTGACATTCCTAATGATAGAACGATTAGATTCATCCAAAAACTCCACACGTACTTGAGTACACTGTCCTTGAGAGCCTGTTCTGCCCAGGACTTTGGTTACCTAAAATAAAATACACTATCTTTATTGCCATGACAGAATAAATTAACTTATACTGCCAGTGTATTATCAAATTACACTCATACCTCACTAGTGTCGTGTTATCATTCTAATGATTGAAACTGATAAAAATAAAACCAAGAAAAGTGCAACATATAATACGGAATAGTTATATGTAATACCCATTTCTATCAACAATTTTAACCAAATTTCAAGAGCTTTACTTTAATGACAATCAAACTGGGCAACAAATGGCATATAGTTGTACTCTCTACCCATAGCAACACATTAGTGTGTAAAGAGTCTTTGGAAAAGGAAGTGAATCAGCTTCTGCCTTGAATTTAAAAAAGAATAATTAAAAGATACTCCCGAAAATTTACAGGCAAATTAACTAATAACATAGAAAACTGATTCTTAACGCTCTAAAGAAAAAAAATTTTTTATTTCCTGTTTCTCTTGATTTTCAATTAACTTAAAAAGAAAAAAAAAAAAAACGTTTCTAATGGTCACTTCTATTTTTCCAAAATAAAAAAAAACAACTTGAATATTTTAGCAATTAAGTCAATCAACAAGAAATTTTTCTTACTTTAGTTTTTTTCTAATCCTAAATACATCTAATCAGCCTAAGTAGCTAAGTATCTTTACGTGTTTTCCTAGAATGTTCTATTGGTATGGGGTATACCAAAAATACATATAAGCATTATATGCTACTATTCGGCAGAATATTTTACACTATCACGATTTCACTACCTTAGTCAAAATTGGTCTTCGCCCCAGATGGTGTATTTAGGAATGCAATCATAAACCTCCCTTTTAGGCTAACGTTAAATCTTCAAGTGTGAATTCAAACAAATCTTAAAAAGTTTAAATAAATTTCAACCAGATTCACAACTTCTTAAAAGCTTATGTGACAATTAACAACTTCAGAGAGCAAGTTAAAATAAACAATTGCAGAGAAGCTAACTGTTCATATATCCACAAAATATTTTAAAGTACATAATTAATTCTTTTATGTATGAAGGTGAGCCACATCAAGCTGCTCAAAAATTTTTAAATCAAATTCCAAATATTGACATTACTACACACACACATATATTTAAATATTATAAATATATATCCCATAAAATAAAAAATCTCACTAATAAAAGCACTTCGGCATCACTGGCAACATCAGCTTTTATTGACATTTACTTGTAGTAATACACTTATGGTAATAAATACTTTAACTCAAACTTGGGTACTTTGAAGTAAAAAATCTACATAGTCTTCAAGTTGTTGAGAGTAATTTTTTATTTTCATAGAAATAAAATTTAATCATAAAGTAATTATTTTGGTTAAGGTTTTTCTGAGAGGTACCTCTTTTATGAAAATTTAGACATAATTTGGGAAAAATTAAAATTTATATTAAAAAAAATCAACACGAAAATATGGGTTTATCGTTTTTATAAGGGATACAAAAATAAAATTTTAAGAAAAAATATATTTTGTGAAACTACCGTTTTTCCTAAAGTTGAAATTGTGAAACTACCATTTTTCCTAAAGCTGAAATTGTGAAACTACCGTTTTTCCTAAAGCTGAAATTGTGAAACTACCGTCTTTCCTAAAATTGAATTTGTAAAGGTACCGTTAAACAGTAGTAGACAGAGTACCGTGGACAGAGCTCTGATGACTGTAGAATTCTTAAACACTGTGTTATGGAGTCACATACTACTATCATACCAATTCTTCCAAACTTGAATTTATCAGAGCAATAGCATATATATAAAACACAACACTCAAACTATGGCTTGAGAGATGAGTGAGGAAGTAAGACAGCACGAAATGTATCATCAGAATGAGTTTTCTATCTTAGTCTAAGATAGAGATGGAAATAATTTTAATACTTTTACCTGCCATGATAAAATGTACTTAACCCTTATAAGATGGCTTGTGTGATTTAATGGCTATGAGACAGGTTTTAAGTCATCATTAAAATTCAATACACGAAGAAGTTAGACAAATCCACGTTCATCTCTTAAGAAATAGATAAAAGTAAAGTAAAAATTACTTCTTACAAATTCACTAGTTCCGGTGAAAAATGTGGTTAACACATTGTAAAACTAATTAATGTGTTGTTAGTGTTAAGAACGAAGGAGTTAAAGAATTAGAATACAATGCATTCGGCATGGGCGCCTTTTTTATACGTAGTAAAAGGTTATTTTGAAAGATAAGTTGATCGCTACAGGCGGTTTTTACTAGCAAATATCCAGGTAATTGCTTTAATATATAGATATATGGACCGAACCATTTTGTATAATCTGCAATAATTGTAATAAAATATTAATCAACAGATCACTTAGCAAGTAATAGAATTTAAAAATTGAACTATTTCCGGAAATTTTGATACATTACTCAACAAAACAAGTATTGAACATAGAGAAATTTTATCGACCTATTACTCAGCGTGAACACACGTCCACGTGTATGTTATAAAATTAAGTAAGGGAAAATTAATTGATTAATATTTGAAAAGAATTAATACTCACACGTGCCAACTTGTTTTTATCCATGATCTAAGTATTCTTCAGATTATAATTACAGCAGAAATTAGTCAAAACGACTTTCTACTTTCCAATCAGTAAAATTTACACAACGATATGCACGCCACAGAGAATCACAAGTGTTCATAATACGCTTTAATCACACTTAGAGGATATTGAAAGAGAATAGTAAAATATTCAAGTCAAAAAATAACTGCATATACGTGGCGCTGCAGTAGACGTGAGGTCAAACTCAAATTAATCAATTGACGTTAAGCCTGGACTTGGCCTCTGTATAAAAATTTCTATGAATAAATTATTTTAATTCATATTTAATTTTTATGTTTTAAAATTTTTATTTAAAAAAAACTACTTTCTAATGGATGGCTGATCGTGTAAAGCTAAGGGTGGTGGCGCTAGTGGTAAAATTGCTCTTTCAAGACTTCCGGGTTACTACTTCCGATATATTTTTACGCCGCAGATTGAAAAAACGCGCCATCATATTATTGACTTTTGCAGTATTTCACATGTACCAAGTTCTTTCTTTCAGCCCTTAAACTTCAGCATTATCATATTAATATTATAATCATTAGAATATTTTCTAATTAGGCGAACTTAAAAAGATATTTTTAGAGATATTTTTGGCGACATTTTATTCAAATGTAGCCAAATAAGGGATAAAATACAAAACATGGCAAACCTTAAGAATTATTCACTATGAGATATTACTTTCCAAAATTTTTTTTGGCCTTACGATCTCTGAGAAGCAATACATTTCTGAAAGCTCTTATGAATGGTACAATTATGTTTAGATTTAAACCCAAATTACCATAACAAAACTGCATAGAATATTAGGCTTGTTCACACATCGCCTCGTAGTCATAACATAAGCGGAGGGATACACCGGAAATTCTCTAAATTTCTTCCGGTTTGAGGACGCTTGTTATTGTTTACATTAGATCACCCATCCATAGTGACTGAGTAATCATACGTAAAAAAACGTACATTTAAAATTTAATTTCACAAGTTCAAATTCTTCAGATTTCATATATCCAAATTTTATATTTTGCTATTTGAAATTACTTTAAAGTTTTGAAAAAAAGAAAAAAAACCCAGCTTGTTTAAAAACGGAAGTTAAAAAGAGAAATTGCTGAAAATTTAAATTGTTTGCAAAGTTTCAGAAGTAATAGCACGGTTTTATAGCTGTGTAGACAGAACTTTTTCATAATACTTTAATAATTGCAATAATAACTTTAATAATACTTTTCATGATTGCTTTAAGCTATTGTTTCTCAACGGGGGCGATACCGCCTTCCTGGGGGCGGTTAGAGTATGCCGAGGGGCAGTGGACTTGTTTTGGGTGGTATGTGTTTTGGGCGGTATGGGGGCGTTGGGTATGTTTTGGGCAGTAGGGGGGCGATGAGCATGTTTTGTTATTCAAATTTAACTTTATAACTCCCAAATAAAATTATTAAATTAAGATTTATACAGTAAATAAAATTAATATTATGGAAAAAAGATTAAATTAATATAATAAACTAAGATTATCTGATACACCATTTGTACCACCAATAAAACGAACTTATGCGGCACCTATCCTCCGATCCGAAATAGCGCAGCGTAGCACAGGAGTTAGTAGTTTTTTCTCTGACTCATTCAAGCCATTTAGTGAAAATTGAAGTGCATGCGCTTTTAGTATGAATGATCGATTTGACCCGATTTTCTTATGATGGTATTCGTTCGCTTCAATTAAGTTTTTCCCCAGTTTCGATTCGATTTTATTCTTTATTTGGCCAGGTACGTGGGTGAATTAGTTCTTTATCGTTAATCGTTTATTAATTTGAAGAAATAGTTGATTTTCTTTCATCGTTGTATTTTGCTGCCACCAACAATGTCGGTTAAATAAGTGTCGTGAATACAGTGTCACGTACTTGAAGTTTGGATTTGCTCAGTCGCTGTCAAACTCTCAACTACCCATATGTTTATTTTATAACAAAATTATCTAATGTGGTAATGGAAACTTTTCATTACTAGGAGCATTTGCAAAAAATTCATCCTGAGAAACAAAAGAAAGATTTATCATTTTTCCGAGCATCAAAGTCAAGTTTCTGAAGGCACCTATACGGTCTCAGGCTTACTAGCAACCTCATCACGAAAATGTGACGAAGGTTTAATTGCCTCTTATAATACATAAAAATTAATTCCTAAATTTGGGAAGGCTCATATCATCAGCCAAGAGTTCATGCTCCCGGCTGACGAGGAAGTTTTAGAAAGTTTTACACCATCCAGCCGCATCGAATTTAATCAAAAATATCCAATTAAGCAACGATACAGTGCCGTGACGAAATGATGAGATAGCTGAAGAGGTTGAAGTTACCGTATGCAAACTTTTGATATCCAACGAATTTTCCTTTCAAGTTGATGAATCAACCTTGCCAAGTAATGTAGGCTTTACAGTTGGCGTATATCCGGTTTGTGAAGGAAAGAAAAATTGTTGAGGAGATGCTTTTTGCTTTATTGTAGATACCAAAGGTGAATCTATTTTCAATGCTGTCAAATATTATTTTAAAGAGCAAAACATTCCTTTATGAATATATTGTCTGCTGTCACTGACGAAACTCCTGCAATAGTGGATTGACAGGGTAGGTGTATAGCCGTTTTGAAGAGGGAGTTATCAGATATTTCAGCTGTTCATTGTTTGATTCGCATACAGCATTTAGTAGGAAAAAATAGAAGCGACAGTTGGCATAAGCCTTAGCAATGTGTTATACCTGCTGTGAACAAAATTAACAGTAATGCTCTCAAAGATTGATTATTCAAACAGCTATGTAAGAAAAACGATGAAGAATATCACTTGCTCCTACACACCAAGATTCACTGGCTTTCCAAAGGTGCATGGCTCAATAGGTTTTGGAATCTTTTCCTTGGAATCTTCGTTCTTGAAATCCTCGAAGAAAGAGCTGTAACTCTGTTATTTGCAAAATTCAGTGGCTTCAATTTACAACTTTAAGTGAACGAGCTCAATTCGATCCCTACAAAATCAGCTATTTCAACCTTTCTAAGAAAATTCATTTTGTGGAGGCAGAATTTTGGTTGGAATGAGTTCAGCCTATTTCCAATTTCCAATCTCATCATATCTTAAAAAGAAAGACGAAACTACCTCTGATGATGCACAAGAATATTGTCAACACCTTGACTCTTTGCACGTGGACTTTTCTGACTATTTCAATGATGTTTTGTCCCTGGAAGTCCCTCAATGGGTTATGAACCCTTTGAGAATATTGAAACAATAGAGGTTCAGATTCAGGAGGAATTGGTTGAACTTATGAAGCTTTGAAATGGTGATCGTCTCACAAAAGTTTGATTTCCCTTGAAGCCAAACTTTTGTGAGACGATAAACGTCAGTCGTCTCTACCCTGGACTGTGGAATATCGCCAAAATTTTTTTAATCGGTCTTCCTTTGTCCACCTTTTCGAACCTAGATTCAGTGCTATCTAGTCACAAAAAAGAAAAATCGACTCGAGAGCGTGCTACGAAGGGACTTGCGTCTTCACCTCACTAAAAATATTGAACCGAACGTTATACTGATATAGTTACTTGATTGTTTCATTGATACTACTTTTTAATGTGAAAAAATTATTTTTTGTGTTTTTTTTAATTATTTAATTAAGCACAAATGACTATTTTTGTTGTATTTTTTTTTTAAATTTCCGTTATCGTATTTATTTTGGTTATGACAAATACTATGCTTTAAGCGATTTATGAATAGAATAAAGATCCAAACAACCATAAAAAGGAAGGAAAAAAACCCAACCAATTGGTGTTATCTCAGCTGAAACTTTCCCTAAATCAATCAAATCAAGCATCATGTAACCATACTGCCATCTCTCCTCTAAAGTGTGTAATTTGCTAGCAAGATAAAATTTTTGAAGAAAAAAAAAGCTACTCTTCTGAGACAAAAATTTTAAATTATGTCAGACTTTCACTTCAAGTCAAGTCAAGTATTACTGGACAGTGTCATTGAAAATATCGATAAAAGACTACTCAAAATCAGGGCTAAAGAGAGAAGGCTGTTCTCTCGTTAGCCCTGACTCAAAATAAGCATTGATTGCATCGCCAAAAAAGAGAAACATTGCATAAACTGATATAAAACCTACCCAAACACACACACATACGAAAAAGAATACATTTCTATATTTAGAATTATACAGCAATAATCCATTTTCACTCTAGTTTATATATTGTGTAGGTTTAAATTTTATTTTTCACCTTTCTGACTGAACTTTATAATTTTTAATCTACAAGGTTTATTTAAAATGACACCGGCATTACGGGGATCATCCTCCCATCAAAGTATATTTTCTTTTACATGTTTTCTCCCTATACCATCACATTTGTGTGAATGGACGATTATTGTAAGGTATTATTGTTTGTTATTGAATTTTGTCTTATGATACAAAATGAAGTTTGTGGAAAACCCCTTATTTACAGCTTTCTTTTAAAAAGAACAAAAACTACTCAGAAAATTTCTAGTAACTTTTAATTTTTTTTAAGATACTCAAATCAGATTTTTTTTTCATTAGTTGCCAATTACGATTCACTGTAAAGTTATATATTTTTTTAAAAATATTTTTTCCGCGCATACGCTATATAAAATAATTAAGTGCTCATATTTTGCGCAGTTTTTAACGATTTTTTTTAAAATTTTAAAAAATAGTTTTGTAATTAATTTTAAATTGTTTCAAAAATATGTTTACTTTCATTGAATATTTTTAAAGTTAAAGCAAAGATAACGTAAAACAAAAACAAAACAAATTTTTATTTTATTTATAAAAATATCTATATCTCAATAAATATTTTAATTTTACACGCAATTATTGCAAATAAAAACCAATGTAATCAATACAAGTTACTAAGTTCACTGCTTGATTTTCTGGCATAGAGTGTTTTAAAATATTTATTTTCTTTTATTTCTAGTCGTTCTCTCAAACCTATAACAGCTCTATTAACCTTATTAATAATCATTTGAACTAGACATTCCTAAAGTTACAAAATAATTCTCTAAGTCTTTCTTAAGAGTAAACTGAAAGTGTCTTTTCCATTATTGCAGGGTAGTATAAGTAAAGTTCGATAGCAAGTAAGACACTCTTTAATGCTTAAAATTTATCTAAATGCAGTGTCTTGTTTGCTATGTCGAAAGAAGTTTTTGAACTGATCATCCGTATTACGACATGATTCAGTTTATCTGTTTTAGATAAAACTTTTATTCAATTCATAATTATAGATATGTATTTTTATCTCTTATGTCAAAAATATTGATATTTGAAAAATGCATGTTTCGTTCAGGATGTTTCACATTTGAATGAAATAAAGATTTACCATAACAAGATATGGATCGGACATCAATTTGATTCATGTTATTTATGAGGATTGCTCTAAAAGGTAAATCAATAAAGCTTCTTTTACCAATCCGGTTTCATTTAAGAACAATTTTTTTTATTATATATTTTATTGAAATTACCATTAAATTATATTATAGATTCAGGGAAAAGAATTTAAAAAATATTTTCTAAGTATATTAAAAGTGCAAGGTAATTTATAAATGCAAATTAATATAGATAATTGTAATTTTTTAAAAAAAATTCGTTTAACAACTTTAGGTCGTATTTACCTAGCGTTTTAAATCTCTCAAACTTAATACACTTAGAAACTAGATCTTAAAAGATTTCTTGCTATTAACCTTTTAAATTTAATTTTTTTCCGTGTTCTTATCATGCTCGTTTTTTGTTTAAAATTAAATTCAACTTATAATTTCTAATTTCAAATTAATAATGCCATTCTTTTAAGATAACTGATTGCATGAGATTGCATTTGAGGAAAATATAAATTTAGGCAGTTCTTCTATTTAGTTGATATTCAATGTTTGGAGCATAAAATGAAAAATAGAAAATCTTAATAACTTTTGATCTAATGATCATATCTTCACGTTCCAAAACTCAATTTTAAAAGCTCGAGAGGATGACCTTAATTCTAATTAATTTGTGCGTATTCTCAACGCTAATTAATTTGTGCGTATGAAATTTTAAGTGACGAAATCGGACACAAAATCAAACTTTCGCTGAATAAGCATGCATTTTTACATCTTTCAACATACATCTCGTTAGTGGTGGAAGTTTTACCTAACTATATTTAGGTCAAATGCTCATCTTTCGTGATTGCTCTCGTAATCTTGGAATTTAGGTTTAAAATACTGGTTCTATCTAACAATCACGAGATGAGCTCTCTGTGTGGTTAATTTCAGTTAGGTCAAATGCTCCTCTCTCGTCATCTCGTAATTTAGGTTTTAAACACTGGTTTTTATCTAACAATCACGAGATTTGCTATCAGTTTGGTTTCTTTCAGTTAAGTCAAATGCTACTCTCTCGTCATCTCGTAATTTAGATTTAAAATGCTGGTTCTATCTAACAATCACGAGATGAGCTCTCTGTGCGGTTAATTTCAGTTAGGTCAAATGCTCCCCTCTCGTCATCTCGTAATTTAGGTTTTAAACACTGGTTCTATCTAACAATCACGAGATGCGCTATCAGTGTGGTTTCCTTCAGTTAAGTCAAATGCTACACTCTCGTCATCTCGTAATTTAGATTTAAAATGCTGGTTCTACCTAACAATCACGAGATGAGCTCTCTGTGCGGTTAATTACAGTTAGGTCAAATGCTCCTCTCTCGTCATCTCGTAATTTAGGTTTTAAACACTGGTTCTATCTAACAATCACGAGATGGGCTCTCAGTGTGGTTTCTTTCAGTTAAGTCAAATGCTACACTCTCGTCATCTCGTAATTTAGGTTCAAAATGCTGGTTCTACCTAACAATCACGAGATGAGCTCTCTGTGCGGTTACTTTCAGTTAGGTCAAAGGCTGTTCTCTCGTGATTGCCAGATTTTTATTATGGTTTAATTTTGAACACTTGTTTCTGGTAGTGTGTAAAATCCTTTTGATTTTATCTTTTTTTAATAATTTTAATTCTCCAACTAATGTTGCAATAAATAATAAAAATGTCAAGACTGTTAACAGTTTAGTATGTTTTGTAAATAAAAGAAAACAACAACTACAAATAACGTTTTTACATTCTTAAACTTTAAAAAATAAGAATGCAACCTATCAAAAATAAATTTGACCAGTTGAAAAATGAAAGATTTGTTTCACCGAATCGAAATATCATCGCAAGAATTCAGATGACAGCAGGAAGAAAAAAGAAGAGTCGGAAATCGCTTTCCAAAAGAAGCGATTGTTTTGATGTTAAAATAAAAATAGTGTCGTGACAGATATTATGTTTGGACTTATAACAACTTTCAATTTATTATTTTAAAAAAGAATTGAGAAAAATAAGACATATTTGGAATAAAAATAACAGCGATTTTCGAACAAAAGTTTTTTTCGTATGAAGTCTTATGGTTTTACAGTCCTTTTCAATTAATTATACAAAATCAAAACACACAAAATGGTTCTATTTATTTTATATAGTATAGATATCAAAATAAAAAGTGAATTTCTTTTGATATAATAATCGGATTTTCACGTACTGGGACTCAATCTTAATTTTCAACCGTAAATATGCCAATTAATTAGAGCAGACGATATTTTAAATCACGAAAGCAAACATAAAAATGTATTTTCTCTGATTAAACTTACCTTTTTTCTGACGGATTCGGATCTTTTATCCTCAAGATATAGAAATAGCCGTAATTTTGGAAAATAGTATCCCAATATTCAATCAGGTGTGTGTTTGAAAAGATGGATCTTTTAATGTTAATTTTACATTTTGCGTATTTCACCATAATTCTAATATTTTTTAAAGCGAATCGAAATATTTTTTAACACAATTATAAAATTCGATCATCCAAAGATAATTCCCTGAATAGCATAATTTTTAATAATTGTTTGTTATTTTTACTACACTCACACACTTATTATCGACGTTCAGTAAATAAAAAAATAAATGATTCGGTAAATAAATAAAATTTTAATACAAAAGTGAAATTTTTAAAGTTATTTGTCACTTTGTTCTTTGTTGTTATTTTCCATACGTTTTATAACATTACTAATGAAAATTAAAAGTTGATTTACTAGTGTATAGTATTTATTGTAGGTGGCAATAATTTTTTTGTTTAGTAATGATAAACTAACATGCAAAAGCTAACCTAAAAATGTAATAAAATGCTTTTAGGTTTGATTTAATTTTTTTAATCGAAAGCTAAACTTCTTCATTTTATATTTCTCCCCTAGAACACCACTCATGACTGTTATTCAGCTTTTGACAATATGTGTTGGGTTATTTTTTGCCCAGGGAATTCAAGGTAAGATTAACTATTTTTCAGATTATTAAAATTAACCCACTTTTCATATAATTTAAGGAATTTACATTCGTGGTTCTCCATAATTTTAATGTCCCAAAGTGGACTGATCGTCAGACACGGTTCCCAGAAGATAGTCAAGCATCATAGGCAGTGGTCAATGAGCGGATGGGTGACCACTTTGATCGAGCGTGCACGGTACTGGTCCTCGTAACACTGTTTTACCGTAATTGGCGGGTAGGTTGTCGGGCTATGAAAGGGGGTGAGCCATATCAAAGAATATAAATAGAGAGAAGAAGTCCAGCCCTCAGAATACGTGACCAATGCGGGGAACTGCTTGGTTCGGTATGCTATACCAGAAAAACGACTTAGTAGCATACAGTAGACAGGGTTAGTAACATACTCAGATTTAACAGAGCATTATATGCACTAAGATCTAGGGCATGTGTATTAGAAGCAAAGTGACTGTCAGGAGGTACGTCACCTGTGACCTGGTTGTTGGGCAACTCCAAATGTATGGTTGGGTACGCTGCCTCTCGCCAACCATCCTTTATTCTTTCGTTCTTCGCCAAAATGTGTTAGCAGATTTAATCAACATGGATGATATCAATGTCTTCTCAAATGAATATCTTTATTAACAGTAAAGTGTCGTTTACTTAACAGTGTAAAAATGTAGAACAAACCAATAATAAATTAAAAGAGAAAGCTTTTCTTCTTTTCCTCAACCCCAGTAGTGGTTGGGAGGAGGGAGGGGTTGAAACATATTTCAAGATCTTCAGCTGCTTTGCCTCTAAATATAGTTTTTTCCTTTATACACAGGGACCGCACCAAACCTTGGAGAACTGGTTTACATTATGACTACGGAAGCTAGCCTTCTTCCTCTATGTGTATTTTTTGACCATATCCTCTACAGAGGATTAAAATTTCATCCATAGGGATACTACTACCATAATTTTAATGTTTTCAAGTTGCTACCTCAATTGATTTTTTTTAAGAAATTAGAATCGGCAACAAATAAATGTAATGCTTTTAAATATTTATGAAATTTAGTACAACAATTGACTACTCAGCTGAGCTTGACTAACTTTGATTATAAGGTTCGACTTACAATATGGAAAATAATGTGTGTTTTAATAATAACCTTGAAATTAAATTCAATAATTTAAAAAATTTGGATTTATTTGGGTCAATTTATGAAGGTTTATGTGAGATGGGTCAAGTTTAAATTGTTTTGGTGCTTTAGCACTAATTTGTTATTGAAAAAAACTTTATTTGCCTTAAAAGTACTTAAAGATCGACACATATCGGGAGCTTAAAATAAGATGATAATTTTAAAGACCTGCAACACGAGAATGATAAAGTCCAAAACGTGGTTTGTAGAAAGAAATCCCAAGTTCTCAACGAAAGAAATGAAAAAGAAAATAAAGGTGAAAAACAAAGTAAGAAAGAAAAACTGCGGTAACCATGGGGAGGACCAAGAAAGGGTGATTATAGCAGGTTACATTTCCAAGCGGAATGATGGGTTCATGTAGAATTGTTATTATTAACTTCCAAATTATAAAATGAATCTGCTTTCATTAAATAGAAACAGATTCCAGAGAACCAAGCTGAGTTGATGTGTGACAAGAGTGGAAAGAATTTCGGCATTATCAATGAAGGTCCCAGCAATGTGCAGTAATAGAGGATTTATGGTTATACTACGCTAAGTCAGAAACGACTTGACTAAACAAAGCCTAATCCTCTAGTGCGTTATTTTGATAAATAAAGCCTAATTTATGGGAATTTTCATTATTTTTTTTAAATAAAAGGTCCATTAATTGCCTTGAAGATTCCGATTTCATAAATATTTGATTCCACAGCAATCTTTGGAAACATGAACTAATGACCCGGGATCCATACTTGTTGCAAACTCTTGGATTAACCCAAAGGTTCTTGACAGTTCTTTTCATTTCAATGTTTCTAAAACGCTGAGTCCCAAAACTTAAGAAAATTCTGAACTTTACAGGAACAGAATTGGATTACTCTGGAACTACAGATAAAGGTCTCGAAGAATATGACACCAAACTTTCCAACTTCCTGATAGAGATCCTGGAGAATTTCCGGGATCAAATGCCTTTTGGGATTCCGGACATAGGCGTCCCAGCCGTAGATCCTCTCGTCATACCCAACATTGACGAAAAGATCAACGAGAAGGTCGCTCAGCTGGAATTTCGAATGAGGGAACTCAACATCACGGGCATCTCAAAATTTCGTCTCCAGAGTTTGAAAGCGGATTTGGTGAGGGGCTTCGCCAATATAAGTATAACACTGCCAGAAATGGAAGCCGATGGACACTGTTACATGAACGGAAAGGTCCTCAATATATTTCCCATTAACAGTGATGGACCTTTCTTCATACAGGTTAAACAGGTGAGAAAAATAAGCATTCTTAAGAAATAATATCTATGTGCTGAGTGTTGCGTTATCACCGCTCTTAATCACCGCTTTTCAGAATGTTTGTCAAAAATGAAGTTAATAATAAAGTTACACTGTTTAAAATATCATAAAGTTCGTTCTAGTTGGCGGCTTTCAATGAAACTTTGTATACACAAGAGCATGGAGATATATTTTATAACCGTCGTGGAACGGCCGACCCAATTTCGGGTTTACAGCTACCAATGTTAAACTCCACACAGCCTTGTAATTTTGGACCTAATCCAGAAGACAAAGGAACTCCTAGATCAAGTATTGGGAGAAATTCACATTCGTGGAGGACTTTTTGATGAAACTAACCTGCATTTGAGTTACATGGAGAGGAAAACCATTAAAACCTCCTACGGCTAGTCTGATGGCAAGGGGACTCTAACACATTGGGTCGGCTGCTTAACGATGGTTATAAAATAAAATAGAATGATATTTAAAATATATAGTGATATATCGGAAAATATTGAAAATATCGACAAAATGAGGAAATGGATTAATGAGGAAAAGCGAAAAAATCGGAATGAATCAACCTTCATAAACCTTCGGTGGAGAATTTTTTAACCATTTGACACAGTTGGGTCACCGATGTCCCTTTCATATATATATTTTTCTGACGCTTTTTAATAATAAAAGATAGTGATATTTTTTAATGATGAAAAATAGTCTTATAAATACTAAAATGATCTGTTAGTTTGCCGTAACTGTATTTGTACTTAAGTATAAAATTAAAAAAAAGTACTCTGAAAATCATTTTTTCCATTTATATTCAAAAATTTATCAATAATTCATTTGGCAAATTTCAATGATGAATAATGTTTCTCTTAGATCTGAATAACTGAAAAAAAGTGTTAAATTCGAAAAATTATTTGGAAATGAGCTGGGTTTGGAAAATTTTACCTTTAATGCATAAAAAGACATCGGTGTTTCATGATGTATTTCATAACCATAAATTTAAATGCTAAATATGATATTATTATGATATACTAAATATGATATGATATTTTATATGATATTATTTATTTTGACCTAAACTAATACAAATAATGAAAAAAGTATGTAAGATACGTTTAATAAGAATTCTGCGTCGAAAGGTTAAGGAAACTAATCCGCCTTTCGATACCTGGAGATGAAAACAGCAAAAACTTCCCACGGTTAGCCCGAAGGCGAGGAGACTCGAACCCATGATCCTACTGAGGATATTATTCGTCAGCCGATGTGAGCTACGAGCAGAATTCATATCAACCAGCCATTGCTGGGATTTGAACTTCGTCACCTTATTTGGTAGCAAGCCCTCAAATTCCTCGAGTCACCGACGCTTCATAACATCCTATTAATGATGGGATTTTATAAACCATTTCATAAACGTTGTAATATGTTTATCTGCAAGGTCTAAGTAAATCTACTGCGTCTACCGCTGTGCCTCACAAGTTCTGCAACCAAAGTAGTTACATTTATCTAATTTTCAATTAAAAAAACGAACCTTTTTTACCACCGTGATATTTAAATTTCATGAATGTCGGAAGTCTTGCAGAAAGTCAACAATGAAATCTAAATATGGTATTAACGATTGTTTCCATTGCAGGTACAGATTTCAGGTTACGGAGATTTAAATGTAACGATGGGGGAACACACTCGCATCCACATGAACGACTTGAACCTACACTTAACATTCGATTCCCTGAAAATCGAATTTCAGAGCCTTTTGGGTGGCGGAAGATGGACGAAAATGCTTTTGAAACTGGTGTCTGGACTGGGACCGAAGTTGTTCATCCATTTCCACGAAGAGGCAATGACCGAATTGAACAAAGCATTACTCAAACTTATCAATAAGGAATTGGACAAGGGGACACTCTCTGAGCTCTTGGATCTCATACCATCGTAGTTTGTCAAAACTCTGTATGATTAATATTCAAATATCTGTGCAAAACCTGTATCCTTCATGTATAAGTACCTGCATAATAATTAGTTTTAACCTGTGAAAACTAATAATAATAACCTGTAGAACTAACTATTGTATAACTAATTTATATTATGAATAAAAATATCCCAAAACAAAGAGGCTAATTTTTGGTTGACAGACAAAGTTAAAGTTACGCTTTCTCATAGACAGAGAAATAGTGCACTCTCACATAATATTGTGTATTAAATTGAAGATTGATAAGATGTAGGCAAAACATGTTTAACCTGTTTAGGGTTGGCAAATATAGCAAAAACTGTTTCCTCTAGCTTGCACGTTCCGAGAGCAGGGGATTGGCAGTTTTTTGTTGTTTAGCTTAATTTTATTTAAAAATCCATATAAAATCTTTACTGCAATTAAATGAGCTGAAATTCGCAGCTCATTATAATTGATGGTACCTGTATATGAACAATTCTACAAATAAACGCCAATTAGGCGGCCAAAAAAAAGGGGGGGGGCAGGTTCAGATTTATCTGAGCCATTTATTTTAAAATTGGTATTTTAAAATTGTAATTTTGTCGTTTAAAGTATGTCACAAAGAAAAAATTTCATTCTCACGATTTTTTCTTGCTTTTTTAGGGTGTAAAAAAGAAGAAAATTCATGTAGAAATAGCGTGCCCCCCCCCCCAATTTTTTTTGCCGTCCAATTGGCATTTATTTGTAGAATTGCTCATATACTTTAATAAAAAGTTCACGACTTTTAAAATAAAAAATAATTGCAAAAATGAGCCAAAACATATAAAATATTGTCCAGTGAACCCCAAACGACAAATCTACGTCCACATAAAACAATTAAAATTCTACCTTTTCCCACTCCTTCAAAATGTAAGCAAAAACACAATGCATAGTAATTCACATGCAAATCTTCTCGAAAAAGCTCAAACAAGCACAGTTTTTTACATGTTTAAATATCCCAGATAGGAAAAAACAACAACTTGGAACTAAAAACGCATATTGAAGACCAACCATGTGTGATACATTATTCGAAATTATAATTGACTTCAATCACTATCTAATGTTGTTTAAAAATTGAAATAACCTCTCGCTCAGTGTGCCAACTGAAGAAATTTTCACTCCCCGGGCGATACTGATATCGGTGCCTTTAACTCAACTTAGGAAAAGTTATCTTAAAAAAAAAGATCCTTTGAATTGCCCCTCTGGTGTAGTCATGACACTAATATTTATAATTACATTAAGATGTGATACACGTAAGAGTCAGTAAACTTATTTTTACGATATAATATGTAGTAAGACTCATTAATGTAAGATGCATATCTATAAGAAAAATAAGAGATTGTCTAGGTGTGTGTCGATCTCTTATAACTCCAGAACCGTTTGTTTTGTCATCTTGAGGTTTAGACATTGGTTTCAAGTGGCAAATTTAGCTCCCGATTATCAAATTTGTCCAAAAATTTCCGTTACTCCGTTCAGTAGAGCCGTATGAAAAATGGAAATTCTAAATTAGCCTAGAACTCACCATTGATAAAAAGGAGACCGCAGACGCTTTCCTTTCTTCCAAACATTTTAAAGAATACACCAGTATTTGCTAGCTTATGACTTTCTTTATAAAAAAAGGAATTCTTTGCACGTTCTTTACTATTTAATTATTTTTTTAGTCTTTATGTCAGTTAAACTCAATGATCAGCATGAACTTGATAACATTAACGGATTACGTCCCTAAATTAGTATTCCTGAAGTCATTAGAAACCACGTGTTTATTTGGTTTATAGTTATGCTTTCAAAATTTGATTCTATACAGCTGAATAATTCAAAATCCACAATAATTAAAATTGACTTCACCTGTAAATTAATTTACAGGTGAATTTAGTTTCGAATTTCATTTATTTTATGTTGATAACATCCAAGATAAGATATCTCAATCTTCTTTGTTTATTAATAAACATATCACGTGATTGTTTTTGCGAAATGAGAATGCACAGACACGAATCAGAATCGCCAAGACATCTATAAGGATATTAAGAATTATTTTGGTAATTTAAAGCTGTTGCATAGTTTTGAAATATGCTGTTTCGAAAATAAATGATGAACTTAAATTGGAAAATTAAAATACAAACGGCATCATTGCGTTAGTAAAAATTGATGCTTCCTTTCATACTATAATATTAATACCGTCTAAATTCGAAGAAAATCCATTCAATTTTTAATGAAGACTTCTTTTTCATTTTTAAGTAACATTAATCTGAATGGAAATTTGTCTTTTTGCTGATGACTTCAAAATTATTTGGCAGAACAATAAAATGTGATATAACCTTGATTGCTTTCAATAAACTTCCTGTGTTATTGTTTGGATATCTGTTGCGAATATATAATATAGTTAAATGTTTATATTCCACATTTTAAAGAGAATTAAACGAATCGGATTTGGATTGATATAGTGGTCCAATGATACCAGTCAAGAAAAGGTGATTCGTACGTAGTTTTATTATTTCTTATCTTTTGATAATTTTTTTTCATTTCTCTTAGTATCAAGAGCATTTAAAGTAAGTAGTGATAAATGGCATTATAGGACCGAAATTACATTGTTTTCGTTATCATTTGCTACATTTATTCGGACTAAAAAAATATTTAATTACGAATTAACTGCCCTTTAACTCCTTGCGGAATAACAAATTTCGGTTGTATATTTTAGTGAGGTCAATGCGACCTCAGACGCTTATTGAAAATGCATATTTTTTCTCTCTGTTGCTTAAAGAATAATGGTAGCTAAAAATTGGTGGATTCTTAGAAGCAAATAGTTCTACATTTTTAGTGGTTGGAAACATTTTGGATTAAGTATTGCAACACTGCACCGGAAATGGTTAAAAAAACAGTTTTACTTACAAATCCTTATATTAATTGCTCACTAGTAAAAATTTTGTAATAATGATTAAATCTTTTTTCTTTTTGAAATATGCTCAATTAAATGTGGTACATAGTATTATGATAAATCAGATTATTATCAAACTATTGTTGAATTAGGATGAAAATTAATTTTTTTAGCTCATGTTCGTAAGTGCAATTATATATTGTTAAAAGCAAATTTAGTGTCTCTCAATGCAAAAATGGTGGTAACTACTTTACAATTAAATCATGTAGTGAAACACCATACGTAACTCTTGAATCCAGGTGTTTCACTATATGGGTCATTCTCACAAAAGCAGTCATTTTCATGTCCCCAGTGTATATTTTATGTTTGTTTTACAGCTTACGAAAAAAAATTTCAGGGAAAGTGTCCTTCAGAATGCAAGCTAATAAAAGAATAAAAATAAAATTATCAATTTTTATTTTTTATTTATTTTAGGTAATTAAAATATACCAATATGTCATTCCCTCACTTGTCCCCACTGCTGATTTAAAAAAAGAAAAAAATTGTTTCTGAAATAAAAATTTTTTTTTTACAAATTCGTGTTTTTTATTTCAGAATACTGAAATATAGAATTCAGAAAATCAATTTTAAATTTAATTTCTGATAAAAATATTAACACAGCACTATTTTAAACTTTGTCCCCAGTGTTTCGCGTCATTCCCTCACAACAATGTTCTTATCACCTGCAATCTTCTTAGAATAAAAATATTTTAATAAAAACTTCAGAAGTTAACAACTGGCATCATAGAACAAAATTGCAGTATGTTTCCATCTTCAACTTAAAGAAGCTTTGCTGTGGAATAAATTTGAATGAATCAAACCAGGTAAAATTTTTTACATTTGTCATTCCCTCATGTCATTTTTTAGAGTAAAATAAAATACAACTTCATCGAGAAAGTGGATAATTATATGTTGCTTTCTTGTATGAATATAATTGTATGTGATTGACTTCAGAAATTAATTAGGCCTAACTGTTATTTTTAAATTTTATTGAATTCGTCATTCCCTCACTAGTGTATAAAGTGAGGGAATGACGCTGAAGTGAGGGAATGATTCAAGATGAGTATATTATTAAATTTTTTTTTGTTCAATCGTGCCAGCCAATTTTATTTCCCAAACCTGTAAAAACTATTAAATATATAAGACTAAATTATAATAAATATTAGATATACTTAGTATGTTATCATTTTCAAACTTTAGGTAGATGTAACTTAGATAAAAACATGTATTAAAATAAAATATCATTCCCTCACTATTAGTGTCATTCCCTCACTTTTTAAATAGTGAAAATAATTAATTTACTTATTAATTAATTTGAAAAATAAATTAAAAAATTAATAAATTAATTTATTAAATTAATTAATTTATTTATTAAATTAATTAATTAATTATAAATTAATTATTTAAAAAATTAATTAATTTAAATATTAAGTATAATTTATAGGATATATACTTTCGTTATAATGCCATTACATATTTCTACTAATATAAAAAGTTTCAGAGCTTTTTATTCACTTTACTTTTTTGGGATTTTATGAACTGAAAAATGACAGTTTTCGTGAGAATGACCCACATGAAGAATGCTCTTTTGCACTGCTTGGTGTAAAGTAGCTGCCGCCATTTTTGTTTTTCAGTAGCGCTAAAACTTATAATCGCATTAAAATGTGATACACATAAGAATCAGTAAACATATTCTTACGATATCTTATGAAGACTCATTACTTTAGGATGCATATCTATAATAATAAAATGAAGAGTTCGTTTGTCTGTGCCTGACGCTCCCTTATAACTCCAGAACCGTTTGTTTTATCATCCTGGAGTTTGGCTGCATGCTAATAAGATCAAGAGTTTGTAGTCTGTGTCTGTCGCTCTCTTGTAACTCCAGAGCCATTTGTTTTATCATCCTGAAGTTCGGAGATTGGCAGCAAGGAGCAAATTCAGTCGGAAGAGCCGTAAGAAAAATGGATTATTTTTTCATTGGCTTAGAACACAACATTGATAAAAATGAGAAAGCAGATGTTTTTCTTTCTTTCAAATATTTTAAAGATTGCGTCAGTGATATTTGCTAGTTTATTAACTAACTTAATTTACGCAGCATTAGTCATCGTGGCCTGCGGAACGATATCGTTCCAAACCTTCCTTCCAGCAACATTTATCTTCCAGTTTTTCCCCTTCAAGGTGGTTAGATCTTCGGTAACCGTCAAACTATCTCTTTTTCCTTCTTCCTCTTGGTCTCGAGTTGAAAGATTTCCATTCTAAAAGTTTCCTTAAATTTCTATTATCGTTTAATATTTCAATGTGCCCTAACCATGCAAAAGATCTGGATTAAATAAATCGAATTATATTTTGTCGTCTGATTAAATGGTCAAGTTAATTATTGTTTCTTATTCTCCAATGAGTATCATTTACTTTAATTAGTCCGAAAATCCTTCGCAAAGTTTTCCTTTCGAAGATTAGAAGGTTAGATTCGTCTTTGCTAGAAGTTTCACTGCCATACGTAAATATACGTCTGATAACTTTTGTAGAACAATAACTTGATTTACTTAGTAAAAAGTTAGAGCGTATGTATTGATATAAGTAAAAACATCCATTTCCTTTTGTATCCTGAAGTTAATTTCTTCTGATATATTGTTAGTATCATTGATAATTGAACCAAGGTAGGTAAAACTGGAAGCTCTTTCAAACTTACGGTAATCCACCGTAAGCACTGATGAAACAGTGATGAAATTTGCTAGCTAATAGATCTCATTAAAAAAAAATTAGTGTTTTTTTGCACGTTTAATTTTCAGTCATTTTTGTTATAAAAATTCAGTGATGAGCAACCATTATGATACCGAATTAGTATTCCTGATTTTATTAGAAACCACGTGTTGCTTTTGTTTCTATTTATGCTTTTAAAATGTGAAACTATACTACTAAATGATTTGAAATTCACAGTAATTGAATTAAAAAGTAATAAGTTATATATTGAAAAGAAAAATTAACAGAGAAATAGTACTAATTTGTAAAGGAGAAACGTAAGAAATCATCATACTCTTATTAGCGTCATCAATAATGCTTGATTAAATTTCTTATTGGGTAACAATTTAATGAAAAAATAGCTTTGTTCCAGAACGCAAAATTAAAAGAGAAAAAATACTTATTCATTTAGAGAAACTGTGAAAAATCTTCATGCTATTATTGACCCCAATCATGCTTAATTAATTTTGGTAATAAGTCCTAGCTGAAATAAAAAAAAAAAGCTTTAGACTCTAAGCACTGTGAAGCAAAATTAATAGAGAAATATCAGTAATTCACTCAGCAGAAATGCAAAAATTGCCATATATTTATTGACGCCAATGATGCTTTACTAATTTTGGTAATAAGTGCTAACTGATATTGAATATTAGAAGCACTATTATTGGAGAAATGGTACAAATCCCTTTAAGAGAAATGTAAAAAAGCAACAAACTTTTATTGACGTCGATGTTTAGAATAGGTATTTTCGGTATAGTTGTAATTGGTGCAACTTTAATTCATAAATAGTGAAAAGAGGGTTTTTACGGGCCCTCAAAAGGGGACGTACAGGAGAAAAAATTGCTTGATTGTGGTCAATTTTGACTCTCATGAGTTGGTCTCGAGCAAAAACATCAAGCTAAAAGACATTGAATAGAATAAATGTATTAGGATAGGATGAACAACTAAAGACGTTTTTTTTAATCTAACAAGGTAAAACTATCGACAGGGACAAAAAATAGTAATAAATAAAAAAATTAATATTGGAATCATTTTAGCTTTATTAATTTTGTTTGCATATGTCTTTAAATTTTGTGCATTTTTTTGTTGTGTTGTTCAGAACTGATTTATTGATTGTTTACTATTGATTGTTTTATTGATTGTTACAAGCTGATATGAAAAATAAAGAGACAATCACTTTGAAGTCATCAGATGACACTGAAGGTCCAGGATAGCCTGGTTGGTAGGGAGCCGAGTCCATGTCCAAGAGTTCGTGGATTCGAACCCAGTCGGCCGAAGACTGCCCGTGTAGTAAATGGTGACTTATGCACGTTGGATCTGACGGCTCGCAAAGTCCTCCATGTTCAAACCATGTCCTCCATGCTCCATAACAAATCAAACCCTTTGGGGGTACTGGATTGGAGATCGATCGTTCTCTGATTCAGGTCAAAATTACGATCTGTGGATGAATGAATGGAAGTATGAATGGGTTCGCCCTATTATAGGGGTGTGACGTATGGGTGCGGAAAAAGTCGAATNGTCCTCCATGTTCCTATAACAAATCAATACCTCTGGGGATACTGAATTGGAGATTGATCATTCTCTGATTCAGGTCAAAATTACGATCTGTGGATGAATGAATGGATGTATGAATGGGTTCGCTCTATGAAAAGGGTGTGGCGTATGAGCGCGGCAGAAGTCGAATTTTTGGCCATAGATGGCGCCACTGGAAAATAAGAACAATCGCACCCCTCTTCCTAAACAGGCACACGAAAGCAAGCAGCACATGACACTGATTGCCTTGCTTGATAACTGTGAGCTAACAGTAATAAAATAGCAAGAAATCAAGTGAACCTATTACAGATCTTCTTTCAATATGAAATATTTAATACAGATTTTTATGTAGTCTCTAAATGCTTATGTTTAGAATTTTATGTTTTCTTGTTTGGTACTTATGTTAAGTTTGGTGTCTTTCAATGTTAAATTTTAGAACTTTTAACCTAAAGCTTTGTGTCGGATGTTTTGAGTTTTGTCACGTTTTAAATTAACTTATTTTTTTTTAAATGAATACTGATTTCTTTTACCTTAGCAGAAAGACTCGAATATGCAGAGTATAAAGATGATGTTGATTGTAGAATTAGCTGTTATGTTGCTCATACAAGGTAAGGCCTCTGAAAAAAAAATCTTGTGAATAACTTAGTTATTATCAAATTGAAAATGATATGCACAACTAGATAAAATAAGCTTACTGCGCCGCCTGCTATAACATCACATTATTAACGTTACGGTACTAGTTAGGAAAAAAAAAGTGCTAAATAGGAAACGAACTTCGAAGCTAATTTTTTTATTCGGTATTTCTTACATTCCGAAGTGATTTAACAAAGAAAAAAAACATTTATCTTAAGATATTTTTAAATGTATAACACTGAATTACTTTTAAAATAATTATCGGGTTATCAAGTACTAGGACTTATTTCTAATAATTCAAAGGCGGAACTTTAAATATGCTTATTAATTATCACAGACAATATTTTAAGTTACGAATCAGACGCAAAAGTGAACTTTTTATAAGCAAATTTTGCATCTTTTTTTCCGATGGACTATGATTCCTTTCCCTCAAAATAAGGGGGTAGCCATAATCTGGGAAATATCACCCCAATGGTTCGGTCTAGAGAGTGGTCCAAAATTTGGACCCTTCAACTGTTAATTTTACTTCTTGCGTATTTCGCAATAGCTTGAGAACTTTTTATGCGAATCGAAAAAATTTCGCATGCAAATATATAATTCGTTTATCCAAAGCTAATTCCATGCCTTTTTCAATAATTATTAATTAATTTTTATTACTATAGTTCATAATAGTCGAAAATATTTTGAATTGTAAGGCATACACATTTTACATTCTTTTTAAAAAATGTAATTTATAAGGCAGAATGCAGAAATAATTTAGTCGAATTGCGAGAAATCGAATTTTGAAGAAATCGTATAGTTAAAATTTGGTTTCTCCAGAAGTATCAGGCGGATTTCTTTCAAATTTTGCATTTTAACTTTTAAAATTACTTTCTTTAGTAAAAATTGGTATATGTTACAATTCCCAAATTTTTTCACCTATTATTAAATAAAGTAATAAAAAATACTAAATAATTATTAAAAATTATTTTTTGCACTGATTTTGTGTGCAAAAATTTTTTGATTCGCTGAAACATTACAAAACATTACAACTCAAACTCGGAATTATAAAACATTACAAGTCGAGGTAGGAAAAAATGTGCAAAAATAAAAGTAAAGCTTTGGAGCGCTTTTCTGACCAAACTATTGTAACCTTACTTCCCTAGCCCTGATGTTTCCCACCATACGATAGCTCCCAATATTTTGAGGGTTTGGCATTCAAATCCATCATGAAAAAAGAGAATGCTTATTTAGAGAAAGTACGTTTTTGCATCCTATTTCATAAATTAAAGTATTGTCTACATTAATTAATTAGCATATTTAGGGTCCCCCCTTTGAAGCATTAAGATTGAGTCTAGAACGTGAGGATCAAATAATTAGATCAAAAGTTATTCAGGATAATTATTTTTTTTTTTGCACTGCTGAAGATGTTTGAAAATCGAAAAAATGAAAGTATATTATGATAACTAGTTGTTTTTTTTTCTTCTTTTCTGAGATCGTTTCATCTAGTCCTTTTTTAGGAAATTCAATAATTTTCTCTCATTAAGAGATGATTTCAGACTAAGAATAAGACAAAAACTCGAACTTCTTATTATGGCCCAGATTTAACTATTAGTAGATAACAGCAAATCGCTAGAGTTTTGTTACATTTAAGCTGCTCATAGTATCAGGGTATTCTTGGGATTTGGGTGAATCACCTCTTTTCTTTTGCCATTTTCTTCTCGGCTTGTCCTTTACAAAATGTCATAAAAAGGCCTCTACCAGCGCCATCTTGGATATTTACTTATTTCGATGTTTTTTTTTCCTGTTCTTCACGAACTTTTGATGATAGACTATCGTTTGATAGAACTACATCCACGAAAAATAATAATAAAGGAGTTGCTTTTCCAGATTATGAGAAATAGCACTTTATAATTTTTAAAACTTCTCCTGTTTTTTTGTTCCAAAATGTAAAGCAATAAAATTACGAAGTCTGCCACTTAGGGCATTTATCAGTTAAAATACATTGATCAGTTTTTATATTTTTTAAAATTTATAAATGAATTCAGGAGTTTAATATTATTTAAACTTACGAAAACCGTTTATGCTGCCGTTGACAAGCTTTCATAATGTAAAGTACGAAAAATTTATCATGAAGTTACCAAAATTAATAATTTTTTTTATTTACCGAAATGAAAAAAAGTAATTTACCAAAATACTAAAAGTAGGCAAATGTGTTATTATTTCATTTTCAAATACTGATTGCAGAATTGTATTTCTCACTGCTCTTTCCACCAACGAACTGCAAACTTCTGTTTTTGGAACTTTTGTTTCCTCCAAGCATGCTTGGTATGCCGCTGAATCTCTTGGACTGCTATTGCAGTGATCCTGCCCAAGACTTTCTCAGATCACTCTATAGTGCTGCTTTGAATAGAACTCCTCTAAACTAAAAGTCTGGGGCTGTCTGCTGCTATGGTAACAAGCGAGAGCATATTTTTCTAATGGTGTCGATTGGTTTAGTCACGAGGACCTACGCTAAGATTAAGACAAAACTATTCACCCCACACCCCTATTCAAAGTGACCTTTCCTCGTAACCATAGTACCCGCCACGACGCGAGACCGGTGTCTAGAGGAGTTCTCCTGAAAGCCGCACTATATCTAAATCTTAGGGCGGGTCACATAAAGAGTCTAATTTTCAACGGTTCCTCTGTTCCGCCATCGCTTTTCCTTCCCATAGATTGTATTGGTGTCTCTCTGGGGCAGTTGTTGAAAGAGGGGGGTATAGTCTTTGATTTAATTCTGAGACAGGGTCTCTTGAACATGGTTTAGTTTGTCTAACTAAACCAAGGGAGATAAGCAGCAAACACAGAATTGTATTGGAATAAGTTTTCAGAAAAACTCAATAGAGATATAACATATTTTAAAATCCTATTTTAAATCTTGTGTGCTATATTTTAAAACGCTTATCAAAAGGTATTGCCGATCTGAGTTAATACCCATCATCAGTTAATTTGTGAAAAGGAAACGATGGCGATTAAAATCACAATTATTATTTCCTACTTCCTACCTTTGAGTTATATCTACCTTTGAGTTATACCTTGAGTTATTGAGTTATAAGTGAAGATTAATCTTCTGAATGCTGAATTTCATCTTCATTCCTTATAGGAACGGCTTCCGAATCCAGTGCAGAGGAAGAAACCAAATGGGCTGACACCTTGAAAGATGTATTAGAAAATCCTGAATCAGACACCATTAGCGATCCTATAGATCCTCTTCCAATAGAAGACGAATTTGTAATGAAAGATCGGGGTTCATTTCCTGCTAAAGATGTGGAGGTGGTCCTTAACTCAATGATTTTGAAGGGCCTTTCGCAGAGGAAGGTCGAGGGGTTTAAAATGGAACCCTCGGAGAATAAAACCCTAAGTTTCAGCATTTACTTTCCGGAGTTGAGAATAAATGGTAAATTCCAATTATCGGCAAAAACGTTGCGTAAGCGTTGGACCAGACATGGGGATTTTGAAAGTACAGCTAAAGATGTAAGTGAAAATTAAGGAGTGTATTTTTACGGCTTGACAATCCTAGAAAATCATGTAGTTTATTTTTATGTACTGGTTGTCCACTAAATGACTGATTCTTTTTTAACCTAAACAAAAAAAAAATATTGAGTGAGAAAAAAAACATTGTTATTGGAAAAATAATAAATTTGGAAAAATACAGTATTAAAAATCGTTGCAAAGTTTTGTAATCAAACTTTTAATTGTGTTTTTTTGCAGCTTTTTAAGTCACACTAAATACTAATTAAAACGTAAATTTACTTAATTTATATGTAATTACGTAATTAATACGTAAATCACGTAAATTTACTACCACTAATAACAATTTATGGAATCCGTAGCAATTCTACGAAAAAGACAAAATTTTTTTTTGACTTTTAGTCGTTTCTTAAAAAAACTATTTTAACAAAAGTAACTAAATGATTTTTACAGATGAACGATATCACTTTACGAATTTATTCGGGTTCATTATTTTAGTTTTTGAGAAAAGAACAATGCTCATAAAATAAGCTTAAAAAGAGGAATGAAATTCTATGTCCCGTTTCCATTTTCCTTAAACAAACATTTCGAGTTTTGTTCAAAATAAAAAGCTCACCGAAGTTTATTTTCTAGGTGCTTTGATCTTCAGTAACATTTTGTTAAAGATTGACAGTCATCTATGGTGAGTCACGGGGCCTCATTTCTCAATTAAATAATGATATAAAAATTCCTCAGGCATGTCCCGTGAAGGGTTATTACATACAGCACAGAGAGAAATAATAGGAAAAATTTTATGGTTCTGCGAAATTCCTTCTCGTATGGTCTTATGCAAATTGCCTGCTCACTATCACTTCACAAAATGATGAAATTCATGTTGGTAAACTATTACTAAAAAGAAAAACTTTTGCCAAGATAAACAACTAAAAACCCTAATTGGCATTGTAAAAGCATATGAAAGGAAAACGAAGCACATTATTTAAAAAAAAAATTTAATTGTACTAAATGTAGCCCAAAACATCGGACACTGGGTCTTAGGAGCTTAAATATCCGTTTCCTCAACAGTGATTAATCAGATTTAGACATCGTTTTTTTCCTTGGTTAAGCATTGATCTACGATAATTTTTTTTTGATCAGGTAATTAGGTTCTTTATGTACGTCACAGTAGAACTGCACAATAGGCTATTGGCAATGATCTGGGAAACATCCCTGAGGATGATGTGAAGACGTGCCATCACAATTTCGATCCTCTGCAGAGGAGATGGCTCCTCTGCTTTGGTAGACCAACGTCCTGCGCGCGAAGTCGAGCACCTTACGATAGAACATTTAACGAGGATTGATACCGCGCACCCTCGATCGCAACGCAGACTGATCAAAGGAGTTACCCACCTACTTACCGCCGGCAGCCAGTGATGCTTGACTTCGGTGCTCTACTGGGAACCGTGTCTTTACGATCAGTCCACTGCGGGACCCTTTTTTTGACAAGGATTTAAAAAGCATATTATGGAACAATTAGTATCAAAGCAGATTACATTTTAATCTGATCTACTATTTTTTCTCTTTCAATTTCAGGCGAAAGCTGATGTATTTTCGAGTTTAGATGTCCAGAAGACTGACAGTGGAACCAAAATTAGACTGAAAGACATAGATGTCAATCCAACTATCCCTGAATTAGTTATCAAATTTCATGGCTTGCATTTTCCTTTCAAGCAAGCTGTTAACACTGTACTTAAAAAGAAAGCGGAAGAATTTAAGAAGGACGCCAAAGGGATAATACAGGACTACAAAGAGGAAATACTGGATTTCTTAAATATCATGCTGGATAAAATGGAATTCTGAAAATATATGTTCAGAATTTATTGCGATGGCATGGTAGGTAACGTTTAGGAACTTATCATATCAGCATTATCAGATTGATTTTAATTGTGTCTAATTTTTGGAAATAAAAAATGTTTAATGGCGTAAGTGTCGTATTTTGTTTACGATTTGCAAAAACAACCGACAAATGCAAATATGAAGTATAGCAATTTTTAAATCAAGAGCTGGAGAAAAAAATTTCATATTGGTTTGAAAAATTCATATTTTGCGGTAATTGGTTATAGGCCTCTTATGTAGAATGTATTTTGCATATAATTAAAACAAGTATAATAATATAAATAAATATAATTTTTAATTAAAAAAAGATAGCTGGATCATAATCAAAGTTTGTATGGTAGATGCTCCCAATCTTACGAAAGCGATTGAAAATGATTAAAAACGGGTGGGGGGGATTCACTGTTGAAGGTATCCGTAAAAAAATAATAGCTGTCACCCAATTATTACTTTATCTTATTTTGTAACATGAAATCTTTTTTTTTTATCTCCTGAACAAAAACATCCGAACAACTTCTTATAGTCCGTAATGTAATGTGATTTAAGTTTGCTTAATTGTTTGGACTAAAACTATAGATTGCATTAAATAAATAACCCCAAGAAACTGAAACGGTAATATACTTGATACGGTAATATACTTGATTAAATATACGGTAATATACTTGATTAAAAACTTCATTTTCTTTAAAAATATTCAAATTGAAAGTAACAGTCCACATGCTTCAAACGCTCTAGATGTGAATGTCTATCCTATGTTCACGTCTGGCAAGAACTTTTGAAACATGTGGACTGTTATTTTCAATTTGTATATTTACTGGCAAGTCTTGGAATCAAGTTATTTTACTAATATAGTTCTGGCAAATCTTATATAGTCTGGCAAGTCTTGAAAAATGGGAGCCTGTTTTTAAGCGCCTGAAGCATATCGACTGTTATTTCCAATAAAGTATTAATTTATATAAACATGCTGGCTCCGTGTTTAAAGTTTAAGTTATTTAATGGCCCCATAAAGTTTAAGTTGTTTAAGCAAATAAAGTTTTTTCCTCCTTTTTTTTGAACCAAGTAATATATACGATATTGCTTACTACTTTATTATTAAATACTTTTGAATTAAAATAACAACCTTCTAACAGTTTCATGAAATTAAAAACCAGTTTCAGTACGTTTCCTCCCCTAACATGTAGTCTGCAAAAAGTTTTGTTGTCCCTTACTAAAAGTATATTTTACCTCCTAAGAACCAAACTTTAAATAATGGCTGAAATTTTGATTTTTACTTTAAAATAAGGAGCATAGAAGAATTTAACTCATAAAGGAGATAAATATATAGTTTGGGCTGTGCTCCATGCCTTCGGTCCCATTTGACTTGTACTTTTCTGCACTTGTCAAACGACAACAACAACAATATATAGTTTTTTTTAAAATTATTAAATTTAATGATTTTTTAATCAATACATAAAAATGCCGAATTTTAATTTTTAACATTTTGCTTATTATAGGATATTTTTATGATTTATTTCGTCACGTTCTGGTGATCAAATAAAACCAACTAGACTAAAATTTAAATACCAAAAACTGATCAAAAGTCTACTTCAATCGATTTCTTATAATTTTTCATTGCAATTAAAAATACTTTTACATAGACAATCGCTTTGCTAAGGCATGCAACTAATAATAATAATAAAGAAATAGCTTTTTTTAAATGATAAAAGTATACCAAATGTTGGCCAATATTTTGAACAATCGTTTGTTTTCAGGAGGCTTAGAATTCCTCCCTATGTCCACATCCCTCGGACGGGTTCGTTGAGCTAATAAGCCCTTTATTCTATGCCACTCTTTATTATTTTTCATAAAGCCCAGACACCACTTATATTACTTCTCCCTATTTTATTCATTTCTTTTAAATAAAGAAAAAAAAATAAATGCCATTTTAAGTCTTGATTTGGAAAGAATGAGAGAGAAAAAAAACTACATTTTACTTTAAATCAGTAAAACTGTTTTGAATCCATCAATTATTCATTTGTATCATAACGATACTGCTTGTTTAGATCAACTTCGTTTTGATCTTTGTAGCATCTGATTTGCATTTAAAACGGAAGATACTAGATTATCATTTGGTGGCACTTTCTAAGACTAATGCATTGCTCTTCAATATTTATTAGAAACGTAATGAGAATTTGATTCCAAAGTGCAATACCACTTTATCTTTTGTTTCAATCTAAAACATTTTAACAAAACATGGTTTGGTTCAAATACAACATTCTCTAATGAGGAATTGTTCTCTAAAATAATATAGATGTCATATTCTTAAAGAGTTCTTCTTTTCTAGTTTAATGTTTTGAGCCATTTAGAAGGCATATAAAAAGGAAAGGCTTTGTATAAATGTCATTCCTCAATAAATTTCCAGGTTTAACTATTACTAGTACTATCGTATTTTGAATACAAATTGTGGAAGCCATAATAAGTTTTTCTTTGTTTTTGTATAGAAGGTTTTAGTTTATGCGCACTTTTAACTACTTTTGTAGAATCAATTGTTCCACGATATAATGAAATTTCGAAAGAATTTGAAAATAAAAGAGATAGGAATATAAAGAGGTAAAAAAATTTAGTTACTGCAATTTACGGAAAACGTTTCAGTGCCCATTTATAATGATTTGAATATTCAAGACTGCAGTTTGGTTATGGTTAACCACCATTATAATAGTTAATGAGATATGAGCATGGGCCACAGTAATTGAAGTGTACCAATGAGAAATTTGAAATAAATATTTTTTTTTGAAAACATCTCGAAAAATTTAAGTTAAAGGTAAAACAAATAATAAGATGGTATAAACATTTTAAAAATTAAAGTTTTATTAGTAACAACAACAGGAAAAGAAACACAATTTAAGAATAAACCTTTAGAAAAATAGTAAATATTTTTGAAAGGTTTCTTTCGAAAAGCTATTGATTTAAGATATTATTCAAACACGACAAGTTGGCAAGTGGTAGGAAAACTTAGCGGAAGAGTTCACTTTTTCATAGGATGGGAAAGTGAAAGCGTGAAATTTGACCATATTTTTGGCGATAATATTAAACTGGTAAACAATTCAGATCTTTTGGTTCACTGCGATAAAAAGCTCTTGAGCCGTGCTACGTCAGGGGATAGAGCTCTCGCTTCCCAATAAGGTGGCTCGGGTTCGATTCCCGGCAATGATGGTTGATAAGAATTCCGCACCCGGCCTGCACAGACGACAATGTTGACATAAAATATCCTCAGTGGTTGACATAAAATATCATTTTCTTATTATCTTTTCATTATTCTGTAATTTTTTCCATGTTATCTCGATATTTTGAAGTTCATAAATTAAAATGGCCTTTTCAGCGCGAAGAATTTAAGCTCAGTAGTTACTTTCTTACGAACTATAGAGAGACATACAGGGAATTTTCTTACAACAAGTTTAATATTTGATAGTTTTCGAACTGATAATCAAGTGCTAATTTTTCTTTTATTCTATCATCAAATATGCATATACTTGGGCATTTTTCTACACAAATTCTACGAACTTTTTCAAATTTTTTCTACAAAATTTATGCGGATATGTATCTCAAGATATACATGCATAAAATTTTTCTGAAACAAAGAGTGAATAAAGTTTTAAGAAAAAAGTGGAGTAAAAAGGCACTCAGAATGACAATAACAAATTGTAATTTAAAAAAAAAACTGCATTAAGCTCATAAATAAAAATGGTCTTAAGCACGTAGAATTTCAACCCAGTAGTTGCCTTCTTGCGGACTGTAGAGGGACTTGCAGGGTATCTTTTTACTACAAGTTTAAAATTTGATACTTCTCGAACTGATAATCTAGTGCCATTTTTTTTATTTCATCGTACTCGTTATGCATTTGTCTACAAACCTTCGTAACTTGCAGTTTCTGAGTCTTATAGAGTTTACGTAAAACAATATGTAACGTAAAGTTGAATACTTAAAACGTGGCATAACTTGAAATTTTTAGAATAGAAAATACTGAATGTTTAATACAAGGAAAACTAAGAATACTTCATAAACTGAAAGATTAACTGTGTGTTTTTAAAGTATTAAAAAAGTTAATCCTATTATTACAAGTGCATGTGTGATTTGATAAATATTAGATTACATTCAACAATTGTCTTATCACTTCTAAAGATAAACAATCATTACACTACTCAGCTTTTGTATTTCATTTTTGCGCGCATGATTAGAATGTAATCAATGAAGTACCCTTAGGCACACTGCAATGAAGTAAGTACCTGTACAAGTATATTTTCTAAAAAGAGCACCATTTTCAAAATTTAAAAAAAATCATTATTTTTACATGATTTCGAAGTATGAACATAAAAGAAAAGTTTCCTAAAATTCGAAGATAAAACAAGGAATATTTAGAGTGCGTGACAACTTTATCCATATTTGAAATTATTAAATAATTTATTTTATGAATCCAACATTAAATAATTTCTGTTATTATTAAATAGTTTCTTTTATGTTGGATTCATAAATGGAATCTATAAATAGAATCTATAAACCTTAATTTACGAATCCAACGATTTCTTATGAAACGATTCAATACGAGAAACATTTATCTGAGTATTTTTGCGTAATAGTTAACTGCGTATTTTAACAGTGTAAAAACTTTAACGGTTGCAATGAATATTACATAATAAATTAACTTGAATCAAAACAGTTAAATAAATTTTTATGTAATGATTAATAAGTAATTTTATTAGTAATTAATGATTTTATGTAATGACTTGAAAAAGACAAAATTTTTATAAATTTTCACAAAAAAGAAAAAATTTAATTATTTTTTATAATATTGTAAAAATAAATAAAATTGAAGTCATTTGAAAGAGCATTAAAGACTGCTGTGAGTAGTTTATTAAATTTAAAATAACAGTAAATGGTGTTCTTTTTTCTTTAAACTTTATTTACTTAGAATTTAAAAATTGTTTATATTAAATTGATGTTTTTTAAAATAAACACTGTACTGTAAAAGCTAGCTGTAGTTCGTTACATTTTATTTATAGCTTTTTTAATAAGTTTTTGTACTTTTTAAAGGATTTAATTCTTACTTCAAAAATCATGAACTCTATGTTTTATATTTATACTTCTATTCCTTAATTTTTTAAAAATAACATACTACATATGGTATTAAGCATGAGAGCCGGAAAGTACAATTTGATAATAAATAGTGCTATGTGTACATACTATATGATATCTGTTTGAATTGTCTTTCCCTCAAGCGCTCTAAAGTGTGATAGTAGCTGGTTTAATTTTTAACACAACTTCGAATGACAGTACCATGGGTGTAAGGACCTGGAGAAAATTTCCTTCCCCTTCTGATCTATTTTATTTTATTTTATAACCGTCGTTGAACAGCCGAACCAATTTCATGGGTTTACGACTACTTAAGTTCAACTCCGTAGCCTTGTAATTTTGAACCAATCTAGAAGACAAGGAAACTCCTGGATCAGTACCCCCAGAGGTATTGATTTGTTGTGGGAACATGGAGGACTTTGAGACTCGACAGATTTAACGTGCATCAGTCACCATTTACTACACGGGGAGTCTTCGGCCGGCGAGGATCGAACCCACGACCTCTTGGATATGGGCCCAGCGCCCTACCGACCAGGCTATCCCGGCCTTCTTCTGATCTATGTCTAAATTGAGGAAGGGGCCTCACAAATTGTGATGGCATGTCTTCGGATCATCCTTAAGGATGTTTCCCAGACCGTCACTAATAGCCCATTGTGCAGCTCTAGGGGGATGTAAATAAAGTATCTTTCTACCTACCTAGTTCTTTCTCTAATTTGCCCTAGCTATTCTTGAATTTGATGAGGAATTTGACACAAATCTGAGGAATTATGTAGGAAATGAATAAAGAGTAAAGAACAAGGTTGTCAATTTTTGTATGAAATGAATAAAGAATAAAGTAGATTTATGATTGGTAGGTAAGTATTTTATTTACGTCGCACTGGAGCTGCACAATGGGGCTAACGCTCCCTGAAGCTGATCCGAAGACATGCCATCACAATTTTGATACTCAGCAGAGAGGATGGCTCCTCCAGTTTGCTACCCCGAAAACGTGCGGGCGAAGTCGAGTACTTAAGATGGAACAGTTTAACGAGGGCCGATACCGCGTGCCCGTGGTCCCTAGGCAAGCTGATCAAAGTAGTCCCCCACGCGCTTCCTTACTGCAGTCCGTGATGCTTGACTTCGGTTCTCTACTATGAATCTGAGAACCGTGTCTTTAAGATAAGTCCACTGCGGAACTAGATTTATGATTGAAAAGAATAAAGAACACGTTTGTATGTGTGTGAAATGAATAAAGAACAAGTAACTAGATTTATGAATAAAATGAATGAAGAATACGGAACAAAAGCCTGTAGATTTATGAAAAATAAGAATTCCTTTCAGGCTAGGGGGGCCGAGTGACTGGCCAAGATCAAGGGTGGTAGATTTTAGGTTTGTGCCTGGAAATTAATTCAGAACAGCAAGACTTATATACTTAGGTATATTAGCTCTTAATTGAAGTAGGACCGATATTTCATTTCATGAAACTATTTTAATGACCAATCCATTGGCGTGCAAGAACAAAACGATGACTGAATATCTTTAGTTTTTGAGTTGAATTCAATTCTGGGTTCGAATAAAGTGTGCATATGTGCTACTGTAAATGCTCGAAATTTGATAAATCCTTGGCTTTCCCGATAAAACCTAGAATTTACCAAATTGGATTGGTAACAACTATGCTTTACCAGAAAAGCTTGATAAAAATTCAAAAGGGAATCATATTAAACAGGGTTGCCACGTGCGACTAAAAATGCAAATAAGTTGATTACTAAATTGAAAAGTTTAATAAAAATTAAAAAAATTTGATAGATTTTTGCTAAAATTTTGGTTCTGGTTTACTAGTGAAAGTGGGGCATTTACAGTAGCACATATATACATTTTTTTCGAATCCAGTATCGAACTTGAACTCAAAAACTGAAGATATTCAGCCATATTTCGTTCCTGCACATCAATGGATTGCTCAATAGAATAGCTTCATGAAATGAAATGTCTGTTCTACTTCAATTAAGCACTAACATACATTAGTATAAAAGCCCTAATGTTCTGAAATAATTTCGGGACACGAACCTGAAATCTACAACCCTGGACATTAGTCAGTCTCTCAATCACCATAACCTGTAAGGAAATCTTATTTTTCATAAATCAACCAGGCTTGTCCTTCATTCATTTTATACTTAAACCTAGTTAGATATTCTTTTTTTCTTCATTCATTTCATACATGTACAAACTTCTTCTTTATTCTTTTCAATCATAAGTCTAGTCCCGCAGCGGACTGATCATTCAGAAACAGTTAGTAGGTTCCTAGTAGAACACCAAAGTCAAGCATCAATGGCTGCAATCAGTAAGCGGGTGGGCGTCTACTTTGATCAGCCTGCGTAGGGACCGAGGGTGCGTGGTATCGGTCCTCGTCAAACTGTTCTGCCGTAAAGTGCTCGACTTCGCGAGCAGGTCATCGGGCTACCGAAGGGGGGATGCCACCCCCTCTGCAGAGGATCACAAATTAGATGGCATGTCTCCGGTTCATCATCAGGGATGTTTCCGAGACTGTAATCGTGCAGCTCTAGTGCAGCGCAAATAAAGTACTACTACTACTGTTTCAGTTTTGTTGTTACCGTTGTATTTGTGTTATACTAATATATCATTGGAGAGGTTCGGGTAGTTATTAATGAATAGTGTTTTAAATATAATAGTATACTCCGTTGCAAGTTAAGAAAAGACCATTGCGGTATAGGATTTAAGTAATCATCCGCGAACGCATATAGTTCTGTTTTATTTTGTTATCAAATATTAGAAATATGTTTTCAGAGCATCATAACGGTTAATACGTCAAACAAAAATATCATTCGTGCTATGTTTTACGATAGAGATCACAGAAGTATTATAAGAAGATTTTAATTCCGAAGTCTTCTTAGAATCCCAGATTTGATAACATACTTCAATAATTAAGGATAACATTCGTTCTTAAAAAAGAAATGACTGGATGACGTTGCGCGGGCATTGGATTTGATTGGACCACTGACAATGGTGCGTATTACGCTGACATGCTCTTAACAAATCAAATGCGAGATTAGAATTTTTACTTTTTTTTCGCTACAGAAGAGAATTGTCTACAAGAAACAATGCTTTTTATTCTTTCATCAGTTTCTTTAAATACGAACAGAAAGACAAATATCTGTCATGATTTTTAGATATAATTTTTATTAATTCTTATTACTTGCTAATTGATTATTGCTGTTAATAAGAAAGGGAGCAAAAGGGAGGTTGTGTAACGTCGTTCCAAGAGTTGGCGATATTGATATACGTTTGCTCCTGGAGCTTTGCATCCAAATGGGATAATGGTCTTTTCAGAGTATAGTGGATACGCAGTTAGTTTTTAGTTCGTGCATCGAGCTAGAGTAACACTAACGAGCTATTGAAGACGATTTGGGATCTATCCTTAATGATGATCTGTAGACAATACTTGCACATTAGAGCACTATGCTCCCACAATTTATATTGCTGAACATAAATTGGGAGTAAGCTCCCGTTTTCAGTACCAGGAAATCCATCCACCCAACCGAACTCAGACTTTCTGTCTCAGAACCTACTCGGAGCATTGCACTCAAGGGGATTCCGAACCATTAAGACTCGATTGAAGCAAGTGCAGTTCGACCCGACACACAGGTTTAAGCTAGCACAAACCTGCTAACATGCTATCGAACCTTGGCCATGGGCATGGTAAGAAGAGACTGTACTCACCAGGACGGCTTGGCTGAAAGTTCAGATATCTCAGTGGATGAAGAAATTAAGTAAGTGTTATTGGAGTGAAGTAAAAGGTTCGAAGTTTTTTTCGGCTATAAATCGATAAGTAACTTTGAAAAATCTGTTGCATGGCAAACAGATCAAAATGCCAAAAGTGCGAACACTACAACGCGAACAGTTTTACGGGTTTACCCTTTTGGAAGCTTGAGGATAAGAAATGAAAAAAAAAAAGATAGAATCTTCGTATTCTATAAACAACGTATAAATGGAATATTACGTGGATTTATACGACGGCAATAGATAGCTATGTCAACGTATAAATTGAAGACTACGTAGACAATATATAAATCAACAAAACCAATGAATAAACTTTAAAACCAATATTACTCAGATTCACTTTAATGTTCTATTTTGCCGCCTTCTTCTTTTATGTTTCTGATTGGCTGGGATAAGGGATAAGGACGTATTTAGACTGGAAGAAATCAACAGCCGGAAACACATAAAATAAATAAACATCTGCTTTGTGTGCTTCCTGAGAAATATATGAACTAAAAGAGCAAAAATAGGAAAACAAAAAACAGATTTTATGTGTTCATATTATTTCATTTCGGGGCAAATGTGAAATATTTCGTAAAGGTCGTGCGTATCATAGCGTGCTTTGGAATTTTAAATTGGCGTGAGTGAAACTGAACTGTTCTTTTGTAAAGAAAGTTTAACCGCCGAGATTATGTGTGCTTCGCTAGAGAAAAATGCCATCTGTTCGTGAAATGTACAGAGTGTTGTTCTAAGCGTTTTCGCGAAAAGTCGTCTGCCCTAAAGTGTAACAGAGAGGGGTTACTAAGGAAAATGCCAGGAGTTCAAAAATTCTTCATTCCTTTGATTGTTATTTTAATGCTCCTGGATTTAAATTTTTTATTTTCCCCGTGATTTCTAAATGTTGACTTCTAGCGCGTTTGAATTGAAATTGGTAAGATTTCGTGATTTTTTTAATATAGTTTCAAAAATGAAATACTCATAGATAAAATTATTATTTACAGTTGTAAGATTATTGGATGTATATAAAAAATTTTGAATTCCATACAAAAATTTTGAGTTTCCACATGAAAAAAAAACCCGATCTCATCCAGTCATTTGAATTTAAGTAATAGTTACTGTAAAAAAATGGGATGAATGATTGATTGCTTTATGAATGACTGAAATTTTTTTGAGTAAAAAATGACATTCATGATTATTTTAAGATATACTGTAACTATTAATTTTCCTGCAAATTTAATTAGTCTCTCATAATATGACTGTAATCATCTGAAATCTGCATCGTTTATTGGCTCTTTATTTCCAATATTCTACCTTATAGGAGTGGNAAAGTTTGGCAACAGTCAAATATCTCGAGAAATATAAATCGAATAAAAAAAGGGGGAAATGGACACATTCAATAAATTTTTTAAAAGCTATCCTGTGATAACAAACTAGATCTTCTACCCCAATTCCTTGGGGGTGGGGATAGGAAATTCTGAAACATTAAATATTAACACCGATTTTTTATTGCTCGTTCGGGCTCTCCTGGAAAAAGTAATTATACTAGGGTACAAACTGTTTAAAATGATGAATCTTGAGACTCATCAGATTAGGAACATAAAAAAAGAGCTGCTTAGAAGGAAAAAAAATGTAAAACTTTTCTTCCAATTCTTTTTGAAAAAAAAAAAACCTTATATTTTTTCAATCTGATGGCTTCCGAGATTTCACCATTTTAAACAGATTCCGTCTTATTTCAATTTTCTTGGTTACAGCACAGCATGCACAAACCTATTGATCGAATAGGGTTATTTTTTTCTGCAAAATCCGAATCTGCAATAAAAAAGGAGTTCATATTTAAGATTTATTATATATATATATAT